GTGTGTGTGTGTGTGTGTGCGTGCGTGTGAAATGTGAGTGTGAGTGTGCTGTGAATATGCGGTTGTGACAAAGTGTGCTGCAAAAGGTAAACAAAAAAATATGACAGACAAAAAAGCGAGGATGATCGAGGAGATGGTGGAGGAAAATGGAGACGTTCGGGGGAGTAGGTGAGATCTAGTCTATTTGCGAGAAGGCTTCAACTTGAGTTCCACCAAAATGGGAATATGACTATACAACAAGAACATTAGACGACCATGACTTTTGCCCAAATACCACGTCCAATAGAATACTTACTCGGATGGGAAATGTGGGTTGGGGAATCCAACCACCTTGTTCAAATAATCTTGATCGATAGGGCCCAGCAATGACAATACGTCAAGCGTATTGCTAGTGTACCAAATGTAATCGAGAACGCCCTTGAAACCGGGAGTGTAGTTGGTGAATGGTAATTCTCCAATGGATGCATATGAACTCTTGAGAGCGAGAGGATGTGATAAACCATCCGTTGTGTAATCTCCATACAAGTAATCTCCAAAGTCATCATGATCTTGCTTGACAGTGCCCTTGGATAAGAACTCATATACACCAGATTCGGGTTCGGAATTGAAATCACCAGCAATGATTGTTGCCAAGCGAGTAGGATGCTTGGTGTGCTTGGATGCAAATGCCTCAATTTCATCCATCAACATGCCCACCTGCACCAATTTGACATCTGCAAAGCTTGGGTCCCAATGGATGTGAGAGTTGGCTACCAGCACGTGATCCTTGGTGTCCTTGTTCTGCAAAAGCGTCATCACTGCAATGTTGTCCTTGGTCATCACACGATTGTAGATATCGGCGCATTTCTTGAAATCGGCACGTTGTAACGCTTTTTGATTGTACTCGAGCAAATTCACCTCAACAAGCTCAAACCTAAATGCCCCATAAGTTCATTTGCCCTTGATCCACATTCGTGTTCACTTACTTGGATGCTCTGAAGAACGTAGCACATCCATCCACTTGACCTCGCTCCTGCTCCGACATAGTCTTGGCTCGCGATTTGGGATAAAAGACACTGTCATAGCCTCCTCTTTCACGGAACTCGTTCTGGAAAACTTCCTCATATTGCTGCAAGCTCAATTCTTGTAAACACACAACATCGGGACCATAGGTCATGATCTCGGACATGATCAACGACTTTCGATAATCCCACGACAATGCCCAAGAAGGTGTGTATCCATAAGCTTGATTGGTCGCATACTTTTGACAAAGAATGTTGTAACAAAGCACGGTGAATCGTTCTACAATTGAAATTAGCACATGGATTCTCCCACTTTCTTACACGTGTACATTACCATCATTATCCCCTGAAGTAGAGTGTTCAATAGAAATCCATTCACGCTGTGGAGGAGGCATACCCACTAACAATGATCCTGATTTAGTCTCCATGACCTTATCCACCGATATCCAATATTCATACCTGGTGCACTCTCTCGAAGGGACATGATGACAGCAGCCGATCCATCACGCAATAAAATGTTCTTGATGTCCGCTTGAATGGGATTACCTTCCAAACCAAGAGTCTCCAGCTGATAGAGAGAACCAAGCTCCGTGGGCAGAGTGATGATATTGTTGTCAAAGAGAAGTAACTCTCGTAATTGGATGAGCATGCCAAGTTCGGAAGGGATCTCTGTCAACTTGTTGCCTGATGCATCCAGCGTGCGTAGATTGGATAGCTTGGATATGCCGGGTGTCAAATAAGTGAGATTGTTGTGATTGATGTAAAGCACCGTCAAGAAGGTGTAATAGTTGCACAATGCAGGAGAGATATTCTTGAGACCCATTCCACCCATATCAAGCGTACTCCATGCATCATTGTTGTTGTTGTTTTCATTGTTGTTGTTGCTGTTGCTAATGCTGTTTGCTGTCGGTGCTTTGGCGCCTGTTCTACTCTCGGACGAAAAGCTGTTGGTGCTACCACCACTGCCCATGATCCCATTAAGCGTCTTGTTAGGGTTGTTTGGATCCGTGATAGTGACTGTAGCACCCACAGGGACATTACGCGCCATAGCAGCTGCTGTACGTGCGTGGTGGTGTGGTGACGCTGATTGTCGAGATATCTGAGCATAGGTAAGCTGCCTAGCGACATGAGGTGACGCATTCGATAACAAGCTCCCATTGGTACTGATGCTGCTTGAAGATGTTGGTGCTTGCGTGTTGCTACCAGCAGGAGTCTTCACAACAGGTGGTGTCCCACCACTACCACCGTATCTTGCCATACTCATTGCAAAAGGATAGCTGCCTGGTGACGATGACGATGGTGCCGGCGATCCAGCACGTCTTGCTGCAGATGCGGCTGGATTGCTGTAGTATTGCTGCTGAAGCATGTGTAAGCCGCCATAAGTGTCGAGTGGGGCTCCTTCATTATCTCTTTCGAATGACATGTTGACGTTGCAATCTTGGGTGAAGCGGCAGTTGGGAAAGTGAACATAGGACTTCCAGTATGGTATCTGGATGGTGGACGTTGTTTATATGTTGTTAAGAACCGTGTGTCGACGAACAAGTAGGGCAGATAGGTGCGACGGTTTATATAAAGTAGCTGTAGTCGTTGTTCTCTTGAATTGCAAACGAATAAAGGAGTGAATCTTAGTTCCGCAAATTGAATCAGGCTGTATTATCTATGACACACACGCACACATCCCCACCACGCGCCACTCCACTTGGCTCATTCTCAATAATGACCCCATTTCAAGTTATAAATCAAAAGAGCATACACTGCATGCAATTCCAATGCATCTTTTCCATTTCGGGTTGTTTTTATTTACGTATCCTTGTATTCATTGCCATGGCAACAATGAACAGCTTTATCCTCCTTGTGTTTTACTTTATCAACAATGAAAAACTGGTTTTGCCACCCTATCCAAAAACATCCCATTTTGGAAAATGCATTGCATATGTAGCTTGATTCACGTGGCGCGCCTTTACAACATCCCCAATAACGGCTAGCAGAATAACATCGGCTGCATGAATACAACAAAGAAACAACATCTACCAGTATCAAGGTTCATGAATGAAAATAGTATCCTTGCTACCTAAGTTTTGGCACTCATACCGAGCTATTCAATACATCAACAACAGGTGACAGTGAACGTGTTCATCGCTTGCTAGAATACAGGAATCATCCGTGATCAATATGACTACTACTATATGGCCCAAATGGGTTGCCAGAGTGCTTTCTTTTGATTCGAGCACTGACTTCAAGGGAAATAGTAAAGGAAGGTTTGGTACACTGATCATCGGTTATAGTACTCATACAATGCATGTCGTAAACTACTCCTCAGCAACGCCTTACAACAACACCCAACGTTAACCAACCAAAGCAATGGTTCTTCTTAGCCCTACTCCTTGATTGATACGCCGCTATTGCACTTGACTAGTTATTGAGGATCTTTCATCTTTAATTTCTCCACTATCTATCAACCAAACATTTGGTTCGACAGCATTTCAGTACCTGGTGCTTAAATCTCCCTCTTCTACCTTTTCTTCTCAATGATGAAAACTCAAATGAACTTGTATAGTCAAGAATACCCATGGTAATGATATAAGATAGCAGATGAAAAAGAATGCTGTGTGTCGAATTGATTGATCAATGCGTCATAGAAGAGAAAATGGACGGCTTAAAAATGGCATAGGGCAAGTGTAAAGGCTGACACAAGTCTGTGCGCATGCGTGACACAAAATGGCTTTCCGTATATGGTGTTGGCCCATGCACATAGGTCGACTTGATCCTTGACAATGCATGTACATGCTTGGTAGAAACCCGTTCATAGATCATAAAAGCTTTATCTGTGGCTCTCGCATGCTAGATTTCCGTTTTCATGTGGTGAAAGCAAATAGCACAAACTTACAGGGTGGGAGATTTGAAATCGTTGTATGATGGTTCAAAGTTCTTTGGAATGGTCTTGCTACTATTGTAGATAGAGGGAAGCTGAGGAACAAGCCTAACAGTAGCATGTTTTATGGGCCGTTGCATGGTCAAGATGCAATTTTAGCATCATTAAATACATCTTGGAGGAGAGGACTTTTGCTATTGGCGTTTTTTACGTATGGATCATTCCTCTCATTCATTACCTTGCTTTTGGCCAGCAATATCATCTTCGAGTAGTGATAAGGATCTCTTACTTCATGAACGAAATGACTCTTGAGTATGACGGAAGTTCATCGATCCTCATCAAATTCCAACTTTGATCAAGCAGCGTGTTTTGCATTATACCAGGAAATGAACATGCACATCCCTTTATTGCGAGAGATTACTCTTCATCTTTTCCAATACAATATCTACATCCTTGTCTACACCTCCTAGTTGTTGTGCTACAGTCGACTTGATTGCATCCCAAAATGCTGGATCCTTGATCTTTTCATCCGCTGTTGCCGAGAGACCAAATCGACCAACCACAGGTGAAGAGGCGGGTGATGCAGGTGCAGCTGTGATCATCAAATGCAATGTTGCCTTGTCAGTCAAATTATACTCGCTCAAACACTTTGGATCTGAAAGTGCTTTGCCCTTGAGAAGCAAACGTTGTCGGTTGAGAGTTAAGCCGTTGCCGTATTGTTTGGCGATACGTTCCTTGAGATCTTCAATCGTGTCATTGACCGAGATGCCGGTAATGGTAAGCTGCGAGGCTGGCTTGAGTACCTTGATAACGACATCAATCTTTGGACTCTCAGTGCTTATCGTTGCAGCTGCGGCTGCTGCTTCCTCAGGTGCATTTGGCTTGCGCTGGTGTAAAACAAGGCATGAGATGGACGTTGGCAAGTGTCTCAATCAACCCCTTCTCCTCAAAACATACCTTGATGCGTGGACTTGATGGCAATTGACGCGAGCAGTAATCTTTTCCATAGCGTACAGAACGTGAAGAAAGTGCTTCAAGGTATTGCTTGATATATTGGTCCTCTCCTTGAACGATAAGCATGCTCGACAACAGTAGTTTGGGTAAAGGTAAAGTGAGTGAATGGCAGAGACGCGTGAGGAAATTCAATCCCGGTGTCCACATGATTTATTGTCTGTGCATCCAAATCCATACACCCCCTCCCGTTAGTAACACTAGCAACAGCATCAAATAAATACAACGTATCATTGAAAGGAGCAACAATTTGGATCCGGAGGATAACAACAAGAGGTAGTGGATAGCAATGACAACAGCATCATTTACTGCTTCTTCAACAACATCAAAAGAGCCGTTGTGCAAAGGAGAAAAGGTAAAAAGGGGAATGAGAGCTGCCAAACAAGGATAATTGAAAGAGAGAGAGAGAGACCCATTTTCGAACGGTGTATTGCATGTATCCTTCTTTCGGTGGAAGCGTGTGATCCATGCGCGAGTGGTGGTGGTGGACGGGGATATGGACCTCCTCCGTCAAGGGTTGACTCTTCTTGGAAGGACTTTATGCCGAATGTAGTATGGATTGACACGGCTTACTTGCATCTACGTAGCTTGTAGATTCTTGATTTTGTTGCAAAGGAGTGATTAAGGAGCAGGTGTATGTATGCGTTGGGTATAGTTTGTAAACAGCCATTGACATGCACAGCATCATCTCTCCCGGGAAGAGTGAGGGGCGAGAGGTTGTTTGGGTGATGGATGATGATGATGATGGTGCACCACCACCATGATCCCAGTGATACGACAAATCGATGTGCACACACACATACTCACACTTTCTCCTCATTTGAGTTTTCCCCCTTTTTGTCCTCCTTGGTTATTGCCGCCTTTGACAGCAAAACATATAAAGTAACACGAAATGGCATTCTTTGACTCTTCTCTCACTTACTTTAAACTTTGTCATGAGCGATAATACATCCATGTCAGCGGATATTGCAACCGGCGGTGATGCCAACCTTGTTGGTCCCGATGTTCTTGAAGTGGGTTCCGAATTTATTTCATTGGCTTGCATTACAGTCCTTGCTCTTGCTCTCGGTGCCAAAACAAACGGCGAGAAGCTCAAGACAATCAACTATGGTCGTGCTTTGGTCATTATTCTCTATTTCTTTTCATGGGCCTTCTCAGCAACGTCCATTGTTGTTGTTTCTACTAATAATAGTAAGCCAAATCAATGTGATGGACAATGAAATGAAAGCTGATCCACTCGATTAGATAACATCATCTCATGCACTCTTGGTATGCTTTCATGCGACGTGTTCTATGCCGGTAGTAAAATTGCCATCTATGCATGGTAAGTGTAGATTGCATATGCTTCTTGCTCAATGATGCTTATTCTTTTTCATGATACAGGCTTATCGAACGTGTGCATCTTGTTACAGCAGTCAAAACTACTCGTCTCAGAACCTGCCAATACAAGTTTCACATTGTCCTTCTTTGTCCATACGTTGTGATCTTCATTCTTATGGTATGTGAATTTTTTCATTATGTTGACGGGTTGTATGCCAACATTCTTGTTCTTTGTGACACAACAGATGACCTTCCGTAACATTTATCTCGAGCCTGATGGCAAGTGCACCATTGGATTGCAGCCCATTGCCAGTATTCCATTATTGGTTTATGACTTTGTAAGTTAAAAGTGGAGAAACCCCCCCCCCCACACGGGAACAAGGGGTGACGCATTATGTATGCTCGTGCAACGTACATTGACACTGTTATTTGCAGATCTTCAACTTGTACTTGACTTGGCTTTTTATGAAACCATTAATGAGTGTGGGTCGTAATTCACGCACCAATTGGAAAACATCAAAGCTATATCGCCTTGCAAGACGCACGTTGGTGGCATCCTTGGTGTGTCTCTTGATTTCATTCCTTAATGTGTTGGGTGTGGTGTGGACCCATGGCCATGAGCGTGGCCTTGTTTGTCTCACCCTTTGCACGCTCGATGTGACAGTAAGTCCTCGCCTCCCCTTTACAACTTTTTCATCCCCTTTATTGACAGCTGTATGCATCGATAGATCAACGTCATTACTGTACATTGGGTAACTACAAGCTCCTCTGGTCAAAATGGCCAATCTGATACTCGACAAAAGAACCTGAACACCACCGAAGTGGTCACTGGCGAGATGACCTTTGATGGTGATATGCCTAATCACCAACGATCCATGAAGTATGATCTTCCTGTCGTCCATCCTACTATACGCCCTGACGACGACACCGATAGTGCCAAATCAACCGACATTACATCTGGAGGAAAACACTAGAGCTTAACAACAACAATGTATATGATCCCCCAGGATAGTTTGGTTATTACCTTTGACATCCATCCTTATCCCCAATATCAAGCAATACCTACTTTACCTTAACCTGCATCCCCTTGTCCCCTTGTCATATCCATTAGTTTTACAGTAATTGTTAGTAACTTTTTTCTATACAAGGAAAAAGGAGTCCTTGCATCTTTGTATGCTAAAAAGTTGGAATTTTCTTGTTTGCTGCAAATTACACTACAACAACAACAACTTCGCCACAAAGGAGATCAGGGGATAATGGTTGATGTTGTGTGAGAGAGCTGTAAGCCATGCTAAGCATTCTAGCTTTCTCCTTGACCCTTGTCAGCATTGGGTGCTGCTGTAGGGTGTATTCGGAACGTGCTTGCATTGATGAGGGTGGGGCTATTAAGCTCTCCAAAATATGGTTCCGTGTTGCAGGTTGCTGTCTTTATGGCTCAATAAGGGTGAGGATACAAAGAAGGATGGCTGGGAAAGTAAAGGAGAAGGTAATGGGGAGCACAAAAGTTGAAGAAGAATAGCATCTTCATTGGCCGTATAAACAACATTCCTCCAAAACCAATGCTGAGATGTGCGTGGATGATAATCAAAGTAAGTAAAGACCAATGAAGGTAATGCAGTGAAAAACAAGGAGTGAGGAGCATACATAGGAAAACAAGAAGATGTTGGTGGGAGCAAGGGGTCTGGATCACTTGCATATGTATGCGCGTGAACATTCACACACCTCGAAATCTTGCATTGATGGCATCATCATCATCAATCACACGTTGATTAAAAAAACAAAACTTCAACTTTGTCAACAGACATCTTGGGGTTGATGATGTATACAACCAACCTATTATGCGGCATTGTAGTGGGGTGCATTGTGAATATAAATAGGCTGCGTAAGCGGTTGGCACACCCATGTTCATAATATCCCTCCTTTATTTCGTATCCACGCCCTACATGCGTAGCATACATAATCGCTTTGAGAATTCAATTGCGAAGGATAGAAGCAGAAGTCATCAAAAGGAATGCAAAAAGAGCTGTTGTTCCTTTACGCATTCTACTCCTAATATCTAAGACGCAGTGTATCACGTTCAATCAAGTAACAACGAGGAGCATTGATTCGAAACTGCTATACATGCGCGCTTGTCATTGGTTGAAGCACGTCAAAGAAGACATACAATCAATTAGACATATACATTGGCTACGGTGTGTCTCTTTGATGCAAAATGCAAAGTACTATAGTTTCCATGTCAACCAAGGTTGCTAGGCAATAGCAATAGTTAACGTTGTATTAGGAAAACGTTTCATTTGGCCTTGGTGTTACCCTCAAGGCATCAAATGACGTTACTAGACGACGCTAGATATGAATCACTATGCTGCCCATCCCCTGTTGCTAGGTGATGCATACTTGAGTTATCCATCTGGGAGTCACCCAGGCAAAGAATGGGACAATTAAAGAGTTAGTAATATCACGTGCCCTCTCCTTTGAAGATGAATGGTCATGCTTCCCACTTTTTTAATTTTATGCACCACCAGCAATGGTGATCCTAATGATAGCACTTGGTTACGATACCAATAATGCACATTTACATAAGACTAGGGAAGCTGCCTCTTCATTGGATACCACGTTGTACATGTGTATGCTATTCTATTAGTTTATTGTTATACGCTACTCTTAGTAATATGCGAACATATGGAAGTCCTTGAAGTATGAGTGTTGTTCAGAGGAAGGTGCCCAATCATCACCATTACCACCGAAAAATGTATGGAATGCTATAATGTACGTTAGCTTGGATGGATCACAAGGCATGCATGAATAGCTTTTTACACGTACCGATGCCGAGTAATTTGCCTGTTTCATTGGAGACAAATGCAAGACGCCTTTCGGTATAGGCGTGTCGATGATTGACATCCACTCGTACCATGCCGTTTCGTACACCAGGTGTATTGAGACGAACCGTTTGGCGCACAGTGACCCATTTTCCTCTAGCAAATGTCCATGATCCTCGACCCAAGCTGTAGCCATACTTTGGGTTGCAAATGACATCGGATTCTTGACACAAGCTTTCACGTTGTTCTGCTTCAGGAAGGTATGCATAGATTTCGCCAGCACCATCGGTTCTCCACATGAACCTTCAAAAGACGTCATGTTAATGCAAACATGAACCCATTGCATCATCATCATCATCAAAGCCATACATACCTTGTTGAGAAGCATGAATTTGAATTACTTCCACCTGAACATGCCGTGTGTCCACCATACAATCCAGGAAGCTTGCCACCCTTGACAAAGGTGAAATTGGATGGGAAGTAGACCTTGTATTGAAAGACGACCAACTTTGCTGTCCTTGGCAATTCTACAGGTTGTGCATAAAACCCGATGCCGCCTTGTATTTTACCCCCAGGGTTGCTGCTGCCTGCAGGATACCGTACTCTTAAGACGTAATCATCACCTGCAGGGTCCTTGACAATAGCATGATTTTTGCCATTGCCTCGTGGCCATGACCATCCACCTGATCTAGGTAGACCCCATTCTGTACGCCAACCAGCATCGTCGTTGTGATATTTGTTCCAATTGCGAAAGCGCCAGTGCTGAATGCCGGCAAGTGCCAATGTCGAAAACAGTGAAAGAGCAATGGTCACTATTAATATTAAACGCTGAGCTAGCATTTTGGATGAATGTGTATAGGTGGAATTGGTGATTGGACTAAGAAAAAGAAAAAAAGAGTCATTGCAACATGGGCTCTTATATTTTTGGATCTCTCTAGCACTCTCTCACACAAACGATTGTTGTCGTATATGGGATTTGTCACCTGGCTGCTCCGCCGCCATGAAGTTTTTTCATTTACAATTAACATTTCCATTCATCCATCCTCCTTTTCTATTGCTTGTTTGGATCATGGATGAATACATTTGGTGTAACAAGGGCGTGTCTTCTTCAGGTGCTTATCGTGAACATGCCATCTGGGCGGCGTTGCACAACCCCGGATTGTGTGAACACACCCCAATAAAGTTTGTCAATTACTGAAGGATGGCCTACGTATAAACGCCGCCCCATCAGGGGCATTTGCCTTTTATCAACTGGTCTAGTTCTTTGTTTGACAGCCGTTTCCTTCTGGTTACCAATGTTGTGACATTGACACTAGCATGGGTGCACACATAAATGTGATCAATAATGCAAGTATAAAAGTCAACATTATGCGCATATAGCAGAATTCATGTCAAAAAATACACAAATACTTATGCATCGCTCATCTGACAAGGTTCTCTGGAGATTAAGAATGGACTTTTTTGGTCATTGCGATTGACATGGTAACTATAAACAAATACAGGGCACAGCAACACCTCCTTGTTGTGCAGCCACAGTGCTCCCAAACAAACAATCACATGTGGCACGTTCTCATTTCCATTACCAAACTTTGCACCACGTCCCGCGCTCGATCTAGAATCGTGCTTTGTCCATGTCTATGTCAGCTGATGTAGATGCTAAGTGGGCTGTGTCAAATCCCTTGCTTATATATACGTGCGTGTGTATGTGCGTGTGTGCGTGTGAAAGATCGAAGCATTGTATCAGCACATCTTCATGGTCACACACCATTGCTTTTTCATCTTGAGTTATTGTATATGGGATAGTGTTACGATGTACTTGATACATGAACACATTCTTTGTTTTGTTTCGGGTCCAAGGAACCGAGAAAGTGGGTACAATGGACATGTAGGAATGGCAAAACTACGCATTTAAGGGGGAAGCCATTGTACCCAGTAAGGCCTTACACACACAAGCGGAAATTGATGAATGTTCCAGACACATGTATACACATACATACACGCCCCATCGGCTCGTTTAATCGGAAAGCTGCTGAACAAATGTTTGGATATACAAAAGGTTGAGGGGGTGGTTTTTTATTACTATTATTAACGGAGGAATACGCTATGGATCCGCTCAAATTCAGCAGCACTTGTGAGCTGTATGCGATGTGACGAGGAAGAAGATGACAGAGAGGGTATCTGAATCCTTGCTAATGACCGCGTCAATGCTTGTTGTAGTGATCTTGCTGGTGTAGTGTTGGCCGTAGCAGCTGATGATGGTGGTTTTAATTCTTCCATCTTGTTGCGAAGTTGATCGCTGCGATGTTTGAGAGTATAAAGCACTGATTGCTGTGTTTGGTATTGATAGCTGGGTGTTCGCTTTTGGCTGTGCCATTTTCCAGATCTTCGTTCTCCATCCAAGGCAACCACCTTGGGTACTGCACTTGCTGCACGCATGTCCTTGATTAATACACGCGTTTCCAAAGCCATTGTTCTTAAGGCCTCCTTCTTCTTGATCTCCTCTTCATTGTGCTCAATGTGTTCTGGAAGCTTGTCAAGTTGCAAAGATGAGATGATATCACGGCTCTTGAGATGCGAATTCTCTGTTCGCAAGTATTGAATGACAGCCTTCAAGGTCTCAAGCTATATTGGAGATTGATAAATACCCATGCTATTCCAATTCTCCTCATCCTCATCTTACCTGGCTGGTCACATGGCTATAGTTGGCCACTTCAGTCTCCTTTGTACTAGTGTCACTTGTCGAAGGATCGTGTTCGCTCTTTTTGTTGTCGGCTGCCATCTGCCATTTCATCTCAGATTGTGCCGCTGCAGCCTTGAGCTTGCCATGCTCTTGTTCTAAGGCATCGAATTCTGCCTGCAGATTCTCAATTGCTTCGGCATACATGTGTTCTTGAGCCTGTGACTTCGCCAAGGTCTCCTCAAGCGTTGCAATTTGCTCCGTTTGCTTCTTTGCCACTGTCATACGCTTCTCCAACCATTCCACCTTTACATTCGATTCTTGTAATGCCTGATCCTTCATCTTGATATCCTTGATCAACTTGACAATCTCATCGCTATGTTGCTGCAACTTTCTTTCCATATCATGGCTGACCACCACTTCAGCCTTCATATCAGAAGCTCTCTGGATCCATGGTGCAATACCGGTAGCAACTACTCATGTACAAACGTCTTAGTTTGATCACGTTCAATACCATGGTTGTATCTAAAAATACTCACTCTTGTCCATCTTGTTATCATTGTCGATTCGAGTAATTGTGGCTGTGAGCTCGTTGGTCAACGACTTTAGCGTACGCAAGCAACCTTCCCACATGGTGCTTTCTGCAATTTCCAGAATCTCATCCGCCTTGCTATAGACGATCTGTTGGATGATGCCAAGGCTGATCTCTTCCTTGCTTCCTCGCTTGGCGTTGATGTATTCGGCAATCTGCTTGTAAACTTCAAAGCAAAATTGGCTGAGCTTGGTGCTGATAGCATAAAGTGTCTTGAAACGATGAAGATGTTCGGACTTGAGCATCAAAGCTTGTTCTGACAAGTCTTCAAGTTGGCGTAATAATTTCCTGAAAAAGGGGTTGTTGGGTTCCTTTGTGAGACTCGAATCCCAAAAATGACGAAGCATGTGATACACTTACTTGGCCATAATCTTACTATTCTTGGCTTGACTCACAAGGCGACCCAAAGGCTCAAGGTAGTCGAAATCCAATCGCTCTTCTCCTTCAGTAATGCTGATGCCTTCTTTTCTCACCGCATTATCAACGGCTTGCTTAACAAATGTCAACTCCACTGCCATTCGATCAGCGTTGAGATCAAGAGCACGTGTCAAGCCAAAGAACTGATCCACAAGAATTGATTCGCCGTTTTGTACAAGATAAACTTCTGTGAGATGTTCCAATTGCGCGATCATGCTATGATTGACAACAGCATAATGAGTTACATAGCCCCCTTTCCCTCCAATGCGTACACTTACCGTTGTAAATCGGATACACATTCGCTTTCCTTCAATTCATCGGTACGTAGCAATTCGACAATGCCGTTGAGACGACGCTCGGTGCCAACAAGATCATGGTAAACTTGACCCATTCGAGTAAAGATATCGGGGCTGCAATGCTGAATAAAGGTGACAAAGCGCTTGGCTAGATCACTTAACCAACCAGCTCGTTGTCTCATCTAGTAACGTAAATCATTGAGTTAAATGCCATTCCCCCATCTCCCAATCTTCCTTTTTACCTCGCAAACCGATACAAGATTCTCGTTGATGGTATCCATAAGCTTTTCGCTGATTGGATGATTTTGGTCGAGTTGCTTAATGATGAGCTCAGACTTGAATGCAAGGCGCTTAAACAGTAAGAGACAAGAGATGGGGTCGTTTTCGGTTTTGAAGAAAGAATCGGGAAGATAAGGTTGAACATAAGTCAATCGGTCATTGGCTTGAGCTGCATCCAATTTGCGAAGTTCAAGGTCGACAGCTTTAGCATGTGCCTTCATGACAGTGGATTGGAGTTGCATATTGAGTGACATCATAGCTTGTGATTGGCTGCTTAATGAATGGCGTTCGGATTGTTGCGTTTGCTCTTGTTGTCGAAGTTGCTCAAGATCGTTTTGGAGGTTGATGACGAGTTCTCGGAATTGTTGGATGGTCGCTTCATAGTCAGCATTGGTCTCTTCGCCTGAACGAATACGCTCGAGCTGTTCTCGTAAAAGCATATCTCTGTGATCTATAAGCTAATATTAGAGATCCACAAACAAAGAACCGTTCATGCGCCCATACCAATTTCAGCCTGAAGTTGTTTCTCGGTTTCCATATGATTTTCTTCCAATTCATCAGCCAATTCTTTGAGAGCCTCCAAGTCCTGGATCACCACACGCATCTCCTCCATCTTCTCATTCAGCGTAAGATTCTTATCAGTCAACTGCTCAACAAGGTCTTCAGCATGAAGGGCATCATCCAAACGCTGCTTGAGATCCTCAATCTGCATATCAGCATCACTAAGTTGCTCCTTGACACGCTCATATTGCTCTGATTTCATTGTATTAGCAAATAATGAATATAAATAACATGCGCATGATATCATTACCTTTGTAATCCTCCAATTCATAGTTCTCCTTTTCCAATGCTTTGATCTTACGATTGAGCTCAGCTTCTTGTTCTTGCGTAGCATCACGTAATCGCATCAATGCTTCTTTGAGACGGTCATTGTGTCGTTCAAGTTGAATGACTTCCAGCGGCGTCTTTTCTTCGCCCGTATTCTCTGGTGCTCGATTGAGGATGTCTAAACAATGAACGTGTTAGTGTCATACAACGACTTGTTTCATTCATCCATACATACCTGCTTCCTTTTTCAATACATCCAAATCCACACTAATCTCCTCAATCTTGTCCTTGAGCACATTGACTTCTTGTTGCAAATTCTCAGCTCGTTCCTCAGCGACCTCCTTATCCAAAGTCATCATTTCCATTGATTCAATGACATCCGTATACTTGGATTCAAAGGCATCTCTTTCTTCACTTGTTTCCTTGAGCTGCCGTTTCGTCTCCCGTAAATCCTTTTGCAATTCAGCAACCTTGTCTATATGATCCACAATTAATATCCTCCTCCATTTTGTAAATGCCTCGCGTTTCTCTTCAATGCTTTACCTTGAAGTTTATTACGCAAAGTTAAAAATTGCTCAGCTTCTTCTTTGACCTTTTCATTCTCTCGATGCCTTTCTCGATCTTCTTGTCGCTTTGTTTCCAAAATCTTGAGCTTGAGTCTCAATTCCTCATAATCCTTCATCGGCACTGTTTGCTCGGATTTGCTGACAGGCATAGATGGTGCTAATGTGCCATAAACGGAAGCTGAGGGTGGTGCAGCTGGTTGCTGTTGCTGTTGTTGTTGCTGTGGTAGATCTTGTTGCTGTGGTGGTGTAGCAGGCGTTTCATCCTCTTCTTCCTCATCTTCATCCTCATCCTCTGGTTTGGTTGATTCATTATCCACATCTTGATCCTCATCAGCATTATCAGGAGTTGCAGCTGTTCTTGCTTGTTCATCACGCTCATATTGTTCACGATGTTCTTGAAGATCTCGTAAGCGTTGCTGTTGTTGTTCTCGTAATAAATGTAGCTGTCTATCACGTGCTTCACGTGAAGCTCCACCAGCTGATGATGCTGAATTAGTGGCAGGATGATTGTTGTTTGAAGATCCTTGTGTTCCTGAACGAGGTCGTCGTATGATGCTCTTTTTGCCACTACCAGGGCCAATAGTGACACTCGCTGTTGGTACAGCACTACTGCGAGGAGATGCAATCATGGTAGGCCTTCGAAGACCTGTTTGAGCAGTTGATCCACCACCAGAAGCACCTGATTGTTGATGTAATCGTCCAATACGTGAACCTGGTGATGATATACGTGAAGGTAAAAGAGTAGATGATGGTGAAGGCGTTCGTTGTTGTAACGATCGAGCTGCTGTAAGATTGGGATCTTGAGGAGGAGCAAAACGTTCTGAACTGGCACTGCTTCTATCCGATCGTGGCGAGCTTAGGGCATCATCCTAGCAACGTAGACGTATTAGACAAAGCCCAAAGTGTGTTACATGTATAAACATACCTCACTTGTAGAACTGGATGATCGTGATGGAAGTACTCGCACTTGACTAGGACGAACAAAGACACCATGGTTCAAACGACAATCGAAGTAACGTTTGCCTTGAACGATACCACTGTTCTTGCCCGATGGTTCATCGAGTTCAATGCCAATCCATTTGCCTGTTTGGAAGCTCGTGGTGCCAGCATAGCGAATGGTGCCTGTTTTGCCTTGCACCTGCACTCGAACACCAACTTTGAGTTCTGTATCGTTAATGGGACCCATGCATACACCACTGGACACTCGAATGGCGGCTGTTGATGGTACTACTGCTGAAGAGAATGCGGAGCGTATTGAATAGAGATGATGGACCGTGAATGCTCAAGAATAAGAGTAGTTAAAAAAGAGCGTCGCGATGTAGATGAGATTGAAGACTTTTTATAACAAAGAAGAAAAGGGGAACAACGTCGCTAATTCTTGTGACACATGCGCATACTTGCGACCCTTTTGGTATCCAAACTTCACTCTAAGCTATGCTTTATCAGTGTTCGATGATCCGACCTCGTGGTATTACTTAAGGGTACACATGCATGTGCGTGACCAAACCTATATAATATGCACACTTGACAAGTCCTTATGTGAGCACCTTTTTATGTTGTCCCTCTCTTGCTCTCTATCCATAATATACTACGCGTTCTTCCTATTCTTGTAACTACCGCTCTTCTTATTGCCACTCATATTATTGTTCCTGGTACCTGAGTAATGAGTGTCGCATATGCCAGGTGAATCTTTATTGGTTTGCTCACTTCTTTCGTAAACTTTGCAAGGCTTCCTATGGGGTGATGATGTTAAACGCTTATATAATCATAGAATACAATGTCGTAGTATTTATATTTACAGGAACCTGTAATCTTTTGCAATCCATACTAACAATAAAAGATAACCTCTGTAACATCCCGCCCTGTACCAATATCAGTATTCGTACCCTTCTTGATTCCCAATTCATAAACTGCCAACTAATAGCCGCTTCCTCCCATTCTCATCCGTTGCCCACTCCAGTGCATGTGAACGATTCTGCTGCTCCAGCCCAACATTTCCATCCTTTAACTTTCTTGATCCGAGGGAATTTGACTGAGCTACGGTCAAAGAGAGATTACATCAATCCATACATCAGCATACATTCGAATGTCTCAACTGATTGATCCTTGCTTGACCGTAACTCAACCAAATCAGCTCGCATCAAGAAACTTGAATGATGGAAGTTCTCGGCTGGAGCACGAGCATTGTTCGCATGTCATATAATTTACAACGTTGCCGATTGTGCGGAAATGGCTATAGCTCGCAATGTATGGGCTATTGTCGATAGTATACAGTATCATCCTTCCATCCTTCCAGTCATGCAAAGTAGCTGAGTTACACAAAGAGGTCCCTCTGCATCTTTTGCTCTGCCAGGGTCCACCTACTTGACAATGAACAAAGACCACTCTTCATATAGCATCACGCTTACAAACATAAAGGTGCCTGTATCTCCAAACTTTACAATGAAACGTGGGGTTTTTATTAGAGCAATGTGCTCGGCTTGGCCAACAGCACCTTGTGTGAAAGTTTCACGTTCAATGTCGCAAACAGCCCAAAAAATATTTTTTGGTCGTCGTCGTCGAAGAGGTCGACCCCCAGATCCAGTTTGGCTGGTAGCGACATTGTGAAATCTGGGAACGGCCACGATGAACTTCATATTTTGACACAAGATCGCTTTGACCCCGACGAGCAGCTTTGTTCTCATAAAGACCCCACGTTTGATTGTAAAGTTTAGAGATACAGGCACCTTTATGTTTTACTATGCGGCAAGCGTGATGGTATATGAAAAGTGATCTTTGTTCATTGTCGAGTAGCTAGATCTTGACAGAGTAAAAGATGCAGAGGGACGTGTTTGTGTAACACAGCTACTTTGCATGACTGGAAGGGTTGATGATTATACTTTATAGCTATCCATGATAGTCCGTATATTGCACGCTATCAGCCAATACCTCACAATCAGCGTTGTTGAAAAATCCATTGCATGTGAAAGATTCTCCTGCTCCAGCCCATCATTTCCATCATTCCAGTTTCTTGATCCGAGTCGATTTGACTGAGCTACGCCCAAACAGTGAATCTATAAATTCTTGAAAGACAGACCCTGCGAATGTCTCCGTCTTTCAAACTTTTGGGCGCTCTCGTTCCAAATTTTCAAATGAAGCGTGAATTTTTTATTAGAAAAAAGTGGATCAGCATGCTCGGAGCACCATCCTGACCAATTTTCAAGTTGGAAGTGGGCAACTTCGGGGCGGTAGGCCGTCCGCTCTTTTGTTGCCGTCATCCACCATTTGGGCCGCCCCGCATTTTAAATCTTCACAATGAAGTCTGCAACTTTTAAACGAATGACATTGATCAGCATGTCCAAGTGCATCCTGTGTGAAAGTTTCATGCTTGAGAGGGGCAATCACCACATCAAGGATTGGATGTACAGTGTTCATGCATTTATACAAGAGGTGTCCGACCCATTTAATTTCCACTTCTTCCGCTCTCAGCCGCTTCCCTCTTCCTCCCACCCTCAACTGTTGGCCCATTCAAGTACAACTACCACCACCTGCGAACGATTGTCCTGCTTCAGCCCATCATGTCAATCCTGCAACTCTCTTGATTCGATTGCCTTCGACTGAAGGGCAAGTTCATGACGTGCACACCTTCTTTTCGCCACTCCACTACAACGCGTGCCTTCTTTCATACAGCACAATGCCTTGCACACTCCTCTGCCACGATCAAGCGTAACAGCGTTCATTGCAGCAGTTGCTATCCGCATTGCGCGTGCTCCATTGTCTCGAATCGCGTTCTTTACTTGCAGCAACGTGGCTTGCAGCCTTTTCAGGTGGACAGCAGATAGCCATCATATAGGAGCACCTTTATTTACGTATAGCAACTTGTTTCAATACATACGACTTCCTAAGAATATGAATATGAATATGGATATGGATATGGATATGGATATGGATATGGATATGGATATGGATATTGGTTTGATGCATGGGATGGAAGGATCTGGGCATATACAACGCGTGGAAAAAGGCTTTGTCAACTTGATCCATTATGCTTCATGTTGTGATCTTGAACATTGGCGCATCGAATTGTCATGCTTTACACGATACTTTATGGCAGTAAAATCATCATCATCATCCAACTTCATGTTTCGACACGCCATGCATATTATACGCCACCGCACCTTGCACAATGCACGCCGAAAGGATGGAAACCTCCCTTAGCAATGTATCTCCCATTGGAACAAGTCGCTGTACCTCTCAGCCTATCTTGTGTGAAGGATGCCGGATCAAAAGATTACTTTATCGAATACGAGATTGCGTTTGTCAACCATTTCAAAGTTCTCCAAACCTTCCTTCTTCCTGAGCTGGTGGACCTTGTCGTGTGTGTGACACTTGATGCGTTGTATTATGTAGTATAGATAGATTTATTGTACGGCATGCTAAAGGAAGAAAGAGAGATAAAGAAAAGGTCTGATTGATTGATTGTGTCTTGAACAATGGCTGTATTTCGGTACCATAAGTTACTTCCCTTTTTGTGATTTGATCTTGTCAATGACGCTGTTAACTTGGTGGCACGTGCTTTGCTGGATGAGGATGGGGTATGCAATGGCTGAAAATCAACGTGTGATTATGGTGCCCACAAGAGGTGTCTTTTATGCTTTAAGTCAAACTATTGTCTTCGATTACTCATGACAGCTAAAACAAGGCAAGATGTATGATATTGAAACAACGATGACCAAGCACTCGTTTTTGTTTTATTTGCAAAGTTGATCAGATGTTTAGAGTTGACCACAGTTGGTGATCTTGATTTCCTTGGTGGTGCGACCGCTTTGGCTGCCACACTTCTCAATGGCCTGAACGATGTCCATACTATACATTATACGTCATGATCAGTCCAAATCCATATTCCGATATATAGATTGACCCATGTACTTACCCTTCAACGACCTTGCCAAAGACAACGTGCTTACCATCCAACCAGGGGCAGGGGACAGTGGTGATGAAGAATTGGGAGCCGTTGGTGTTGGGACCAGCGTTGGCCATGGAAAGGAGACCAGGTTGAGTGTGCTTAAGAGTGAAGTTCTCATCAGCGAACTTGTTGCCTATTATCACACCGATCGATGAAAAAGTCAGCATCTCTTCCTTTTATAAACCACGCGTTTCCTTTCCCAACTCACCATAGATGGACTTGCCACCAGTGCCGTTGAAGTTGGTGAAGTCACCACCTTGAAGCATGAACTGGGGAATGACACGGTGGAAGATGCTGTCCTTGTAACCGAAACCCTTCTCGCCAGTGCAAAGAGCACGGAAGTTCTCAGCGGTGCGTGGGGTTGTATCGGCCGCAAGTTCAAATACGATGCGCTGTTGAATAGATGAATGTAAGCATAAACGCGGGTTTGTTTGTAAGCGAGTCCATAATAAAGAAGAGTACTTACACCGAGAGGCTTGCCTCCGGCTGCGACATCGAAATAGACCTAAGAGGAATCGATGATTAGATGAGGTTGATCATGCTATCAAGTAGCTTTAACTTACTCTAGGGTTGGACATGTTTATAGAAAAGAAGAAAAAGAGGTAGGTGTTTCTATGAACCACGGGAAAATGAGGACTTTTTATTGCCTCGGGCTTAACGCGCGGTTCCTAAATCGGAGAGACGTGTTAAGAAAAAGTAGCGGCCCAATGATTGAAAAAAGTCCAAGGCTTTCCACCGCGTTCTGCTATGGGACTGCATAATTGAGCTTGTGTGTTTGGCGCAGTATTACGTGTTGATCCATTATGCTATCTATGACAAAGCTCACTCGCTGGGTAAAATCCTCCTACTTAATAGGAGCTACAAGCCTTATCATTATCATGTCATTGGGGTATTGGATGAGCAAAGACGTCATTTTCACGCATGTCTCGGGTATAAAGAGCAAACAAAGGATGCTGCTCGATGCTTCATTGTTTGCTTTTTGAGGAGTTTGGGAGGGAACCTTATTTTGTCATGCACCAACAAACGTTATTAGCACATGCAGCAACAGCATATGTATTCATTGTTTTGATAGGGTGAGCAATCGGCGTTGGGGAGGAACCGATAGCTTATATATTCTGACAGCGCCTTGAATTGTAACACAAACTTGTGCCGGTGGCTCATCTTCAACGAATGTACTCTTGTGTGTACCCTTCACGTCATTGGAAAACCGCAATGATGGCCGACGCGTGAATCCTGGTAGATTTCCCACGTATACAACAATATAGTATGCTCCATAGATGGCATGGGATCATTGCACACACGTTATTATCAATGCAAACAAGTGCTTGTTGCACAGCCATATATTGGCATCATCAGCAAGCATCGTATTGCTGTTCCAGACCATCTCCGTTAGTTGTATACGTATGCATGTGTGCACATGTCATGTAAATGGCATCGCTTTTTTTTTTCTTTACTTGTGTCATCATGTTCCAGCATATGAATCAAAACAGAGGGAATAGGTGTGTTGGTTACAATAAGGGTTACAAAAGTGCATGTGCATGTGTAGAGTTGTGTGTGTGCATGGGAGGTAATCATCATTGAGTATTGGAAATGGGAGTGAAAAAGAGAAAGTGAAAGAAAAGGGTATATGGAAAATGCAAAAAGTGTGATATTACAAAAAGACCTTTGAATGCAAAGGATCATCTTCTGGAAGCGTTTGGAGGAAACCTTGCCATTCAGCCCATAAGACAACGGCCGGACCTTCTAATCGATGCACTGGTACGAGGGTAGCTTGCTTATCTTGAGAGAAATCACGACATTGGGTCCATCCATTGGCACCATTCATGTAAAAGGCTATAGCTTCAGGAGCTTGTAATGTCAATTTGATCTCCATGCGATCATCTGACAACTGCTGCAACTGGATACTTTGTACCGAATCCAAGGCAAAGATCATTTTAAATGAAAGTGGGCCATCTTGAATGACCCAAGTCAGCTGTCGTTCCACCAAATCACAAAAGCAATGGATATCATTAGGTAACATCACCATACGTTTCCAGGTACCAATTTCAAGTGTGTCAGCAGAAAATTGGTGTTGGACAAGCAATGTGGAAACTGCCATAAAGGATAAAGTAGTGTGTGTGAGAAATAGGATGCATTAGCGAAAAAAATGAGCACACTTACAATCACTCCATCCTCCCATATTCGATAAGGGTGGCATGGTTGCTCCTCTTGAGCGATTTGTTGGTAGTTCTTCTTGATGAGGAGGAGAGCGATTATAGTCAGCTGATTGAGCACGGACCATGGATGCTGGTGGTGGTGGAGGAGGGGGTGGTGGTGGTGCGGGTGGAAATTTGGATGTAGGTTGCTGTTGTTGTTGGTTGTAATAGTAATAGTAATAGTAGTAATAGATGGGTGCATCATAGGTATCTTGCATTTGACAAGCTGTAGTGGCGGCTGAAGCAGCCCATTGCTGCATTCGTAAAATACGAGTTTGAGCAATGGATGTACGCCTGGCAATGTTCTTTTCTTTGGCACGTCGATTTTGGAACCAGATTTGAATGGACCTTTCGGTCATCCCTAACTGCTTGGAGAGTTGCTCACGTAAACGACCTGAAGGTGAAGGATAAGAAGTAAATGTACGTTCAAGCACAGCCAATTGATTTGGCGATGTGCGGGTTCGTTTCCGAGGTTGTTGTTGTTGAATGGTCATTGTTTCTTTGGAGAAAGAAGAAAAAGAGAAAAGGGCATTTGCCATACAAGAAAGAAAGAAAATGGGACTCCCCCTTCTCGTTTATATAGACGCGATCCAAACTCACGCGCATAAATCTTTTTCTACTTTTTCCCCCCAAGATGTTACGCTGTCCCCCGTCTCATGAATAAACACAGCGATCGGTGCTCTTCACACACATCGCTCGTGTGATGTGCTGTTAATTGACACATTCCCGATTCAGTATAAGGTCCAAAAACGTGGTTCAATATGCAGGAACGCGCTCATGTAACGAAGATCCCTACTTTATCCAATTTTAATGTCATCCTCCAAGTAAATTGCGATATGCTATATGCGTGTATATGTAAACATGTGTTGACATATACCAAGCATGTTCGAGAAACGTTACCAATGGCCCATCGCAGCTCGTTGTTCCAAGGCATTACGCCAAAAGAGGTAATTCAACCTGCTCCTTCACGGTTACACCCACTTTCCACGATACTGTAGTCGGTGTGAATCCATTCTCTTACCAACAATGAAATAATAAATGACTCTTTAATTGCATTTTTGTTTGTTGCACCATGAACAGGAACGTGGCGAAGCAAGGAAGACAAATTAGGGGGGAAGGAGGATATGGGTGATTGAAGCGCAGGTGGTGGTGATAGTGTTGTTGTTGAAGAAATGTGTGCTATATGTAGTATATAAAATGCTAATGACTAATGGGTATCTAAATCTAAATAAAAATGTATGTTTTGGATTAGTTGAAATACTTGGTGGCTTCATACTCTGGTGGTGGCAATGATGGGACACGTTCAAGGGGAAGATTGCTGGTGACAAGGAATGGAGTTTGAGAGGCGTATTGCATTTGGCGAGCGAAGTCATGGTAACAGTCGCATAGATACGTGTGTGGTAACTCGTTTGGCTTGTCGATCTCTGGTTGCGCCCATTTACTCTTCTCCTTTTTCTTCTTGCCTTCATGAGGAGCCGCTTGACGAGGAGTCACACCCAACTCAAAATACGAAGGTAATCTTCCAAAATCTTCTTTCAAACGACAATCAAAGACCGTTATCGGGACATCGAACACAATGGTATCATAGATACGACGCTTGTCCTTGCTCTTGTCACGGCTCACTTTGAACTTGGATAACACATGTTGCCATGAACCGGATCCAGCCGCGTCAGGATGATGATGATGATCATGGATTGTTGGAGTATGATGTTCTAATGGACCTTCCATGATATCTTCCGGAGCCAGTGGATGCATGGAGCAGATATCACCTTCATTAGGAAAAGAGAGCGTCAACTTGATGGTGATATAGTGACGAAACTGGATCTCTCGGTAATGAGTGCTTGTGTGATGGATGTTTTGGTGGCAGGTAGGCGTTGCAAAAGTCAGCCGATGAGCGAATGTATCACCGATCAGCAATTTCCCCTTGCTGGAGCTGAATATGGGTTGTACTTGATCCGTGGTATCTGTGCTCTCATCCAAAAGACTCGTCGATGCTCGAAACTGGAACGGAAATCTTTCATGTCCATTTCTTTGTGCACGCATCTCCAATTCAAGATATCGATAATGCTCCGTCACAACGACATCCATATGCTCCAATCGCACATGCTTCATCTGAGGTTGGATAATCGATCTGATATGGAAAGCTTCGCCTGCTGAAAATGCTGCTTGTTCAATGATCACTTGAATGTCGGCTGGGCCAATCCTCTTTTCCAAAGTACGTGATAAATCTTGCACCGTGTTGTTGGTAAGCAGCGAATTGGACATGTAGGTACGCAATACAAGCACCGTCTTGGTGGAATGCCATGAGTTAAGCAACGAGATACCAGGTCGACTAGCACGTGCTTCAATCGTATGTCGTACTCGGCCGTAAACATCATCAATCGATTCAACCACAGACTAAAAAGAGCCTCAAGTGAGTGATTGGATCATCCAATAACCCTTTGTTTTTACTTACATTAGGTACAAGGAAGCCAAAGGGAAGTCGATGTACACCTTCAGACAAGTACTTGGTTTCATTCATCAATACAAGGGTCTCCTCGCTAAGCACCTTTTCAGATGTCAATCGGGTGCCTCGAACACCAATTCCTATATTACATACATATCTGATAAGCAACCTTGACATACATACAAATGATATAAAAGTACCCTCTGGCCAATACGTGGTAGCCGTACACTTGAATGTCACTGCAATGTTGGAGATCTTTGTTGACTTTGATAATGTCAGGACGACATTGCCTGATAAGACGGTCTTTGATTCTTCAGTGGGAGGACCCCGTAGAATGATAGGCTTCAACGGATCAAATGACAGGTTGGATTGCGAGATCTTTTTGAGGTTCATTGCGAGCAAGGGAAAAGGGAAGAAGGGAAAGTGGTTGCGGGTGCAAAGATAAGGGAAGAGGAGCAACAAAGAAAACTCAAAAAAGAGCCCGTGGTGTTTACCGCCTTTTAGACCATTGATCGGTGTCGGGTCAAGACCGATAGGGATCGCGATGGAAATGTGGAAAATCTTTTTTCGCAACCGATGATGCGTCCGTGCTCGGATGGACGTGGGAAACATAGGTGCTTCGTGTAACTCGCGTGGTCAAAGAGTGCTTGAACAATGACAGCCCCTTCTATTCCAAGTGGTGTCAGTTACCCCTTCCATCTCTTTGTTGCCGCCAAATGCTATTTTTACAATCAGCCGATTATTTCACCTGTTATGGCACATTTAGAGCAATCCGATAACAAGCTCCCTCTCTTCCTCCCTTAACACATTGACTATTCAACGACACCATAGGCAAATGGACTCTTCTAGACACATAATAGTTCCTGCTTTTATCTATGATACAATAGCGATGTCATGGCAACCGTTTTTGATTTTCATAAAGTGGATCCATAATTCTGACTCAGCGGGATAAACCATGTGGCATAGGATCAATGTGTCACTGTAAATTAAAGTTTTGCAGTAGAAGGATACCATCAAAACTTTGCAAAGAGCTGCATGATTGCTGCAAACAGGGGACAAAGATGGTTGCCCCTGCTCATTTTTGATTGGGAGATTTACCGCTTGGGTGATGTTGTCTTTGTTTTGCTGTGCTTGTGGCCGCATGACCATCGGGGATAGAACATCAAAGAACCGGCATATAAAAAGGCCGTCGGCATATAGGGCCTCTATTGCCACTTGTCTTTTCATCCCATACACACAAAAATGGGTACGTACGCGTTTAGAAGTCATTGTATGCATCCATTGTTGACCTTGATTGTATGATTGCAGTCGCTCAAGTTCAACAACCTGCTCCTCAATTCAAGCTGCCTGCTGTTGTCAACGGCGAGTTTAAGGACATCTCGCTCTCTGATTTCAAGGGCAAATACGTTGTCTTTTTCTGGTACCCCATGGATTTCACCTTTGTGTGTCCCACTGAAATTCTCGCGTTTTCCGAACGAGTGAAGGATTTTGAAAAGAGGGATACTGTGGTACTCGCTGCATCGGTTGATAGCGGTAATAAGATAATGTCAACGTGTAGTAGTAAGGATATCAAATGCTGATGATGGCATGGTTTATAGAGTTCTCTCATTTGGCTTGGATCAATACACCTCGCAAACAAGGAGGTCTTGGTGAAATGAACATCCCTATTCTTTCTGACAAGACCAAGCAAGTTGCTCGTGACTATGGCGTCTTGCTTGAAGATGCTGGTGTCACTCTTCGAGGTACTTTGCGTGCTTTTAAAACACGTGTTAAAAGAGAGACAGAGACTCTAAACATTGTACCATCATCATAGGCTTGTTTTTGATCGATCCACAGGGTATCGTCAGACAAATTACCATCAACGACTTGCCTGTTGGCCGTAACGTGGATGAAGTTTTGAGGTTGATTGACGCGTTCAAATTTACTGATGTTCACGGTGAAGTGTGCCCTGCCAATTGGCATCAAGGCGATATGACCATCAAGCCCGAAGTCGACAAGTCCAAGGAATACTTTGAAAAAGCCAACTAAGATCCATCCATACGTGTGTGGCAATGTAAAATAAAAATGGAACATCGTGTTGTTTATGTTTTGATCAATAATAACGTCTACACTAAACTCTACTACATCATGCATTTGTGCTGCAATACGAAAATGTTTCATGTTGTCATGATGATGGGTCCCTTCCACTTGATGATCCCTCAAGCGTCCACGTAGGAAGAAAAGTCATGCACATGTCCTCTTTCTCCTTCACGCTACGCCTTTTTCGCCTTCTTGACAATATCCAAGGACGTTTTCAGCATCTCTGATATACGTTGAAAGGATTGTATTTGCTCCATGTCTGCCACCACCTTGCGAGCATCCGTGATATCCGAGTCAGCTGTCTCCACTCTACTTTTCATGGCTCGTAACCGTTTCTTGTCCTCCACAATGACTGGCACTTTGCGTTGGATATGATCAGCCACTTGATATAAACCGATCGAGCAATCATTGAATGCCAATTTGGCTGTCAGCACTATCCCTGTGGTAACTATCATTCATAAATGTCAATATACATCATCGTATCATGGCAAAAAAGATACCAACTAACCTTGCTGAACACTACCATGGATACGTCGTTTCCGTTCAGATTCATCGGAAGGAGGATATTGTAATACGGCTGCTGCTCCTGCACTAAGGGTATTGAGACCAGGTGTGCGACGAGCGAGCGACGACAACTGATCGAGAGATGAGCTTGAAAAGAGATTGAGCGAAGAAGACGGTGACAATTCAGGACGATGAAGCGAATCCTTTTGAGATGAGAGTGATGTGGAAGAAGAGGCAACCTGGCTATCTTCGGATGTCGCCATATACAACAACAACAGCTGCGGGGAAAAGAAAGCAACTCTCTGATTTGGAATTTCATGCAATTGTCAAGAACCAGGTAATGCTCATCGTACTATGGCGCGATCGTAAAGATGGTCCAAGGTTAGGTGGGGGCTCGATTGCTGATGCGAATGATCATTGCAATTTACAGTATTCGAATACATAGGCATACATACATACCATGCTAAGCCGTTGCCTGGCAACGACAAGTCTCTTTTATATTGGACATGTGCGTAAGAAAACAAGTGATTCATTATCCCCAGCAACCGCATTGTGTAACCAACCAGCTGTATATGTGTTTGTCATTGAAATTGTCTCTTTTTGCTCCCTCTCTTCCACACTCCTTTTCCACAACACTCGTTACTCATGGCACCAACCTCGGCCATAATTGGCATTCCAGCACTCATTATGCTGTTGGCACATTACAAATCGTTGCCCTTGGCGTACACAGCCAGGTCAGGGTTGTTATTACGGTCTTTGGTCAAACAAGCCAAGGCAAAGAACCTTGAACCCGAACGTAAGTCTACATACTAGTTGCTATCATAGCTCTTGTTCTCATTCTCTTTGTATTATACAGCATTATTCGGTATCGTATCCCAGGATCATAAGGTTTTATTTGACGACATAGACTATAACCAACATATGGTAAGGGTCCCAAAAGAATCAATGATGGAAAGCACGATCTAATCATATGCCAATAGAACAACGGGTAAATATGGGATAAAGGATTTTGTGTAAGTGGGGGTGGACCATGGCTGATATGATTGATCTTTTTGTAGCATGTACAACAAGGTTCTTGATTTTGGTCGAATCCACTTACTATATACCATCCTTCCTCGCGTGATGATGGAGCCTGATCACAACATCTTTTGCCACAATGCGGGTGTGGTGACCTTGTTTCGGAAAGAGATCAAACCCCTCAGCAAGTATACCGTGCAAACTCGTATATGGACATGGAATCAAAAATGGTTTTGGCTTCAACATCGTTTCATCTTACCCGATGGTACTGTGGCGTGCTTGTGCGTAAGCAAACTTGTCTTTAAAAAGACTTCCGGCAAAACAATCCCACCTGCCGAGATCTTCAAGTTGTGTGGACATGATTTAAGTGATCCTTCAATCGAGGAACGTCGTCAAAAGAACTGGGAACTTGCTGAAGGACTGATCAAGCTGGATGCTTTGACCAACGACACCTACTCATGGAACTCACAGCAAATCCTTCCACATGCAAAGTTATAGATGTATTATTATAGATCAATTTTTTATTAAACAACCCCACTACACTATTATAATGATCACATGGGAATTCTTTGTACTTTGTCGGATCGTAAATGCCCCACAAGAAAGAGCATCTCCTTGCGCATGAAATTGATGCCGGCCCCTGTCTTGGAACTCACCACCAATACATCCTTGATGGCATTGCGGTATTGCGCTATGTCCTTTTGAACCATGGTAACGCGACGTGCAAGATCTGGAAGCACCGGGATATCACATTTGGTCAACACGATTTGAAATCGCACTCGTTTGCTATGATCGTCAAGCATTAGATGCATGTCAAATGAATTAAAGGCACGCGTTTACCTATTCAGCATTTGGAGGAAATCGAGATCTGCTATTTTAAGGCCTATCAATGTATACGTTAGCAATGCTGTTTGATGGATGTATGTATATCACTCACCATGACGAGCATCAATCACCACATAGACTCGTTTCAGAATTTTACGGCTTGAGATGTAATCTTCCATCTATTGAGACATTGAGTGACATGCCCTAATATCAATAATGGCAATGTGCGTGCATTACCAATTGACGCCATGCTTGTCGTTCCTTTTCATCTACGAGTGCAAAACCATATCCAGGCATATCGACCATGAAGAAGAGGCGACCCACAGAGAAAAAGTTGATTTGTTGTGTCAATCCTGGTTTGTCTGATACACGGACCACCGTTGAAGATGCGAGACGATTGAGCAAGCTTGATTTTCCTACATTGGAACGTCCTGTAAACGACGATACGATGAGTTTGAAAATTGGGTTGTCAAGCAAACATTGGGATACTTGCCTACCACAGCAACCTCGGGTAAATCTTCAGGTGGAAACGATGCAGGCGTTTTGGCACCGGCAAAGAACGATGTTAAAGGAAACTATAAATACAAGTTAGCAATGATTCATGCATATTGTGTGTCAAGGATGAAAACTTGCTTTAATCTCTGGGTCAGGAGGACCTTCTGGTTTTTGCAACGTGCGTACAACACCTTCATATCGTTTTGTGCGTCGCAAGGACCCAAAGCCAAGACGTTCAAGCTTTTCAAATATCTGTCGTGGTGGTTGGATTTGTCTGAATTTGGCGCGATTGGACAAGCTGCTCATGCAGCGGCATTGTGTGAGGCGAAACAAGGTTGACATTGGCACAAGAAGCAAGTAGCGAGAGAGGGAGAGAGCCGATCCGACACACAAGTCTTTATTTCTTTGTCCCCTCCATTCCCGACAACGGACTCCACATTATGCTACGCCAAACGATCTATGCACTTTCTTCAGCTCCTGGCAAGGCTGGTGTTGCCGTTGTTCGTGTATCAGGCCCACGTGCCAAGCAAGCGTTAACAAGTTGTACCGCTGGCAACGCACGATCGTCATGGCGACCACGACAAGCTTACTTTCGATCGATCCAGCATCCACACACACGAGCACCCTTGGATCGTGGTCTTGTCTTATGGTTTCCAGGGCCACATAGCTTTACCGGAGAAGATATTGTCGAGTTGCATGTTCATGGTGGCAACGCCGTCGTACGCAGTGTGCTGGATGCCCTTGGTGACCTTCCGGATTTCAGGCCAGCGGAGCAGGGCGAATTTGCTAAACGTGCCTTTGACAATGACAAGTTGGATTTGACTGAACTCGAAGGGTTGGCGGATCTTTTGAATGCTGAAACAGAAGCACAACGACAACTTGCATTACGGCAGGCTGAAGGTGGACTACGTGTACCTTATGAGCGATGGCGAGAACAAATCATTCATTGTATGGCTATCATGGAAGCTGTCATTGATTTTGGTGAAGATGAACAAATTGATGAAGGCGCAACCGATACGGCCGTACAAAATGTCATCGATATGCGTAATGCCATCCTGAAGCATCTCGACGATAAACGTGTTGGTGAAATCGTACGTAACGGTGTCAAGGTCACTATTGTTGGTCCACCGAATGCTGGAAAAAGTACATTGTTAAATATGCTTGGTAAGTAGTCCTTGTATATATCTCTTGTTTCACGCCATGCATCATGCTCATGATCATGTGATTAGCAAAACGTGAAGCAGCCATTGTATCCGATATACCCGGTACTACACGAGATGTGGTCGAAGTAACATTGAATCTTGGTGGCTATCCTGTGGTCATCAGCGATACAGCAGGATTACGTGAATCAACCGATGTGATTGAAAAAGAGGGCATGAAGCGTGCATTATCGAGGTGAGTACGAGTATCCTCTCCCCTATAGAAGAGAAAAACTGATATATTCGTAATGGGTGATGGTAGACTGGATCAAGCCGATATCAAGATATGCCTCATACCACTTACGGATTGGGATCGATTAGACCAAATAGTGCATGACGTGGTTGACAAGAACACGTTTGTTATTCTCACAAAGCAAGATCTCACTGATGACAGCATGATGGAAAAAGCACGGGATCAAGTGGCACAAAAAGCACGAGGAGTATGGGCATTAAGCTGCAGGACCGGTCAAGGTGTCGATCCATTTCTCAATGACATGATTGGTTTATTAAAAACGACGTTTGATGATGCCATATCAAGCCCAGCATTAATTACACAAGCACGCCATCGCCGACATTTGCAGGATTGTGTTGAGGCATTGGATCAATTCCTTGGTAAGCAAATCCCTCTCTCCTTCTCTTTCTCCCTTTTAGACTCATTCATTCATTCATTCATCCCATCTAGCAACGCCAAGTGAAGAAATCGTGTTGGCAGCAGAAGAATTACGACAAGCAGCCAATGCACTTGGAAGGATTACTGGTCGAGTGGATGTAGAGGATGTATTGGATGCACTCTTTAGCCAGTTTTGTATTGGGAAATAAATACTTTGACATAAAAGAAAATACAATGGATGATAACTCAAGACTACTCTACAACACGCTCTTCAATCGCTTTTCAACTTCCTCCCAGTCGTCAGTGGGGATTCTTGTAATTTCACGCTCGAAATGCTTTTCAATCATCTCCACCATTTGCCAAGTCTGCTTGTTGTGAACAAAATTGATGCTGACACCAGTGCGACCAAAACGTCCAGTACGACCGATTCTGTGGAGGTAGGCTTCGTAATCGGGTTGGCCTCGGTTGTCGGTAGGCAAATCGTAGTTGATGACAAGGGTAATTTGAGAGATATCAATGCCACGTGCCAACACGTTGGTAGTAATAAGGACCTTGAATTCACCACGTCTGAAATCATCCATCACCTTATCACGTTCCTCAGGCGTCATACCACCATGCAACGATACAACAGCATGGCCCATCTCTGTCATTCGTCGAGCAATCTCATCTGAGGATTCACGCTTGGCACAAAAGATGATACTTTGGCTGACGGTCAAGAGATCATACAAGTTGCAAAGCACTTCGTACTTGTGTTCGACGCTGTCACAATCCATGTAAAATTGCTTGATGGCATCCACACTTAATTCCTCACGCCTGAGCGAGATCTCATTGGCACCAGGGGCGAACTTGGAGGCGAACTTGCGTACGTGATCAGGGAAAGTGGCTGAAAAGAGAAGAATTTGAGGCTTGCCACGGATCATTTGTTGAATACGAAGACTTTGATCACCCAATCCAGATTGATCCAACATGTTGTCAGCTTCATCAAGGCAAAAGATCTTCAATGCTTGTACAGGCAAAAGTCTACGGCGAATGGCTTCCATCACTGTGCCTGGTGTACCCACAATGATTTGTGCTTGGACGGCTCTTCCCTTCACAAGAGAATCCTTGACAGCAAGTGCGGTCGTCACTTGAGTGAATTTGGACATTTCGAGTACAACATCCATAGTCTGGCGGGCCAATTCACGTGATGGTGCCAAGCAAATGGCTTGTGGAAGCTTCACGGATGGATCAACACGGCTCAACATGGTAAGAACAAAAGCACCCGTCTTGCCAGTACCACTTTGCGATTGGCCGATCATGTTTCTCGGTCTATGATTTCCATGCCCCCAATCAGTTACCAAATAATGTTGACTCCCTAGCACAAACACACTTACGGGTTGGATAAGAGAAGAGGCAACGCGCGTTCTTGGATCTTGGAAGGTTTGTTGAAGCCCATAGCATAAAGACCCTTGAGAAGTTCAGGTTGCCTTTGTATATCCATTGATCAATAAACCTTTTGGATCAACACTCTTTCCCCTTTTATACTTACAATCCTAATTCTTCAAAAGACTTGACCGAGTAGAGAGGGGAGTTGGGGTCGGCTTGTTGATCGGCAAGCTTGACTTGAACCGCATGTGTGCTTTGGATAAGGTTTGATGATGATGGGCCTATAAAAACATGTCCACCATTGAATATCTTATCCATTCATACCTCTATGCTTGACTTACCATTTGCTTTGTCCTCAGGCTTTTTATCAGCAGCAGGTTCCTTGTCCTCAGGTTTCTTATCAGCAGCAGCTTCTGTTGGAGCAGGCGTTGTTGCTGGAGCAGGTGTGGATTCAGGTGCGGGTGCGGGTGCAGGTGCTGAAAGGTGTCGTTAACCACATTAGATAACCCATAGAGAAGGTCGACACACAAACACCAAATACCTTTGTCAGTGCTCAGATCGCCAAGCTTGCTGGTGAGATTGTCGACAGTATCTATAAAGCAAACGTAAACAAGACCAAAATGAGTAAAGAGCACAAGGTAATAAAGGTAAAACGAGAGATCGATCCTTGGAATGGGTCATTGCGAGATCGCCTGTTTGGAACACGGCAAAGAAGGCGCCCATCTCTGATATATACCATCGGATCCGAGAATCTGGCAGAATCAAGAAGGAAAAACGTACCACCTGACATTCCGAGTGATGAAGGAGAGTGGAAGGAAAAGAGAGAGGGACGTGGATGGAAAATGCGTCTGCCTAACGGAACCAGAAATAGGATGCAGCAGCAGCCGCAAGCTTACTGTTGCACAGCCCATTTTGCTTCTTCACGCTGTACAAGAACAAAGAAATGGAAATGATGATCCATCATGGCGTCAAGGACCTTCTTCATAGTCTTACCTTTACCATCATAGAATAAACTTCCAGAGTAGTATTATGATCAACCCAATAGGAGTGATTAAATGACCTTTTGTATACATGAGATTCTTTGGATCTCAAGTCTTCAACAACATGATCTCCATATGGTTTCCTTTGCCGATGACTTTATTCAACTGATACATGATCAATGCTTTTGTTATACATGACATTGCTCTTTATGGAATGTTGCTTCATCTTGAATGTGTTAGATCATTCACTTATTCTTGGTCGATTGTGAACGTTTACATGGATCATCTAAAAACTACATAGCTTTCTATCCAATATCAAAGTTGGCGCACAATGTGGGTAAGGGACGATGCCACATATCGTAGCAGCCGGATGTACCTGATTATCCATTGTAATGAGATCCACTTGTAATGTCATCCACTTTAATAACAACCTTTTACATGATCCATCTACGCTATGATTTGTAGAATGTGAGCGGTTATTGTTTCAAAAACAAGACCTGATCACCTTGTCGATGATGCACCCACTCAACAAGAAACAAAGAATCATGGAGGAAGAATGTTATTACTATTGATGGGAATGTTTATTGATATTCAATGGTCATTGATACGCTGATGTTTCATTGATCAAAGAGGTAAAAAATGAAACTTGGTCATTGTTCGATTGGAGTTGACATCACATCATTGACAAATATGGAAAGGGATGTTTTTCTTATTAAGCAGCCAGTGCTGCGGGCGTAAAGATGACTGGCTGATGATGCCATGCTGCGGTAGCTGTGAGTGAATAAAGCGCCTAGGAGGCCCACGGCATTTTTATCATTCTTCTTCCACTTTCTATACTCTTTTACGCAACATGCAAATCTTCGTCAAGACCCTCACTGGCAAGACTATCACCTTGGAGGTTGAGTCATCTGATTCAATCGAGAACGTCAAGAACAAGATTCAAGACAAGGAAGGCATTCCTCCTGATCAGCAACGTCTCATCTTTGCCGGCAAGCAACTTGAAGATGGCCGCACTTTGTCCGATTACAACATCCAAAAGGAGTCCACTCTTCACTTGGTGCTTCGTCTTCGTGGTGGTATGCAGATCTTTGTGAAGACTCTCACTGGCAAGACTATCACCTTGGAGGTGGAATCCTCTGACTCTATTGAGAACGTCAAGAACAAGATCCAAGACAAGGAAGGTATCCCACCAGACCAGCAACGTCTCATCTTTGCCGGCAAACAACTTGAGGATGGCCGCACTCTCTCTGATTACAACATCCAAAAGGAATCTACTTTGCACTTGGTGTTGCGTCTTCGTGGTGGTATGCAAATCTTCGTCAAGACTTTGACTGGCAAGACCATTACTTTGGAGGTGGAATCCTCTGATTCCATTGAAAACGTCAAGAACAAGATCCAAGACAAGGAAGGTATTCCTCCAGACCAGCAACGCTTGATCTTTGCCGGCAAGCAGCTTGAAGATGGCCGTACTTTGTCCGATTACAACATCCAAAAGGAATCCACTCTTCACCTGGTCCTCCGTCTTCGTGGTGGTATGCAAATCTTTGTGAAGACTTTGACTGGCAAGACCATTACTTTGGAGGTGGAATCTTCTGATTCTATTGAAAACGTCAAGAACAAGATCCAGGATAAGGAAGGTATCCCACCAGACCAGCAACGCTTGATCTTTGCAGGCAAGCAACTCGAGGATGGTCGTACTTTGTCTGATTACAACATTCAAAAGGAGTCCACTCTTCACCTTGTCCTCCGTCTTCGTGGCGGTTTTTAGCTTCTCTATCCCTCCCTCTCTCTCTCTACCACCTCCCCTCCCCTTTATCACTTGCACATATGACATGATAACTTGCAAATAAATCTCACTCCCGATCAAACATAAACTTTCTTTATGAGTAATGTAATAGTATTTAAAACATGACGTCCTAGCCTTTGAGAAGCAGAGAAACGGCATAATGAAAGGATGGATGTTATTTGCCTTACAAGAAGCATATACGAGGATCTCAGCCTGTAATGATGATAATCTGGTTGTAGTGTTTGATTTTGAGCGTGCCGGTTTTTGGATACGAACATGCATAGCAAGGAAACACACATCATGACGTAGATTACAATTGGATTCAGGTATACATAAACCACATGGTCCTATGCGATCCTAAAGGTGCTTTGGTGGAGGGAGAGCTTACTGTAGTGAGTTTCAAAAGTCATTAGGCACCATCTATGTATCATTCTTCTTGGTGCATGACAAGACGCCGATACGTACACATGAGCAGTTTTATGATCAATATCTATTACACTCATCGCTTGTGCTTTCGTGATTGATGCATTCATACACTCAACAAGAAGAAACCTGGTACCTTTTTCTTCCTTCAGGATTGGCATGTTGTCAAAAGATCCTTTTCCACTTGTGACGATTAAACGATTACAAGTCATGAGACTAGGGTAATTTTATTTGCTTGACGAGACGTATATAATAAATGGAAGGTTGGAGTAAAAGCTGAAGAAAGAAAAGGAGGTGACACAGCATTGCATGGGTGTAACCATTACTCTATCCTCACGTTGCCCGGTGACACAATATGCAGCTGCCCGTCTCTTTCGAAAGATCTACAAAGAGAAAGAGAGAGAAAGAGAGAGAAAGAGAGAGAAAGAGAGAGAAAGAGAGAGAAAGAGAGAGAAAGAGAGAGAGAGAGAATAAAACAAGTTGATACCGACAAAGAGCAAGGAGGAGAATGATGGATGACGATTGTGGTGTACATGATGAATGAGCATTGTCGTCGTCTCCTTTTTACAATGTCAATGATGCATTATTGTTGTCAATAGCAACAACACGGGATTCTTGCTTCTGGTCAGTGCTCCTCAATGTGGCAATAAAGGTGTACATGTATCAGGAGGTATGTATGTGTACATCATTGTGTGGGAAGAAAGAGTAGGAGGAGGTGGGGACATGTTAGCCCGCTACCAGGGGGCCACTATAAGATCACTATCGTGTGATGTCTTTACGCGTATCTACGCATTCATGTTGGACATTTCTTTTTCTTCTTTCCACACAACCAATCTCCTCAGCTCATGACAAGAGACACCTCTCGACACCACCACACAGCTTCTATCCAAGTAGGCAAGTTCACAATGGGCATGTTGGACAACACTTTACGACATTGGCCCTAATCCCTCATTGCTTCCTTCTTTCTAGCACTCCGCATTCGCCCATTGACAAGCCAAGATCGTGCCCAGCCACGCTTTGCAAGCTTGACTGAAGACGATATCCTTGAAGTCCAAGATAACAGCGTGCACGTGATTCCACATAACAAGACATTCCATTTTGATCATGTATTCCGACCCTCTTGCTCCCAAGCTGAGATCTTCTCTACGGTTGGAGATGCTCTTGTGAATAAGTTTGTTGATGGTAGGTATCGCTTTGGATTGTTGACTTGGAAAAGATAACATTAACATGAGTCTCTTATTACATGATGTAGGTTACAACGCCACCATTCTTGCCTATGTATGTTGGATATCTCACTATGATGATAGGATGCTCATGTTATGATATTAGGGACAAACATCTTCAGGAAAGACATACACAATGGGAACAGCAGCATCACGTTTACAAGAAGACGGCATTGTGCCACGAGCCGTATCGAAGCTGTTTGGGTTGCTGCATGGGGACAATAGCATCGGGCAATCCAGCATCAAAGTCTCCTTTATCGAAATCTACAATGAGGAGGTGATTGACTTACTCAGCCGATATCCACCCTCTGAGCGACCACCGATCACTATCCGTGAGGATCCAAAAGGCCACATTTATTGGACTGGTGTACGTGAAATGACTGTTCACAGTGCCTGTGATGTCCTTGATTTCCTTCAACAAGGCTCTCGTAACCGAGCAACGGGTGCCACCGATATGAATGACAAGTCTTCACGCTCGCATGCTATCTTGACATTGTCATTGAAAAGAAGGTCCGATCGTGGTGATAACAAGGGCATGATGGTCACTTCAAAGTTCCACTTTGTTGATTTGGCGGGATCAGAACGACTCAAACGCACGGCAGCACAAGGCGATCGCCGTAAAGAAGGCATCAATATCAATGCTGGATTGCTCGCCTTGGGAAACGTGATTTCAGTGCTTGGCAGTGATAAGCAGCAACAACATGTGCCCTATCGTGATTCCAAATTGACACGGCTTTTGCAAGATTCGTTGGGTGGTAATGCGGCTACCCTTATGATTGCATGTGTCAGCCCAGCCGAATACAATCTATCTGAGACAGCCAATACGCTACAATATGCAAGTCGTGCTCGCCATATTAAGAACAAGCTGCAACAAGTGGAAGAATGGATGACGACCGATAATATCGAATTACTACGCAACATGGTTGCATCCCTTTTGAAACATCAGCAACCTATTGGAGATAATACGACGGAGCCAACCTATCAACAACAACGACTCATGATTGTCGACTTGCAACATCAGCTGAAAACCCAAAAGCATGAGATGTCAGCCACACATAAAAAAAACCGCCTTGTCGAACAAGAATTGCATCAGCTCAAACAACGAAACCAGCAGTCCCTTTGTACTAGCGACTTTTCGTATCTTGTGGGACCCGTCATTGAAGAATATGAAAAGTGCATTTCAGCACTCGAGTCGCAGCTTGCTATGGCACGAGCCGCTTTGAATCATGCCGATAGAGAGATTGATGAACAGCATAAGAAGGTTGAAAAATACGAGATCGTGATGGATGAGCAGGAGCGATTGATCCAAGAATACGAGCGCAACAACAAGAACAGCAAACAACAGCATGATTTGGAGAAAGAATTGGATGCTCTTCGATTAAAGAACCACGGCCTTCAATTGGATCTTTTTCAAATGTCAAGGAAATACCTAGAGCTGCAACGCCATGAAGAAGATGATGATGGTGATTATAAGCGAGCATCTGTATCCTCTACATCGAGTCATAGCAGCAGTGGATCTACCGTGGTAGCAGCAGCATCAGGAGGAGAAGGAGGAGGAGGTCAATCGAATGAAAAGTGGCATGAGGATCGAAAGGCGCTACACGACCAAATACAACGATTACGATGCAACGTCCTTGCATTGCAGACACAAGCAGATGAGCGAGATAATGCTGCCGAATCACGAATACAGCGCATGAACGAGAAGTTACAGGCCGTGATCAAACAGAAGGAAGAATTGCAAGCCAAATTGTACGAGAATCGAAATGAGGATGCAGATGGATTTTTCCATAGCAGGCGAAGAGATATCGATCTACCAGAAACGACCAGCCAATACGTTGCTTTGCATGATCAATACTCGGATTTGACCGATCGTATGCAATCAGCTGTGGATAAACTCAGGGCAGTCGTACAATCATCACGAAAGAGCGCCGTGCTTATGCGACATATGGCTGACTTTGAGCGACAACTCGAAAAGCACAAGTCCAAAGTGATGGATGCAACATTGAAACTGGAGGTCGAATTTGATGAGTTTTTTCAGCAAAGAAACACCGACAAGATCGTGCTTGTGCTTTGCCGTGCCAAACATGGATTACACGACCTCAGCCTAACAGCCGTCAAACTTGAGGAAAAAGTACAGCAAGCTGAATTGGCATTGACTGATAGGGCAATCATCCCCACAACAACACCCGCCATATCAACCTATACTAGCTTGTACTCATAACAACGATTGTAGAAAGCCCCCTGATCCCCATCCCAAATCTTGTATATAGCTTTTGTTTAAGGAGTACATAAAAAAGCGTTGATGTTCATTGTGGTTTCCATGACAATGAGAGCTTTACAAAGGACCATCCACTTTTAACATTCATGTCAATGCTTGATCCTAAGATCCTCCAAATTAAATAGGCATGTAATCATAAGCCGTAAAGGAATGATAAATACAAAAGGGTCAAAGAGTATATAGATACAAACAAAACCATTGTGAGTGAGTTTTCTTCCATCAACAAAGAACTGTACTAAAAACAAAGGACTATGTATGTGTGTGCAGGGGAATCATTTTCTACATTTATGGTGTCTCCTTCTTCTTCTAGACGAGATGAATATGAGTAAAGATGCAAGATGTAGTCTTTTTTATGTACTTACAGAATCCTCCATGGCTTTGACCTTAGCCTTGAGCATGGCAAGTTCAAGTTCCCGTTTAGCAATCTCCTGCTTTCTCTTGTTTGCCTCGATCTGTTTCTCCAGCTGCTCCTTTCTTTGTTTTTGCTTCTCTTCTCTGATCTTGGCTAACTCTGCAGCACGTTGCTTGATCACTTCGGGATCAGGTTCAGCTTGTTGTTGTTGTTGTTGTTGCTGTTGCTGCTGCCAAGATTGTTGTTTTTGTTGTTTATCATCCACCTTTTTCCAATACACCTTGACGAACCGGTTTTTAAATAAAACATCAGGACATTGATGAGCGGCCAGCGCTTCAGCGTGTGTCTTGTACTCGATGAAGGCTCGCTGAAATTCGGGCTGAAGACTGATATCAACAATGGTGCCAAACTTTTTGAATGTCTCCGTCACCGCTTCCATATTGCACGAGTCCATTGGGATCTTATCGACGACAATGGTATTGTTGTTGGGATCATAGCGTGTCGTGAAAGGCTGATCATGGAATTTACCCATACGACCATCACGTTGTTGTCGAGGCCTAGGATGATGTGGCGATTGTCGTTGTTGATGGTGATGATGATGACGAGGTTGCTGCTGCTGTGATTGATCTTGTCCTTCAGCCGATTCAATAGGTGCTGTTGTCATATAGGGCATACCATCCATACCCATTTGGAAATGGTACATTTGATCTAGCATTGATATTAACATCCATGTTCCTTTGATTCCTCTTTTTCCTCCTCCTCCAATTGAATTACCTGGATTTTGCATGATCATTGGGTTCATACCCATAGCCCCTGAACTTCCCATAATAGCTTGGAACTTTGAATAGTCGTTGACTGTAATCTGCTCTTCACCATGGTCGAACTTGCAGCTATCACCATACATACAATAGCCACGTTCTATGAAATGAAAAAAACGCCTCGTTTAGAACCAACCCCATGGTATGCATCAAATCCTCTCCTCCTTCTTACCTTCAAAATTGCGGCAAGGAGCTCGACGACGTTGTTCTCCACCTGATGACGATGAGCCTAGTCGTTGGCGTAAATGTGACGGTAATCCTGAATACCGGCTCTGTTCATCTCCACGCACTTGTTTTGACGGTCGATCATCTCCTTCTGCTGAGTATGTACGTTTATCGCCTGTTCTAGGTGATGACGGTGATGCATCTTCAGTAGCAGCAGTTGTGGAAACGTTGCGACGCTTAAAGTTTCGATCATCGTCATCCTCTTCTTCATCGTCATCATCGTCATGCTTATCACGCTTTTGGCCAGCGGATGCTGCTGCGGAAGTATCATCATTCGTAGTATGGTGTTGTACATTGGTTGATCCACCCTCCTTTTGAACTGTATCAATCAAACGCAAGAGATCGTCCACAGCTTGTTCAGTTTCTATCAATCACGTGGCAACAAACATGAGCTTAATCATTCCCCTAAAAAAGTCGTTGCTCATAGTACTCACTTGAGGCGTCTTCACAAAATACAGCTAATTCTTCTCGAAAGACCTTTTGCAACTCATCGCGGCCGTTTTCTCTCTCGACGAACATCATTACGAAATCGGTCAATGCTTCTGGGTCGGCTTCGACACTAGCATGAGTGAAACGCGTTAGGAAACTGATCGAAAAGAGTGGATGGCAACCAGATCAAGGTAACCATGGAGGCTTCTTTTGCCTAGCTACACTTACTATTGGCCAAGAGTATCGGGAAGCTTTTCACGTAGTGATGCGAGTTGTGTACTGCTCAATTTCATTGCTGGAATAGTATAAAAGAGAAAGAGAGAGGGAAGGAGAGGGAGGGAAAAATACAACCGGACTATGCACTGGCACAAGCAGTCGGAATCTTTCTCTTGATCAAACTCCACGATTCAGCTCTTTCGTGACGAGCATACAAAAGAACCATAGATAGAACGTTATCCTTTATGTACATCAATATGATTGCTCTTTTATTATTATAAATTTGTAATACACTATGCAAGACCATTGGGATTGGGATAAAAGACAATGCTATTTGGGTCTGGGTTTTCACCAGGATCCACCACTGGGTTGAGTGAATTGGGATTGAGGAAAAACACCGTAAGGTTGAAAACAATACCAGCGAGAATGACCGAAAACCATACAACCACTGGTAAAGCCTCCTTGATTTGTAAGAGTAAAACATTCTCTAGCTTGCGTTCAGAAGCTGATCGAGCGCTTGTGCCCCAACCCACATCCCACAAGGAAACGAGTGCCCATAGTTTGGCAGGAACAAGACCAAGCAAGTAGTAGATCGAGTAGAGTGGGAACGCAAGGAAGCGTAAGGACCGTGAAACGATCAACGAGTAGATGGTCTTGATACAAGCGATAGCCATAAGCGATACGAGCCAAACAGCAAGCACAAAGGGAGCATGGGCCCACAAGATGTAAAAGATGGAAAAGAGCAATACAAAAGGGTACACACCCTGATAAAACAGCTCAGCCGCCATCCATGGACTATGTTTGTGCAAGCTTCGAGCATTCCAAAGTAATTCACGATAAAAGCTCTTGGACCACCGTGTTTGTTGTTTGAACCATCGTAAAAATGCAGTGGGTGTTTCAGTCTCACAAAAGGCGTAATGCGTGTAGACGACTCGATAGCCATGAAGTAATACACGATTTGTCAAATGCCTACAATGTTTGAATAAGTCACGTGTTTATACAACCACCACACATCTTTTTTACTTACCGATCATCACCATAAGTACATTCCATGCCAAGGAATCGTTGTGCAATCCAATCATCCAATATCTCTGCCAATACGCTTGATCTGTACAATCCCATTGGACCTGATACGCATGTGACGCAGCGATTGAAGCTTTGTGCAGCACGTTCAATGTTGAAAGCCATCCAATAGCGCAACGACGACATGAATGAAAGCAAAGAGTCACCAGCATTCCAAATACGCACATCACCTGCAGCCGCACCAATGTTGGGATGCCAATACAAAGCACGTTCCATTTCAACCATAGCATTAGGATCAAACTTGGTATCAGAGTCAGTGGACATGATAGCATCACATCCAGCCTCCATCAACACCCGAAAAGCTGTGTACATGGCATGGCGCTTTCCACAATGCGGTTGCAAATAACATACAGCACGGGTATCCGTAGGCAACAATACGGGTTCTTCACCTTCCCACATGGTCACACGTTCCTCGTCCTGGCTGCTGCTGCTGCTGCTGCTGCTTCCTTGCCGTTTTACGGGATCCATATCATATTTCTTGTATTCCATCTTTTCAGGATCTTGTTCAGTGGATGATGTTGCCTTTGGATTCTTTTGCGCCAGCGCACGTTCTGACATGAGATAGGGTAACACAACAGTCGAATGACCAGGGAATGCCTTTTCAAAAATGGATGCCATTTCATGATCCTCTTGATCCTTGCCGTCCACCACCACTACAATCTTGAAGGGATCAGGATACCGGAGCCGTTGAATTGATTCGAGACATTGTAAAAAGAGAGTGGGTTCTTCACGATAGCCAACCACCGCCAATCCAATCTTGCTCGCCTTACGAGGTGTTGTTGTTGGTGATTGTTGTTGTTGCTGCTCTGTGGATTCCGATTTGTAGGCTGAGACGGGAAGGGGTGTCTTTTCACGATACCGTGCCAACATGATACGATTGAGCGTCGCGAATAGGAGTTGCAGAATAATGAAGCAAAAGACGACCGTGCCATACACACCAAGAGCCCAAAACGACTTGCGAGCAATATGGATATGCAATGCATACCCAACGATCGCGGGCACCACAAATAGGCATGATATCGTAATCGAGTATATGATTTTCAGTGGTAGAGTCCAGATCATTGTCCGCTTGTTGGCATCGAGGTATGAACAAAAATGATCTAAAGAAAATAAAGAGGGCACTAATCATCAAAAGTCCAGATTATGCACACACACACATCCATATTCACCTCGCTTGTTTAATCCCGCTTGGACTCAGTGCAATGTTTATCACCGATGCTGTTGTTGCTGTTTCGATTGAAAATTGAATAAGAACATCTTTGTGCCATCATTGCATGTGGGGACAATCATCATTGGTTTGGTTGAAATGTATACACAGTATACCAAGATTGCTTTTATGAATAATACTTTGGTAAACTCAATTAGACTATGCATGCATCATAACATGACAACAATTGGGAGTTTGGTGTGACTCGAAGATACAAACAAATAAAGCGCAGCGGTTTTTTCGAGGAGAATGTGCCCTGAAGTCATCGGACTCGGTGGCACAAACAAATAGTTACTTGACAGCGTTTTCAGGTAGTGTAGTACATTGTTGTTGTCGATTAGGAGGATGGTGGAAAAGGAAAAAAGGTATATGTGTATGAGAGTTGGGGTGATATAAATGTGAATGTGCGTGATGGTGGCTAGCAAATGTGTGTGTGTGTGTTGAAAAACGAGAGATAAGAGAGAATGGAATGAGTGATGAAGTTGTTGGTGACTGATTACACATGCAAAAAGATTAAAAAATGAAGGTGGTGGTGGTGGTGGTGGTGTTCAATGTCGGTGTGTAGTGTGTGTATGCGTTTTTGATAGGTTGTTGATATACTAGGAGTCAGCAACGGCCAACTTTTGAATCATGACTTCGTCCTCATCCTCGTCATCATCTTCTTCTTCCTCGTGACGTAGCATCTCGAGCCGTTTGGTCTCATCGATCAAAGCAATCATGTCATCGGTATTTGCTACATTTGAAAAGAAATCATGCTAAAGAAAGTGAATGATTAGCATATACATCGCAATCGAAAAAGAAGAAAGCCATATCTACCTTTAAAAGCTCTTCAGCATCCGGCCGATCTTTGGGATCCATCATGGTACAAAGTTGCAGAAAATCTTTGAGTTCTTTTGACCAACGATCCGCTTCTTCGAGTGGTGGTAACCCATTGGATGCAATCAAAACAACAGCCTTAAAGCAACAAGGTTAGCCATTTTCCATGCTAATTTAAATCATTGGATGTTCCAACGCTTGACTTACTCGAAGGGGTGGGTACTCCACATAGGGTGGATCTCCTTGCATCATTTCCATCATCAATACACCCAAGCTCCAGATATCAGCCTTGGCATCATACTCTTGGCCCTTGATGACCTCAGGTGCCTATCAAACCAAAGGTTGAATATGCTATCCTTCCAACCTAATCCACCTTTCATGCATACCATCCAATAAGGTGTACCAACGATAGAGTTTCTGTTGGGTTGCTGCTTTGTCAATTGGGCGCAATGACTAAAGTCGGATAGCTTGATCTCGCCACGTTGACTCAAGAGCACATTGTCGCTTCGGATATCACGATGGATTCGATGCAGGCGATGAATACGGCAAAGCGCGCGCAACATGTCACGAGCAATACGTGCCATGTGTGCTTCTGAAACCACGTCATCAGGATTTTCCATGTTGACCGCAATAATATCCGCGAGAGATACATCCATGCATTCCATGACAACCTAATGATTCAAGATAGATGAATAAACCAAGATCCCAATAAAGAGAGTAGCTTACATACCCAAACCTCATCCTCTGTCATATAACAACCAATGTATTCCACCACATTAGGATGTCGGCTCATCTTCATGGTCGTCAACTCATTGCGTATTTTGCTCAGCTTTTGAGTAGCAGTCTTTGGAATCTTTTTGATGGCAACCTAAATGTCGACCCAGTTGAGTGGATCTCTCCAGTGTAACGGACCACCTCTCCCCCCTCTTCTCACGCCATCGACTTACCAAACGACCTGTGGCAATGTGTTTAGCAGCAAACATGGGTCCAGATTCACCTTCTGCAATCAATACGAAATCGCTATAGACCGTTTCAGGATCCACATTATCCACAAGATCATCTAAAAATACACATTAGCCCATTGAACACTTTCCTTCACACTTTTTTCTTTACCAATGAAACTTGAATCAAGTGAAAGATGACTTTCGGAAGCAGCCAATGCGGATGAGGGTGGTTCAATATCTGGAATAGCATACACTTAGTAACCATGTTTTCCCCTTATCATGATATCCCATCCTCAAGGTACCTTCCATCTCCTTGGCAATAAGCGATGACGATGACGATGATGGCATTGGAGGAACATCTTTGGATAAATGGGCGAGTTGTAATAATTTTGAAGAACGAGCTCGTGTGGGTGGTGCAAAGCCCAAAGGCAAAGTGCTTCGAGGTCGATTTGGATCCGGAGTGTTTTGATTCTCGTGGGGTGAATGTGGCGAGTCGGGCGGCGGCGGAGGAGGAGGTTGCTTGAGTTGATTGGCTTGTAATGATTCAGGCATGCGCATTTGCATCATGTCCTTGACCATCTTTGGGTGTGCAAGCATGATTTCTTCAGGAACACCCGATGCCTCCAAAATATGCTGCCATTCCAATGGTAATCCAATCAATCCACTACCTGTCGTATCCACTTGAACATGCACATTGTGTTGAACATTGTATGGTTTCCCGATGATGGAAGGTGACTTTTTCAATGTTGATGTTGATGACGATGTTGTAGTTGTTGTTGTAGCTGTAGCTGTTGTTGTAGGCGTATGTTGCTGTGATCGTTTGGCTGTGGTCTTGTAAACGTCACTATCGGATGCAATGGATTGTTTACGTCGAGTATCCATAGGTTGAGGAACGAGATTCGGATTGATGTAATTGGTGTCAAGAATGTCGTCGCTAGGTAATGAGGATTGCTGCCATACATCGGGAAGACCCTATAGCCAGCCCCATATTAATCCATGATGTCCCCCTCCAAATCCAACATGATGTTCCATACCATGAATCGACCATTGTTCTTGTTGTACTCTACATGGATACCATGCTCGAATTGTGTTGGTTTTCCAATGTCGAGAACCTTATCGGTAGGTGAAGTCTGTTTCCGCCGTGCACTGCTCTTTGAGACTTTGGATGACATGGAGGCGTTTGATAAGCTTGGATGGTTGTAAAAGCGTACAGAGCTGGATAGAGTTGACGAAGATTCGGTTTTACGTAAGCTGCTATAAGCCGATGGCGAGAAACCAGCAGTGGATGGTCTGGAATCGGGCTGATGAGGGTTGCGCTTGGAGATCGACGTTTTTGTGTCTGTATGGAAATGGGCAGAATAGCTCGATGGGGCAGGTTCTGTGGATGCAGTGGTTGATAATGTATTGCCCATGAAAAGATCCGCTAGGATGAAGTGAAGAATAATACTCGGTACAATGAAGACGTGAGGAGGAGGAAGAGGGGAAAGGGGAAATGAGTCGAAGTAAAAGACAAAGGGGAAAAAGAGTGAGTGTATAAAAGTGTGGGTGTGGGTTGTGTGAGTGAAAGAGAGGAGAAAGAACAAGATAGAACACAAACATGCTATCTGCAAAAGGGTACTCTCACTCACTCACTCACTCACTCACTCGCTTGCAACTGTGTGCAACATGAAAAAAGCAATTCCACCACATGGCATATCTATTAACCAGCTCTTTTGCATTTAAAAAGGGATCATGCATTGTTATTTGATATACGATGATGGGTGGAATGGTGGAAGGAGGGAGGGGGAATAGAAGGATAAAAAAAAGGTAGTACTTTATACAGCTTTCTATGATATTGTAAATGGGCTTACACCAAACCAGCAGCAGACATAGCCTATACACGTGCATTGTTGTTATTGACGCTGTCTATTGTATTACATAGAATTGACTTACCTCCTTCAACTTTGAACCAAGCTTAGCAGGGGAGGGAGTGACAATGACACCAGCCTTCTCAAGAGCAGCAATCTTGTCTTGAGCACCACCCTTACCGCCAGAAATAATGGCACCCGCATGGCCCATACGACGACCAGGTGGAGCAGTCAATCCAGCAATGAATGATACAACTGGCTTGGGGTTCTCACGAGACAAGTTGTATTCTTGTAAAAAGGCAGCAGCTTCTTCCTCAGCAGTACCACCAATCTCACCAATCATGACAATGCCTACCAGTAAAGATTAAATGACATTGTTTCTATTTCCCTCGAAGCACCTATCATTTACTTACCTTCAGTCTTATCATCTTCCAAAAAGATCTTCAAGCAGTCAATAAAGTTGGTACCATTGAGGGGATCACCACCAATGCCCACGCAAAGGGTTTGGCCAAGACCAGCTTGAGTGGTTTGGTTGACAGCTTCATAAGTCAAAGTACCAGAGCGTGAGACAATGCCGACCTTGCCGCGTTTGTGAATGTGACCAGGCATGATACCGATCTTGCATTGTTCAGGGGCAATGATACCAGGACAATTGGGACCCACGAGACGAGTCTTGTTTTGAGTCATCAAAGCTTGCTTGACACGAACCATGTCATGTTGAGGAATGCCTTCAGTGATAGCGACTACCAAAGGAACTTCATTTTCAATAGCTTCAAGAATAGCAGCAGCAGCACCAGGTGGAGGTACATAAATGACACTGGCATCGGGCTTGGTCTCTTGAACAGCCTGCAAGTCGTCGGAAGATAGAACAATCAATCAATCATCTACCCCACACATATACACACACACACACACACACACACACACACACACACACACACACACACACACACACACACACACACACACACACACACACACACACACACACACACACACACACACACACACACACACACACACACGCCTATACGCGTCATGTGGGAAAAATCCATCCCTCTCGCTCTCTCTTACCTCTCGCACTGAACCAAAGACAGGAAGGCCTAAATGAGTTTGACCAGCCTTCTTGGGTGAGACACCACCAACCATCTTGGTACCATATTCAATGGCTTGCTCAGAGTGGAAAGTACCCTATTCCTATTTCAATACATGGCATCATTTCATTTCATCGCGTTTCCACGCATTTACCTGCTTGCCGGTAAAGCCCTGGCAAATCACTTTGGTGTCCTTGTTGATCATAAGGTTCTTAGCTGTGGACTCGTAACCACCTGCTTGGCTGGCAAAAGAACGTCGGGCGGCAACAGCTACCAAAAGAATAGGCATGAGTTGAGAAAAAAACACGTTGCTATGATACATAAATAAACTTGTCTTACCAGCATGGCGTGCAATGGTGGAAGCAGATTTGAAGAGCATTGTAAAAAGAGGGAGTTAAAAGGTGTAAAAAGAGAACGCCTTGGCCGCTGTTGCCTTTCACATGAGCCGTGCAAGTCCGCTCAACGGAAATGAGCGGAAGCAATAGCATCCTAATCCGGTCAATGATGCATCTCAGGATAGTAACAATGACGTTTCATTATTATACAAAGCACATTGCTGCTTAAATAGTTTCATTCAATGCTTGTAAAAGATGGAAGTAGTAGACGTAATGCAAAAGTTGGGTACAATACTAGCGGGGATGACAAAAGCGCCGCCGGCTCTTTCCCAGAAAGAGCGTGCTGAGCGTGCTGAGCGTGCTGAGCGCATGTCCATATTGATAACCCAGCACAGTGCTGGTTACATAACCACCCAAGTTGTCATTAACATGAGCATACATCATAGCCCAAGATGGATTATTCTTATTATTAATGCCTCTCTTGAAGATGACGCATTAAAGCCCTGCATAGAGTAGAATCATTCATCCCTGCAGTCATGTGCATTCAACAAATTAACAAGTTCAAGAAGTTCTACTGTCAACTTTATTCTTCTAGAACAAAACATATTTACATGACCAAAGAAAAACGTATTTACAAGGGTAAGAATGGTTGCTTATCTCCTTCTTATGACGATGGTTGCTGCTCACAATATTCTGGTGGACTAGTTTCAGCATCATAAGCAGGTAAACCAAACATGGCTGCATCCGACATCGACACACGAATAAATTTTGGTTTGGTGTGTAAGGTAGTATCATTAACGACTTCAGGATCCGAGTAAGGTATGGGCGTTGCTGCTGTTGTTGCTGCGACTCGATTAGCATCATCCGTGCCGAGAGTGATAGGCACCAAATACGATCGTTTCTTTTTCGATGGGTGTAATGTAGATCCTTGACGCGATTTGATTGTGAGGCGTATCATGTAGCGAAGATCGATTTGACGGCCATAATTCATGCTGGGAGGCAATTCTCGTAATGGCATGGAAATAATATGGTTGTCGCTATCAATGCGTTGTTCCGCTTGACGCACAACGATCGTTTTGCTGTAATGAAAGCCGCTGGTAACCACCTTGTAGTGTTGTTCAAGCGTTGCTATGGCAACAATGTGATAATCACCACCACGCGTAGTACCGCATGAAATCCTCAATGCATTAGTATCGTCGTCGTCGTCATCGTTACACACGTATGCTGTATTGAAAGAAACACGAATAGGTATAGAGGAGCCGATGGGTTTATCATCTTGAAAGGGAGTCGTCGTGGCGGTATCAATAGGAAGGATGGGCTTGAAAAAGACGGGGCATTGTTCGGTTTGGAAAGGTCTATAACCAGGACGCTCAACACTAGCATAGAGGTAATAGCGGCATTGAACGAGTGGATTATCAAGCCAAGCGGATGGATAATTGACGTCGGGCATTTGACAAGCGAATGGAAACAGATGAGTGCCAGGCTCCATCAATGGCCAATTACCGCACTGCTGAGCCTCGCGCGCTGAAATCCCCCACAAAACTGTACACACGCTAAACATTGGATCTTCATCTACCCGTTTTCCCCAGGCCATGGCGTCATAGTTCAAGTATTCTAAGAAAACGAGGATTTCGACGATCATTAGTTACTTTATCTGTTTATCTTCCCCTCACACACGCACACACATGCACACACAATGCTACTCACCGGTTCCCTTATATATCAACTTTAGCTGCATGGCTGCGAGTGGTTCAGCAAGTTCAATGTAAATGTTGCCTTCAATAAAAGAACCGGGAGAACATATTAATCGACCTTGTTCATCACAACATTGGGGTGCAGGCTCAATCCGAAAACGCACAGGGGCTCGTTTGTATTTGGTGGAGAGATGATTGATAAAGCGTATCTCGTCTTGCGATGATAATGATGATGACGATGATGATGATTCATTGGTTGGATTGCGGGAGGAGGAGACGATATCAATAAAGTTGGTGTGGGTGGAATTCGAGGCGGCGTCAGATGTTGGAGCGTGTTGTCGTCGAACCATGATAATAATGACGAAAGAAGAAGATGATGAAAATGGGAGAGAAAGAAGTATGACTCAACGCAGCAGACTTGCAAAGTGGTCGTTAATTCATTTGCGCTCTTTTATTGGCTGCTGATTATCTTGCTTGCTGGTAGTAATGATGCTATACAGGGGGTGGCAAGGCTTTGAGTGGATGAGGAACCAGGGCACCCGATACATCTCCCCACCACTCAGCCGTACGATGTTGGTACCACTCAACTATAGAAAATGATCATAGTTGGTCTCTTTTGCCTTATCTTTCACGAGAGTGTTACTTACTGGTTTTTCTCAGCCCTTCTTCGAATCCCATCTTTGGTTTCCACCCAAGTGCTTCTAGTTTGGTAAAATCCACACCATATCGCTTATCATTGAAGGCTCGGTCTTGCACGAATTCTATATGGTCATCTTGATTGTAGCCGAAGATCTTGATCAACCTTTGGGCAAACTCTAAATTGGATATCTCAAACTTGCTACCAATATTGTATGTTTCACCAACTTCGCCCCGATGAAATATGACATCAAGCGCATCTGCAACATCGCCTGCATAAAGGTATTTGCGGGAATTATGCCCATCCCCATGTATATAACTACACCTCCTCATGTATCAGCCCCATCATGTATTATCCTTCCTTCCTTCCTTTCATAGACGACCCTACCATTTCCCATGCCGAAGCAAGCTGCAAATGAACTTTGATGTGATCTTTTCTGGGTACTGGTATGGGCCGTAGACGTTATTTGACCGAGTAATCATAACGGGTAAACCAAATGAGCGATAATAAGCCTTGACGAGGCATTCTGCAGCAGCTTTGGTTGCGGAGTAAGGATTGGTAGGTGCTAATATAGTGTCCTCCCTGCAATCTGGCTAAAGGGAAAAAATGATTAACGAATCCATCATCACCTTCAACAATGGGCAAACAACAACAATGACTTACTCGGCTTACAACTTCACCATAAACCTCATCCGTGCTGACATGTATGAATCGTTTGACACCATGTACTTTGGCAGCTTCAAGCATCACATGTGTTCCCATGACATTGTTCCTGCACACAAACACACGCACGTCAAAATCATGTCCATCACACAATGTGGCACCTGGTGCAGTCATTACCTGGTGAATTCAAATGAATCCCCAAATGAATTATCGACATGTGTTTGGGCTGCAAGATGGAAAATGATATCGATCTGCTTCTCCTTGAGGACAAACGCCATAAAGTCGGGTGATGTAATGTCGCCCTTTTGTGTGATAACGATCAGCTACTTCATCATCATCATGCATGCAACCCTTCCCCCCATTGATGAACATACCTTGATGAAGGTATAGTTGGGAAACTCGGCAACCGATTTGAGATTATGTAATGATCCACAGTAATCGAGCTTATCCACAACGTAGATGTGGTATTCAGGATATAGAACAACCAACTTGCGAACGAGAAAGCTTCCACTACAAGGAGTATCATGGCATCAGTATCCAAGGATGTATTTCCCCGGCAACCAGGACGACTCACATAAAACCTGCTCCTCCAGTGACGAGAATGCTTTTGACATTGTGTAGATCAGAAGGCAAATCTGGAATGCGTTGACCAATGTCTACTAGGTCGAATGGAGCCACCGTTTTACAGAGGCGTTCATGTTGATCATGACTTTCATTGGAGATGACGGGAGATGACAGGCTTGAGGGTGTCGGTGTCGGTGGTGTCATAAAGAAAGGCCTGTGGTATGTTGTATTGTCTGTGGAAAGCAAAGACCAAAACGCATGGGAAGCTATTCTCCTTATATCGGGCCCTTGTGTTACTTTAGTTTAAACACGGCATCCGTCATGTTGGGATTCAAACCTGCACAGCACAACATTGGCGCATGTTTGTCAACAATCAATACTACTTTATTAACATGCATGAACCCCCACCACCCATTTCACATCATCTATCCTCTTCTTTTTCTTGATGGCCATTGTCTACTTAGGATGTTAGTACGTGCTTGTGTCTCGGATAATAAAAGTTGTCAATTGATGGGGGGAGTGAGTCAATGTCTGCTTATGTAATCTACCGTATGTGGCAACAAAACCCACCAAGCAAGCGTCATTTCCTGATCTAAATGTGACTCTGTTGCTGTCAGCAGGTTGATCATGTCCTTAGTTTTGGTGAAGGCCCATTGTAAAGCAAGGCGTAGGGGTACCCCCAACGCTACCGGGTAAATTTGATAGGAAATGATAAGGTATACACAATGTGCCATAGTGCATACAATGAGCCTTTTATTCAAATACATATACCCATCGTTAAGCGAACCATTTACTGCCTAGTATCCCTCTTTGTGAAACCCCATCATGGATCAGGACCTTTGGACCGTAAAAACACGTATCCTTTCGCCTTTGAAGGAGTCGAAGGATAACAAGAGAATCCAATTTGATGCTAACGTATCCGGATTTCTGGCAAAATGTATCATTGAAGACGAAGCCATCAAACAATACATGATCCATAACAACATTTGTGAAGGCTCCATGGTGCAATTCGATGGTAAATGCGTATCAAAGTATACAACATGATCATCCAAATTAATGACATACATGCTGCACGTATAAAAAGGACGTCCAATGGTGACATTGGGTGAATGCTTTCGACAGCATCAACGGCTCGTCATGAAGGTTTTGACTTTGAAGCTGGTGATTACGGGCAATACCGAACGACTCACACGAGACGGAAGGCGTAATGAAACTATGAAAACATTCAATGGCGATACAGCAGATATTGAAGCTGGGTTTTACAAGATGCATGAAACACTCGAACGCATACGAAAACGTTATCCTGTCACTGAGGAGGAGATCAATGACCTTGACGACATATTGAAAAAGTGTCGTGCTCAACTCGACCACGAACTCAAATTGCTGCACAAAGAATATCCATGCAGCTTGCAACAAGATTCAAAAAAGCAATGAAAAGATCCCCATACTTCCTTTGGCATCAAAGGGAGGACAATGAATGTATAATAAAGCCGGCCCTTTTATTACGTTCATCAAGCCATGTGAAAGGAGCTTATGTATACATACAATGTGGGAAGACTGTTGATGCATAGAACACACCATGCCGCCTTGAACGACGATCTCATTTCGCTACAGCAACAACAAGTGGTAGAAAATAGGATCGATGTCATGTGATTTACTGGATTTGGAATTCCTCTTTGTGATCCCAGATAATTTTCTCTACTGCTTGACTTCCTTCCACAACACGATCGATGGCCCATTTGCCCAACACAGCTGGCGCATGGAGTGCCTTGGAGCCTCCTCTCAGTAACGAAATGTAACGATCCCGTTCAACCCCGATCCATAGCGTGCTGTTGCTGATCGACGTTTTCTTTATACTGAATTGGTAGACTTGACACCCTGACAACTATGGGGTTTGATTCCATGACACCAGTGCAATCGGGTGCTATCCCACTCTTCATGAAGAATAAGGATGTCGTGGTCGAGGTATATAAGTGAACGAGTGATATTGAAGCGAACAAACAGCTTATTCTATTTGGGGGGGTTGCTAGGCTGTCACTGGCTCGGGCAAGACATTGGCCTTTGTTATCCCTATTATCGAGAAACTACTACGACGGGAAGATCCTTTGAAGGGGAACCAAGTGGGTGCCATGGTCATCACGCCAACTCGGTAAAGTAACAAGAAAATGGATGATAACAATCAAAGCTCATTGTTTTCTGCTTGCAGTGAATTGGCTCAGCAAATCCACAGCGTCTTTGAACTTTTTGTGCGTGATCATCCTCGCAAAGATCAGTTAACACTCGGTTTATTTATCGGTGGCACCACAACACTTGCACAAGATCGAGAGACGTTTACAAAGACGATGCCTCGGATATTGATTGGAACACCAGGTCGTTTGGAAGAGTTATTGAAATCAGGGCAATTGATCAACACCAAGGAATTCGAAGTGCTTGTGATGGATGAAGCGGATCGATTATTGGATATGGGCTTCAAGCAACAATTGAGTGGCATCATTGCACAATTACCAAAGCAACGTCGTACAGGCCTGTTTTCAGCTACCATGACAGATGCTATCTCTGAATTGATTCGTGCTGGTTTACGTAACCCTGTCCGCATTGTTGTCAAGGTGCATGATCTTGTCCAAAACCAGCAACGTACGCCATCAACATTACGTATCGACTACATCGTTTGTGAACCGAATCAAAAGCTTTTGCAGCTCGTACGGATACTTGAACATCAATTGGCAACAGGGGGTGCTACCAAGTTCATCGTCTACTTTTCTACTTGTGCATGTGTCGATTATTTCTACAAGTTGCTACACAAAAAGCTCAAAAACATGTCGTTTACGGTTCACTCCTTGCATGGTCAAATGGATACCAAACGACGTGCAGCCACCTACAACGCCTTTATTCAGCTTGCACCTGCAGTACCAGCAGTCTTATTATGTACGGATGTCGCATCACGTGGTCTTGATATTCCAGATGTGGATTATGTTATTCAAGTGGATCCGCCACAAGATCCCAAGGCATTCACCCATCGTGCAGGTCGTGCAGCACGTGCAGGACGTCAAGGTCGTGCCACTGCATTATTATGCCGAGGCCGTGAGGAGTTTTATGTTGATTTTCTCAAATTACGCAAGGTGCCTATGGAACGAGCACCCTATCGTTTGCCAGATGGACAAGAAAAGGATAATAGCAAAGTGATCAAAGAAGATGGCGAGGAAAAGGTCGTGTCAGAGCCTGTGGATGATCCTGAGTTGACATCCTTCGTCGATTCATTACGTGAAGTCATCAAGGTGGATCGAGATATGCATGATCGTGGCATGAAAGCATTTGCCTCTTGGGTTCGCTCATATTCCAAGCACGAAGCAAGCTATATTTTCAGGATAAAGGATTTGGATCTTGGTCAAGTTGCTACCTCTTTTGCTTTGCTCAAGGTAAATAAGAGCACCTTTGTGCATTACGTGTTACTCACAATGAAATTTTTTATATGCAGCTACCAAAAATGCCCGAACTCAAAGATACCAAGCAAATCACATTCACACCTGCAGATATTGATGTAAGGAGAACCTAGACAATGAATACATTGGCTAGTGCTGACCACAGCTTTTTATAGTGGAACAATTACAAATATCAGGACAAGAATCGAGAAAACAAGCGTCAACGTGAAGCAGCTGCACCAGCACCCACCAACAACAAAAAGCCTAAAAAGTATGTATGATGGGATATGATTTATGAAAGTGGGATGGGAATTGACATTATGGGAAATGGTAGGCAAGTGACGGAAGCATGGTCAGCTAAAAAGGAAGCCAAGATGAAGAAACAAGAGCGGAGGACCAAGAAAGAACGCAAAAAGGAATATCTGAAACGAAAAGCCGAGGAAGTGGAAAAGGACGACGATGATGCGGATGATTGGGATGAATTGGCAGCAGAGGAACGAATGGCAAAGAAAGTTAGAAAAGGCAAAGTGAACCAAAAAGAGTTTGATACTATGTTTATGGATGAGGATAATGAAGCATAATAAAATAGACGTTTACATGTACTCCTAGCTGATGTAGTCGTCGCAGCAACACGCGGAGCCTTAAAGGTCAACCCCCCCCTCCTTCCATGCTAAGAGGTTTCATAGTATAGTCGGGCATAATCCCTCTTTTTTTTCCCTCGTTTCGTTTTCCTTGTTATGTATCATGGATGATTCTGACATATTACCTTCTCTTGTAAAGTCCAAGAACAAGTTTGTCATTGGCGGCGATGACTCGACTGCTTTACCATCTTCACCTCCACCGGCAGAGATTACGTCCAACTCAGCAACAAACAACAACACCGGCAGACGTTCCCATCGACATCATGTGAAACGACGATCGGTTGGTCATGTCAAAATGCGTCCATTGTCGAGAGTGCATAGCAACAGTTTGACGGATACCGAAGCTGAACCAGATGACGGCAAAAAGAAACGAGCGCCATTGCGCCGGTCTCAGTCTCATAGGTCGTTACGAGTCGAAGGCAGCCTTAACATGACATTATCCAGCACGACACCGATTGTGACGAGGACGTCGACATCATCCCAGCAGAGCAACAAGATGAGCAGCAGCAGCGATCATAGCAGTTGTTGTAGTAGCAGCAATCCATCCTCACTTCACGTATCTCAAGGGGTGGTGGCACAGCCAATAGCTCAAACGTTTCATGCGATTGCTAACAATATTGTGGTGCCCGAACCCAGAGCCGCTTATTCTGCAGCCCAAATCATCAGCTCATCATCTCCAAGATCATACGAGAATACTAATGCATTATTACCATCTTCATCTTCATCGATGCATCATCATCATTCACCTTCTTCTTCAAGAGGAGGACAACAACAGCGACGACGACGACGGAGGATATTATTACGGTCTCAATTCCTTACACCCGATCATGATCCTGTACAAGATCCTGTGGAACAAGTCGACAGCGAATATCAGTTGATCCGTGAATATCAAGATCCAATGGTAGAAAGCTTGGTACGATGTATGTTAAGGAAACGACGTATCAATGTGAATCGAACAATGTCATCATCCGCTGTTCATCAACTGGCACCCACGCCTATGCACACAGCTCAGCGTGCAGCTGCAAGAAGACATCACAATACATCATCCCCAAGACCTACTTCACCTGTCACAGCTTCCCCATCCAATGCCTCCGGATCGGGATTGCTAGGTATCCGTTGGAGCACAGCCACCAGCTTATGGGATCGCATGATGCGTAGTACCTAATGAATGATTCAACAACCCACCACCACCACCTTTTCTTTTATTCTCCATCATCGCCTGTATATACGTGTTGTTCTATTTCTACAGCAGTTCCTCCTTCCTTTGATCATTCACCCATTCACACACACGCCTTCTTCTTCTTCTTGTTCTCCATCTCTCTCTATTCTATATATATATATATATACTCTCTCATTTTCATGCATGTTGGTTTGACAATATTTTTTCGATAAATCATCCTTTGTAGTCTTTTTTTTTGTCACATTCATCCTTGTTGGAGTGTATATGCCTTTGATAGTATAAACATGCACACGTCATTGGATCCATTCGGAAGATTACCCCATCGATCCTTCCCCTCCGCCTTAGTCCGATCCACATGTATATTCATCCTATTTCCATCAACCCAGCAATTCAAAAGTAAGGAATGCTTTTACGGCAGTAGTAGGTAGGTCCCTTTCAACCCACCTTTAAATGCCGAATTCACATGTGAATACGAGCATGGCATTGCAAATGCATCCACACCAAGCGCTCGTGTGAGTTTCAACCTTGTGTAACCATGCAAAAGCATAATGAATGGGGAAGCGTACAAGAGGAGAAAGAGGATGGATAGAAATGGGTTCACCTTACTGCATTCAAAAGTAAAGAAAAAAACCTAGGCGGATGACCTGTCATGGTCTCTCTCCCACATCCACTTTTTTCCCAAGCAGAAGCTTCCTTGAAAAGGATAAAAACCAATGACTCAATCGGTTTGAGACTATTGTTGTCAGTGTGGGGTAAACCAGACCTTAACAATGCACGTGTCTCTCTTGTGCGCCTGGTGAATTCATATCTTACCCCACCTTCACGCGTGTGCCACTCTCTCTTCATCCTTCCCTACTAAAATCCGGTAGCCTTCTTTTCTTTTCAACGCATCACAAGCAATCTTTTAGAGTGTCTCTCTCTTTCTCTTTCTCTTTTTTTCTTTTTCTCTTTCTCTCTATCACTACCTTTCAATCTTGATTCATCCATCATGGCTCAAGTACGTTTCAAAGTCAATGTCTCGGACAAGCTCGATTATACACCTCTCGATACAATCGAAGACAACATCAGCGTGGTGCGTGGCAACTTTACAACAGGTCAGCCTTTTCTTTTACCAATACATGCATCACCTCTTGTACCCACGCTGATGGATTGATTTTTATAAAGGCAAACCACGCGATATGTACTGGCGAAAGTTTCAGTTGAATCGATTGTATTCCATGGTCAAGGATCATGAAGAGGCCTTTTATGAAGCTCTTGCCAAAGACATGGGCAAATCTCGGCATGAAGCTTTGATGGGTGATATCAGCCCTCTTCTCGAAGAATGTCTTTACTTTTTAGATGCAAGTATCATTGCCTGCCTATAGAGGACCATTTTTTATTTCTTCTAACATGAAGCTATGCACCCGTACAGAACATTGAAGATCTTGCCAAAGACCAAAAGGTCAAACCACGATCAGCCATCAACCGCCATGACACTTGCATTGTCCGTAAAGACCCTCTTGGTGTCGTTCTTATCATCGGTATGACATTCTCAATGGCATATGGCATATAGCACACACACACATCATCTCATGCATTCTTTAAATCCATAGGTTGCTGGAACTACCCCTTGCAGGTACGTACGTTGGATTGGGCGGGGGGGGTTGTCAGGTGGCCAAGATTTTCTTACCAAAAGCGGAATTTTTTTTGTTGCTCATTGTTTAGCTGTCGCTTGTACCTCTTGGTAACACAACGCTATCAAGATTCTCTTGTACGTGTCACTAACAGATCCCCACCTCACCCACCTTCATGTAGCTGGTGCCATTGCTGCTGGTAATGCTGCCATTATCAAGGTAAGACAAAATTGGGCCATGTTGCAAGATACATCGTATTCATTCATCATGAACAGCTTTCCGAGATCGCTGTGCATACTTCAGCTGTGATCAGTGAGCTATTCCCAAAGTACATGGATAGTAGCTGCTATCGCTTGGTCAATGGTGGTGTTGAAGAGACCACTGCTTTATTGCAACATCGCTTTGATCACATCTTTTATACGGGTGGTGGTCAAGTTGGCAGAATCATCATGACAGCAGCAGCCAAGCACCTTACTCCTGTGACGCTTGAATTGGGCGGCAAATGGTATGTGTAATAAAAGCACATGAAATAACATGTTATTCACCCACCACTACATAGCCCTGCTGTTATTACTGCCGATGCTGATATGAAAACGGTTGCTCAACGTATTGCTTTTGGCAAATTCTTCAATACAGGCCAAAGCTGTATTGCCGTTGATTACGTGCTTGTGCCCCGTACCCATGTGGATGCCTTTGTTCAAGCAATGCAAAAGGTCGTCGCCAACTGGTTTGGTCAAAACCCCAAGGGATCCAAGGACTATGGCCGTATTATCAACACACGTCATTTTGATCGCATTGCTGGATTGTTGGAACGCCGTGGTTCTGGCACCGTGGTCATTGGTGGCGATATGGATCGCGAAGAACGCTACATTGCCCCCACCGTGGTGAAGGATGTAAGCTTCCAAGATGCTGGTTTGATGACTGAGGAAATCTTTGGTCCTATTCTTCCTATCGTTGCCTACAATGAAATCCAAGACGCTGTTGCCATGATCAACCGACAGTAAGTTGCTCTTATAAAAGTTTGAGATTTCATGCTAAAACGTCCATCCACAGTGATGCTCCCTTGGTGGTTTATGCCTTCGCAAACAAAAAGAAGGATCAACGTCAAAGTAAGTAGTAGACAACAATAAGAGTCACATGTAGGATGAAATCTAACATGACATGCATGTTGTAGTCGTTGATAATATCCCATCGGGTGGTGTTCTTGTCAATGATACCATGGTTCACTTTTCTGGTAAGTCAAACGAAAAATTGGCATTTCTTGTTGTATACTAAATTTCTGGGTACGCACGTACAGAATTTGCATTGCCATTTGGTGGTGTTGGTCCATCGGGTATGGGCAAGTATCATGGCGCACGTTCGTTCCAAACCTTTACCCATGAACGATCCATGATGGTCAAGAATCAACGCTTTGAGTTCCTCATGCGTTCTCGTTACCCACCTTACACACCTACCACTTACAAGATGCTGCGTTTCGCTCTTCTTACCTCGTCACTCAAGATCAAGCGTATCATGTATAAGCGTGAGCTGAAGGCTGCCTTGTACATTGTCCTCCTCTACTTGTTCTTTTACCTAAAGAAGCGCTTCTATTAAGCCCATCATGTTTATATATCAATTATTGACACACAACAATATATATGAAGATCATTTTAATAGTATGACTTTTGCACAAGGTATGAGTCTAGATGTAGACATTGGGATGTTGTCAACATTGTCTATAGGTGTTGTTGATAATTGAGGTGGGCGGGGGGGGAAGTTGAGGTGTATAAGTATGTTGCGATATGGACACTATTTTAAGGCGACCATTCGAGGATAGCACGACGAATCGATTCCCAGTATTGGAGTTGGATCATGAACTTTTTCGCAGCATCGAGATCGTTACCGGAAAATGCCTCTGACAATCGCTGTACAGTCTCTTGGTATTTCTCTACACGTTATCCCATGAGATGATGGTCATCCATAATGCCTCTCTCTCTCTCATATATACACTTACCGTCATTGGTTTCCTTGACCTGTGCCACTTCTTCATCTGTGGTGGCTTCATCCAATTCCTCACGTATCTCCATCACTTCCATCAAGAGAGCAGGATCCTCAAGCGAATCAGATTCGCCCACTTCAACACCTTGGAGTTCCAACAAATACTTGGCCCGAGCCAATGGATCTTTGAGTGTATGATAAGCCTTGTTCAAGGTGGATGATTGCAGCTGAGCATACTCATGTTCACGCTAAAATGACATCATAGTTCATTTTAGTACCATTGTAATCCTCCCCACCATCATCATCGCTAGCTACCTACCTTGGATGCCTGTGAATAGCTGTCAGGATGTGCTTTTTGTTGCAAGGTAAGAAACTTGAATCGTAAAGCCTTGGGATCCACATCAAAGCCGTTTTGTTTGCTATAAAAGTAAACGACAAGTGAGCGAGTTGTACTTGTATTTATGTCACTAGTATCGTTTTCTTACCCATCAAGCAAGAGTTCATAGTAGTTTACGTTGGGAGTAACAGGCTGGATAGCTTGGCAATCGGCACAAAGGACGGTGGCATGTTGTTGAGCAGCACCACATTGCCAACATGCGGGTTGAGTTGCTGTTGCTGCTGCATGTTGGAATCGTACACGAGAGCCAAGGTACTGTGGACGCATTCGCACGCTTGAGAAACACTGACGACCGAGATTACGCAACATGATAGTATACAAGAATAACAAAGAGAGGAAAAGGGAATAAGTATGCTTGTCAGAGTAATTATAGCGCGCCTTTTCGGTTGTCGTAATTTAAGCCAAGCAGCTGCCCTGCCCTTGCCAATCGGGTGAGCACGAGCCATCTGATTTTGACGAGCATACCCCTCCCCATCTGATTATGAGAAGCACCTTCTCTTTAGGATTTGCCATGTTTTCTATAGAATGGATCCATTTCCTCTCATCCACTGTTGTCTTTTATCGAGTCCATTTATGCCAAAATAAATACAACCTTACTATACACGTCTTATGTAAACGACACCGCTCGCTACTAAAAAGTACAGTTGTCGATGCTTCAAGAGGAGGAAACAAGATCGTCATTATTGATTGAGGAAGATGCTTCATCTCTCTTTTTTTTAAATTCATAGGAAAAGTCACGTGCTCGGTGGATGTGGCGGGAGGGGGATCATATAATAAAAGGATGTTGGTCATACACTTGGGGATTGCTACTAATTAGATATGCATAGTATCATTCACGTATTCACAATGCATTGATCATAATAGAGGGTGTCATTGTTGTTACAAGAGACAAGGACATCTTTGTTCACGCATGTGACGTCATGGAGCCAACGCGTCGCTTGTCGGATGTCGCTTGAAGTTGCTCCCCATCTTTCCATTTCCGCACCTCTTTGCACACGTCTCCCCCTTCCACCCAATACACACACACACACCCGACAATGTCCAACGCCCAACAATTGGCTACTCTCCGTGATCAGCTCAAGAACGAAATGGGTTCGGCATCTCCCAACGCCGATAAATGCAACGATCTCCTTGCACGTTCCAAAGTAGGGTGCTCATCAAAGGCTACATACATACTCTTGGCTGACAACGCAATGACGACTCCTTCTACTAGATTGCCTTTATTCAGCTCGGCGTCTTTAACCCTACACCACAAAATGCCAATGCCGATCTCTTGGTTGTTGCACGTAAGTTGCGTGGGGGGGGGGTGCGATCGGGGTAGCGTTGTCTAGGTAGCAGCAGCAGCTGACGTTATCGACTATCAGGGGACATATTGGAAATGGGCGCTTATCACAGCGTACGCACCAAGGACATTGAGTCTTTTGAACGATACATTGCTCAACTCAACACATATTATCATGACTTGGCGTAAGTAATCCATGGGGAATGACGCGATGAAGATGTTAACCCCACTTTTTTTATGCAGATCTGTTCTTCCAAGCTCACCTCAAATGTTTCCTTTGATTGCTCTCAACTTGTTACGTCTATTGTCACAGAATCGTTTGTCAGACTTTCACACCGCCCTGGAGACAATTGATCCCGAGCAACTTCAATCCAATGCATACATCAAGCAAGCTGTTGATCTTGGTAAGCATTTCCCCTCCCCCATGATGGTGATGGGATCGTGTTAGCTGATATATACACTGCTAGAACAATACTTGATGGAGGGCAGTTACAACAAGGTGTGGAGCACGAGAAAGACCGTTCAAGGAGAAGAATTCATGTTCTTTTATGATATCCTGATTGACACAATCCGGTGAGTATCCATGGTGGTGTGTAAGGCGTGAGGAAGATTCCAAAAGTATTGATGAGAGTATGCTTTTACAGTGACGAGATTGCTAGCTGCAGCGAAAAAGCATATGATTCATTGCCATTGCAAGATGCTAGTACGCTTCTCTTTTTGAAGAACTCCCAAGAACTTCTTAACTTTGCTCAAAAGGTATGTAGAGCAATGGCTTTATTGTATTGAATTGAGTCTCACTCCTTTGTAGCGTGGATGGAAGGTGCACCCCGGCGAACAAATTATTCACTTTGGTACTGACGATAGTGCTGCAGTGGAAATACCGCAAGAACAAATCATCACCCAAACTTTGACTTATGCTAGAGAATTGGAACGCATTGTATAAACATTCAGTGAGGGGGAGAAAAGAGAGCAATATAATAATCCTGCTATAACATCATCTCTAACAACATACGTGTCGTAATGGGAGAGGGAAAGGGAAAGGGATGGGGGGAGAGAGATGACATACACACACACACACACACACACACACATGACAAGGTTGATGGAGTGGCGGGCGGGTGTGTGGCATCCATCTGCTGGAGGTTTTAAAGTTCACAATTTGGCTTCCGAGCGATTCTTTTCCACTTGTACTCTTTTTCTTTTTGTTTGCACACGGGCATCATGGTGGGCGAAGCAATGCTGTTCATTTTCGCGGTCGTTATGGCTGCTTTGTTGCTATTTGCTATGGTCTTTTTTGTAAGTTCATACCGAGATTTGGTCCCAATCTTCCACAGCGTACCATGAGCTCACCATGGAGTTCGCTCTCTCTCTCTCTCTAGGTCATCATGTTCTCAGACTTGGAATGCGATTACATCAACCCTATCGATCTGTGCAACAAGCTTAACCAGGTGAGTGACATGAAAAAGGGATAAAAGATAGATGATCCCAACAAGTGCACTAAACCACGAGGTTTAGTTTGTCTTGCCGGAAATGGCCACGCACGCGTTTTTGTTCTTTATGTTTCTTATCAATGGAAGTTGGATGGCAATGCTTCTCAACCTACCCTTGGTCGCCTACAACGCTCGCAAGTAAGTAATCAAGAATGAATAGAGGGATGCTGTGTATACCAACATCATCTGACACGGATACCAAAAGGGTCATGAACCATCAGCACATGTATGACGCGACTGAGATCTTCCGGACGTTATCCGTGCACAAGAAGGAATGCTTCATCAAGGTCGCCTTTTACTTGATCGTAAGTTGTTCATTGGGATACTTAATGGCAAGGACATGGTATTGACATTGTATTCATCCTTTTTTGCAGAGCTTCTTTTACTATCTCTACCGTATGATCGTCGCTTTGATTGCAGCTGATTCCTAAATGCATACAGGAAGTCGTTCACAGTGTAATTTACTATCATCTTTTATTGGGGTTGCACATAAGATAAATTGATTGAAGGGGTCTATATATACAACTATAACATTACCTTGATGCGTTTGCTAGACATGTTGTGGGATCATTAAGCATGGGGTATACTCATAAAGATGGTTGCTTTCATCCATATCATAAACACAAAATCGATGTCAAGTGTCATTCACGGCTTATTGAAGCGATGGTGGTGGATCATAAGTTTGGGAGCTAAGCAGATCCATACCACTGATTCATCCTTCAAGAGAAAAGCCGTTTCCATGAAAGTCGTTTCCATGGCATCCGTTTCCATGACATACGTTTCCGTGGCAATCCCATAAGGCGATTGAACACAATGAACAAGATGCAAGAAATATGCCATTTGTCAAATGATCCTCGTCGCGATGGAAATGAAGTTGCAAATTCCTGTTTTAATTACGAAGGATGATCCAATGTTATGGATTAGTGGTAAAGAAAGGCCTTTAGAATACCTGACCAAGGGTATACGTAATTGTAAAGCTATTCATTTATTCAACAATAAGAAGAAAGCGTTGGGAATCGATCTATGTTAACAAGGAGGTGTGTGGGTGGTTGGGTGTGTGGATGTGGGTGGTATCGATCATCAAAATGAGCTAGTCGTCGATCCCAAATCTTCATAATTTTTCGGATCCCGTGCGGGAAGAGAGGAGAGATAACCATCCACGCGCGCTTTTGCGAGTTGTCAGGGCTCTTTTTAGTTCTTGATTCCAAAAGATGGGCTTCAGCTTCTCGAAACTCTTTGATTTCTTTGGCAAAAAGGAGATGCGTATCTTGATGGTCGGTCTCGATGCTGCCGGCAAGACCACCATCTTGTACAAACTCAAGCTTGGCGAAATTGTCACCACCATTCCTACCATTGGTAAATTGCTCGTGTGGAAAGGGGGGTCCCTGGTCTATTATTATTTTGACTGATCCTGATGGCCATCCTTAGGTTTCAACGTGGAGACTGTTGAATACAAGAACATTTCCTTCACCGTTTGGGATGTTGGAGGACAAGATAAGATTCGACCTCTCTGGCGTCACTGTAAGTAAAGAGAGCGTGTGTGTGTGTGTGTCGCATAAGGGGAATAGAGGACTAAATCCTATCCATCATTCGATAGACTTCCAGAACACTCAAGGCATTATCTTTGTGGTGGATTCCAATGATCGTGATCGTGTCTCTGAAGCACGTGATGAGTTGCAACGAATGCTCAACGAAGACGAGTTACGCGACGCCTTGTTGCTTGTGTTTGCCAACAAGCAGGATTTGCCTAATGCTATGAATGCTGCTGAGATCACCGACAAGCTGGGTCTTCACTCACTGCGTAACAGACATTGGTACATTCAGACAACATGCGCTACAAGCGGTGAGTGATGCATCATATTCATATGTTAATGCGGGCAATAGCTGACATGTAAATATCCTGTTACATAGGTGATGGTCTTTACGAAGGTCTTGAGTGGCTTTCCAATAACCTCAAGAACCGGGCTTAGACATTTGTTTGCTTATTAGAATCAATCAACATTCTCTCTCTTCGAATCCCAATCATCAGTAAATATATATGCTTTGTTCAAAGAGAAGACACAATGAGGGTTCAAGAGAGGAAGATCTTGTAAATCCAAATGGGGCGATTTTGGGTGACTAACCGAGCCCTACACACGTGCGGTTTAAGCGGCTGTCCAACCATCCACAATAGTTTATTTCTTCTTGGATTCACGACGACGCATTTACCACCCTATTCCTTCCCAACAAAACCCCCACACCCACCACACTCTTTTACTCACACACACACATACACATACACATATCACCATGGAGACAAAGGCTGTTCAAGCCGCTGCTGATCTTGACTCGGCTCGTTGTCGTGGCAACTGGGCTGCCATCCCTGACTTGGCCAAAAGATACAAGAAGTATCATCCTGATGAATCTGGTACATTTCGGCTTTCTTTGTAATTTATTTCATTCTTTCATCCTAACACGTACCACAGTCTTGGATACAGTTGCCTGCCTCGAAGCTGAACTCGTCGAATACCTTCAGCGTGCCCGTAATGGCAACAATCGTCAATCGTTTTCTGGAACCGATGCCGGCCATCAACAAGACACACCAGACAACATTTACACTCCTTCACCCATTCAACCTGAAAAGTTACAGACCTTCATACAACGCCTTCAAGACATTACAAGCAACCGAAATCAGGAATTGGAAACACCTGATGACCGCCAGGCACAGGTACAAAAAAGTTGTCAATGATGCTTTGTATATGCAGCTAATAGGGTGTGTGTGTGTATAATACTAGTTTGCCAAGATCATCCTTTCGCGGGTCTACTATGAAACAGGGCAATATGACAAATCGCTGGAGGCTTTACAGAACCTTGCTCTGAATATCAATGATGCGACCTCAGGCTATGGATTAGTACTCCTCGTGCAAGCACGCACTATCAAGGGTGAGACAAATATCATGCGAGTGTGTCCGACAATGTGGATTAATTTTAATTCGTCAAAAGGTATATGCTACGAGAAGCAAAGTAACATTAGTGCTGCAACCGATGCGTTTGGGGCTGCGTGGGACATTGTGGAGCAACACTTGGATCAAAAGAGTGAAATGTTGGCGTGTTGGATCGAGCAAAGCCTGTACTACGGTACACTTTTACGCCTACGCACAGGGTAAGTTGACTAGAATGGCTTGTTGGCACAACAAAGGAACAAGATCAGGTCAACTTATTGGTCAAATTAATACATAGTGCCCCACCACAAAAGACCTTACGCATGATGCGAGCTTATACTCGATTGGTGGGTTCTCATTGGCCTTCTCAACAATGGCGCTTGAATAAGCAATGGGTTATCTTTCGATCATACGCTTCCTATCTCACCAAGTTGTCAGCTGGCAATGTCACTTTTGCAAGGTTTGTGTGTGTGCTGTGTGCATGTCTGTGTGCGTGCGTGTGTTAGGGAGATGAAGGAGAAAGAGAGTGGGGTTTGTGAAACAATGCACGGACTTGTTTTACTCACGCTGAAATTCATGTGATTACTCTCAGCTCTTCTCAAGCAGCCGTTGCTGAGCTATGCCAAATCACCGAGACGATGCGTGTGCTCTTTAGAGCCATCCAAAGTACTTGCACCAAGAAGCAAATCAGCGCACGCGCCATCGAACTTGCTGATATCACTGTATCCGCCCATGATACAATTGGATGGGGTGACCCTGTTTACATTCGCCAATTTCTTCATGTAAGTAAAACATTGGATAATAAGCACACGTGAAATAACAACTTGCATTTGAAATTTAGTTCTTATACCAAGCCAAGGAGCATACCTTCAACAGCCCAAGCATTACATGCTACTTGTTCTTCACCCTTGTTCGAGTCGGCCAATTCGATGAAGCAAGATATGCATTCAACTCTTATATGATGCTCTGTGGAGCTAGCGACTTTGCCAAGTTGTTGGAAAACGACAATGTGGATGCCCGAGAAATCAGTGCCTGCGCCACTGTCATATGCAAGCGCATGTCCGTTCTTCAAGATACGTGGGCTGAGATTCGTGACAAGACCATTCAGGTGTTGCTTGCAGGTGTTGCACTCCATGGAAATCATTATGCGGATGGCAAAACAGCTGCTATCATGGCCGAGCTTGCAGTTGAAATCGTGGAGCAATTGGATATTGGAAAAGCAACCCAAGCAATGTGCTATCATTCATGTGGTATTGCTCACGGCATCCTTGCCTCCCAATGTAAGTACTTTGCTACGATAATGATGATATCCTTTATTGGCAACTAAACTTCATTCATAGGCGACAGCCCTGATACACGATCTGATTACCACAAAAGATCCATCGACTGTTTGAAACGTGCATCTGATTATCAGGATTCATGGCAGAGCTGGTATGAATTGGCCCTTCAACAAGCCGTGGTGCGTGATTTACACAATGCAGCATCATCCATCACTCGATCCATTCAATTGAAAAAGGACCATTTACCATCATGGCACCTTCTTGCTCTTATCTACTCATGCAATCAACATCAAGATAAAACCACTGAGGCATTGCAACTACTTGAAACCGGCATTGAGCAATCCAAAGTGCTTAGCATCCTTGGCGATATACCATCTGAAATGCCCGTTGTATCATGGACAGGCGAGAAAACCAGCTCTGAATACTTTTACCATGCTCAATCTTATTTGGAACTCTCCATGTCACAAATCCAATTACTCGAGAAGCTCGAAGGTCCTGAAGCTGTATTGGGACTCTTTCCTGAATTGTTTACTCTTCACAGCAAGTTGTCAGCTGACCTTGGCCTTCAGGATGCACCCATCAGCCAAAATGGATCGCGTAAGCCTTCAACAACATCCACCTCCACAGAAGAATCCACTGTAGCAGCAACGATTCGTAAACCATCTTATGATCGACCCAGAGCCAATAGTGCTGCTAGCAGCCCCGTCCCTCCTCGTCGTATGAGATCCAGTAGCAGCGATGATGCCAGAAGTGATCGAAAGCCAGCAACGACTGCCAGCATGAGTGAGCTCCATCCAAGCAGGGGATTGAATAGAGAAGGCAGCAAATCATTACGCAAAAAGAGCATTCATTTGATTGATGTGGGATTTGCACGTCGTATTGGCAGCAACAATAGCCAAGGCTCTTCAAGGAAAAACAGCTCATCGACACTACTTGACCGATCCAATACCACCACCAGCTCCGCCACCACCACAACCACCTCATCATCACTAAGACGTTCCAGCAGTGTCACCACCGAATCTTCAATGCTCTCCTTATTTGCCCCCTCACCCAGCAGTGCCCAAGTGAAGACATCTTTGTTCCGTTCAACGAGTATCTTTATTAACCAACAACGGGAACGATGGTATCAGCTATTGATCAAGCTCTGGTTACTTTCGACAACTACGTTTATCCACGCTGGCAGAATTGAAGAAGCTACCAAGGCGGTGATGGAAGCTGAGGAGCAACTGCTTTTGGGTCAATTGAACGATGCCAATGTATGGCACCAACTTGGCGTTGTTTGTATCAAAAAGGCGGATGAGACCAAGGTCGACGAATTAAGGGAAACAGGCCTCGATGCATTCAAAAAGGCACTTGCCATTGACCCTGATCACGTGAATACATTGGTGGACATGGCACGCTGCTTTATTGATATGGAAGAATGGGAACTCGCTGAGAGTCATTTGGATCGTGCTACTCAAGGCTATGGATGGGATCATGCTGAAGCCTGGTATCTCATTGGTGTCTGCCACCGTCAACGACAAGATATGCAACGTGCCAAGGAATGCTTTGCATACGCACTCGAGCTCAGTGAAACTACACCTCTTCAGCCGTTCACATTACTGCCTCGTTTTGTCAACTAAGCCATATACACACGTGTTTTGATATTGATTCACTAGTAAAGAATATAATATACTTGAGTAATGGATGAAAAAGCAAAAAACAAATGATGATGATGAAAGGAATGGTGCTTAGCAACGACAAAAGGATATATAAATCATGGCCAGTGATACGGCTCTTCAGATTCAATGGAGTCTTGACTACGCTCTGACGACGATGAAATAAATTGAGGACGATGTCGTATAGGATCTTGCTATCGAGACAAGTGCACGTCATCAGCTTTTGATATCAAGCATTGTATTACCACTTACCTGGTCTTTGTCACGCATGGATGGTGGAAGCATAGGTATTCGTAGCAATGTATCCCGCCATTCTTTCTACAATACAGTCGTTCATTGTATGTCCACAACATGCATTTCTTTATCCTTACCTTGGATGCTTCTTTTGCTAATCGCTCGGCTTCTGCAGCACGCTTCTTGGCAAGGTTGATCATATCGTATCTCTTTTCTCGCTCCTCCCACTGTCGTTTTTGTTGTATATAGTGTGAATGGGCTTCTAGCTCTTCTTCCTCAGGACGATCCTTCTTTTGATCTCGTGCTTGTGCCATGCGTTGACGATGGGCTTTTCGTAAAGCCAACTTGCGTTCCTTCCTAAATCGCCATCGTGGAAGACGATCCTTCTCTTGGTCACCTTGTCCTCGTTTGTCCATATTGCGCCATGCAAGTGAAAAAGTAGATAGCCTTGGGGGGTGTGTCAACCTCGAAACGTTTCAGCAATAAAGCATGATCTTTCTTTCATACCTGCACTGGTTTCTGTAGTTCTTTGTTATAGCTCCGCCTATCATTTACATAGAGTGCACAATGAATCAATCAGACGCTTTCAGCTCCTTCATAACAGCATTTACAGGTAGTAGATATCCTTACAACCTTTATTTACCGAACAATAAATCTTTCTATAATACTATCATGCACCAAGTGCGAAGTCCAGCTAAGGGAGAAAAAAAGGTCTCTTACATTTGGCTAACACAATACCATATCCCATAAAGTAACCCTTTGATCCAACGACCTTCACACGAGACAGGCTGACAAGTACAACCAATTGATCCAATGGGAGAGATACATCATCAGGAAAGCTTCTATCCTTTGGGGGTGCATTGTGATGATATCGAAGTGAAATGGCACTTGATGCGTGATGGCGATTTATATGTATGGCGCGTCAAAACATGGGAGTTGGATGATGATGGCTGTATGGTTGAATAGTCATAGCTGGTGTAGAGCACCACAATTGGATGCACCAATCATTCAAGATCACAGCATCAAGCATAATGGGATCAAGTTGACAAACGATACTCAAGAAGAAAGCCTTTTTCCACGCGTTGTTTACGTCCAATTCCTTCCATCCCATGCACCAAACCAATATCCATATCCATATCCATATCCGTAGGATGTCGTATGTATTGAAACAAGTTGCTACACGTAAATAAAGGTGCTCCTATACGATGGCTATCTGCTGTCCACGTGAAAAGGCTGCAAGAGAAGTTGCTGAAAGTAAAGAACGCGATTCGAGACAATGGAGCACGCGCAATGCGGATAGCAACTGCTGCAATGAATGCTGTTACGCTTGATCGTGGCAGAGGAGTGTGCAAGGCATTGTGCTGTATGAAAGAAGGCACGCGTTGTAGTGGAGTGGCGAAAAGAAGGTGTGCACGTCATGAACTTGCCCTTCAGTCGAAGGCAATCGAATCAAGAGAGTTGTCGGCTTGACATGATGGGTTGAAGCAGGAAAATCGTTTGCAGGTGGTAGTTGTATGTACTTGAATGGGGCAACAGTTGACAATGGAAGGAGGAGACAAGAAGTTGTGGGAGCGGAAGGAGTGGAAATTAAATGGGTCGAACACCTCTTGTATAAATGCATGCACGCTATACATCAATCCTTGATTATGAGTTTACCCATCTCGAACCTGAAACTTTCACACATGGTGCTCTTGGACATGCTGATCAACATCATTCATTTAAAATTCGCAGACTTCATTGTGAAAATCTAAAATGCGGGGCTGCCCAAATGGTGGATGGCGGCAACAAAAGAGCGGACGGTCTACCGCCCCGAAGTTGCCCACTTCCAACTTGCAAATTGGTCAGGATGGTGCTCCGAGCATGCTGATCCACTTTTTTCAAATAAAAACCTCACGCTTCATTTGAAAATTTGGAACGAGAGCGTCCAAAAGTTTGAAAGACGGAGACATTCGCAGGGTCTGTCTTTCAAGAATTTATAGATTCACTGTTTGGGCGTAGCTCAGTCAAATCGGCTCGGATCAAGAAACTGGAATGATGGAAATGATGGGCTGGAGCAGGAGAATCTTTCACATGCAAGGGATTTTGCAACAACGTTGATTGTGAGGAAATGGCTGATAGTGTGCAATATACGGACTACTGTGGATAGCCATAAAGTATAATCATCAACCCTTCCAGTCATGCAAAGCAGCTGTGTTACACAAACACGCCCCTCTGCATCTTATTACTCTGTCAAGGTCTAGCTACTCGACAATGAACAAGGATCACTTTTCATATACCATCACGCTTGCCGCATAGTAAAACATAAAGGTGCCTGCATCTCTAAACTTTACAATCAAACGTGGGGTCTTTATGAGAACAAAGCTGCTCGTCGGAGCCAAAGCGATCTTGTGTCAAAATATGAAGTCAATCGTGGCCATTCCCAGATTTCGCAATGTCGCCACCAGCCAAACTGGATCTGGGGGTCGACCTCTTCGACGACGGCGACCAAAAAATATTTTTTGGGCTGTTTGCGACATTGAACGCGAAACTTTCACACAAGGTGCTGTTGGCCAAGCCGAGTCCATTGCTCTAATAAAAACCACACGTTTCATTGTAAAGTTTGGAGATACAGGCACCTTTATGTTTGTAAGCGTGATGCTATATGAGAAGTGGTCTTTGTTTAATGTAAAGTAGTATGGCTATAATAGAGCAAAAGATGCAGAAGGACCTCTTTGGGTAACTCAGCTAAAAAGTCAGGACTTCAGGGACAATGCATGAAAGGTACGCAACCCTCACTTTTATGTCTTACATTGGCAGCTAATAGCCACTTTCGTGCATTCCCAACTTTTGTGCATTCTATTGTAGGTGGACGATGCTCCTGCTCTAGACATTCATTTCCATGATTAAAGTAGGTTGATCCGAGCTGATTTGGTTGAGTTACGCTCAAACAAGATTACATCGGTTGAGCTACATCGAGCGTGCTTTATGTCCAGAGTGATGTAATCTCTCTTTGACCGTAGCTCAGTCAAATCAGCTCGGATCAACCTACTTTAATCATGGAAATGAATATCTGGAGCAGGGGCATCGTTCCCATGCAGTGGATTTTGCAACAACGTTGATTGTGAGGAAATGGCTGATAGCGCGCAATATTGGACTATTGTGGATAGACCATAAAGTATAATCCATCAATCCTTCCAGTCATGCAAAGTAGCTGTGTTACACAAAGAGGTCCCTCTGCATCTTTTGCTCTTCCAGGGTCCACCTACTTGACAATGAACAAAGACCACTTCTCATATAGCATCGCGCTTACAAACATAAAGGTGCCTGTATCTCCAAACTTTACAATGAAACGTGTGGTTTTTATTAGAGCAATGGGCTCGGCTTGGCCAACAGCACCTTGTGTGAAAGTTTCGCGTTCAATGTCGCAAACAGCCCAAAAAATATTTTTTGGTCGCCGTCGTCGAAGAGGTCGACCCCCAGATCCAGTTTGGCTGGTGGCGACATTGCGAAATCTGGGAATGGCCACGATTGACTTCATATTTTGACACAAGATCGCTTTGGCTCCGACGAGCAGCTTTGTTCTCATAAAGACCCCACGTTTGATTGTAAAGTTTAGAGATGCAGGCACCTTTATGTTTTACTATGCGGCAAGCGTGATGGTATATGAAAAGTGATCTTTGTTCATTGTCATAGTATGACAATAATAGAGCCAAAGATGCAGAGATTCGTGTTTGTGTAACCCAGGCCTTCATGCAACTCAAAAGGGCAATGAATTGCTACTCATGCACTCAATAACACATCATAAATTGGCAGCTAACATGCACTTCTTTCAATTCCCAGCTGTTGTTCAATCCACTGCATAGGAACGATTGTCCTGCTGCAGACATGCTTGTCCCTGATTCGGTTATTTTGATTCGAGCTGATTTGGCCGAGTAACGATCAAACGCAGAAGTATCATCCAATATCAGAAGAATTTATCGGGTTAGTTATACGTAAACTGTCACTTGATAGCCCATTCCTCCCATTCACCCTTGTTGCCCAACCCAATGCATGTGAACGATTGTAATGCTCCAGCCCATCATCTCCATCATTCAACTTTCTTGACTCGAGAGAATTTGACTGAAAAACGCTCAAACACAAAACATCATCCAATTTCAGAGAAATCATTTTGCAAAGTTATTTGTAAACTGCCAGCTAATAGCCCATTCTTCCCATTCACCTTTGTTGCCCAATACAATGCATATGAACGATTGTCCCGCTCCAGCCCAGCATGCCCATCATTTAACTTTCTTGATTTGAGGGGATTTGACTGATAAACACTCAAACTAACTCTTCCACTCCCACCTTCTTCCCTCTTCCTCCCATTCTCATCTGTTGGCCCCATTCAAGTATACAATCACCACCTGCGAACGATTGTCCTGCTTCAACCCATCATGTCAATCCTACAATTGCCTTGATCCTATTGTCGTTGACTGAATGGCAAGTTCATGGCGTGTACACAGCACTACAGCATACGCCTTCCTTGATACCCACATACTCTCTTGAACACTCCTCTGCCACAATCAAACGTAACAGCGTTCATTCCAGCAGTTGCTATTAGCAAGGTCTTACTCCAAAGTTGGTTGATCATCAAGGATTGAGATTGGGACACGCGAGTCAAATCGTGCAGCAGCTGTTTCGTGATTAAGGATGATAGCGCTTATGATGACACAACCAAGGATACAATGACACAATGATACCCGTTGACGCTATGTGATTCACTTACACCTTCTTCATTTGGCAATGCTATTTCTTTATCTATATCATAGCTATCTTTATTTACCATGTCTTTTTCTTCAGCTTGAATCGAATAAACAAGAGATTTAACATAATACCTAGAGTATCGTGCTATCAGCTCATGTGTGCAAGATGTGGATCACTTGGTTGGTTGCTGGATTTACGTTGCATGACCATACTCGATATCACACCTACTAGTAGACGAGTGCTCTTATCTTACTTCCACGGAGCGTATGGTGACAGGGTCCATTTATGCGTGTGCATCATGTTTGCTAGCGATTTTCAGCCTCCCTTTCTCATACGAACACTTACACAACATCCGTGAAAGGCATCCCCCAGCATAGCAGGTGATCTGTATTAGTAGATTGATGTCATTGTTTTGATTATCCACCTCACTATAGCTTGTCTTATCGAAACCTGATACGTGTAAAGACATTAATTACGCTCAGGCTCTTTTTTAGAGAACCTGCCTTTGATGGTGAAGGCACTCGCAATAGCTGAGTATTGTTTATTTAAGGGCGATAAACAGGGCATTGGTTTGTTCCTGCATGTATAGGATTTCCTTAGTTCCCAGGACAATGCCATAAAGCAGTTCATCACCGAGCATAATGGGCTAATCGTTGTTGATACATAAGTATGGCATTGTTGTCGATTACCTCATGGCTTCAACAAGCTAACTTCCACAACCCATCATTTTCAGCTTTCTACTTTTGGATCCGCAAGGTTTGATAGACACCTCGTCATATAAAGCATAGGTTGAATAGATAGCTCTTGTTTTTATAGGTGCGTAATGTATAAGCTTTATTGACCTGTCAAATACAACATGATGATACAAGATAGCAACGGGTGTGATGGGTCACGTGTGCATTGTCGCTTTGCATAGTGGCAGGCGTGTCAAGTGACTGCTGCGAGTTAAGGGCGACAGGAAGCGCGCAGTGGGATCGATGCATTGGTTATACTTTTCCCTGAGACAAACTCACCTACTCACAGACAATGAGGTAAGGCATCCGCCATGGGTGATAGATCCAATCGATTCACTGTTCTTTATTGACTCGTTCTATATAAAGTGACGATTCCAAAGGAAAAGAAAGCAAAAAGCTTGAGGAAACGAGCGAGTCTCCAGCAATCACTCCTGACCCTAGCAAGGACAAATCGAACGCGCCTTCCAATCCATCAACAACGCTCTCGTCACCTTTTCAACTTGTATCTGGTGGTGAAAGTGATTCCAGCAACGTATCTTCGCCAAGTCTCATTCCTGGATCGTCGACAGAGAAGGAGCAATCAACAGTGTCCAAGACGTTCTCTTTTGGTACAGGAGCAGCAACGGCAGCCACGACGACGGCCAAATCATCATCATTCACATCGACAACGAAGAGCTTTTCGTTCGGTTCATTGTCTGATTCCGGCAATAAGGATGCTTCGTCTTCCAATGTTACAGAACGAGACGCGACCGATGATTCTCCATCATCTTCTTTTGTCTTCGTCTCAGGTCCTTCTTCACCAAAGGAGGGTGTGGAAAAGCCTTCTGAAGAGAGTACTTGTAAGTAGGATGGATGGATGGATGGTTGGTTGTGGTAGTTCACATACTGATGAATGATTGAATGAATGATATATAGCAAAAGCGGATGATGCAACAAGTGGAAAGAGTCCATTTTCTTTTGGAGCTGCACCTTCGTTGACAACAAAAACGCCCTCATCAACAACTGATACATCCAAGCCAGCATTGTCGTTTGGTACACCATCAAAGGAGACACCATCCACTGAATCCACATCAGGAATCGACACCAAATCAAAGTCACCTTTCTCGTTGGGCACTGGATCAGGTGGTGAAGCACCTACATTTGGAACATCAAAGCCAACCGAAGCCGCTACGACATCAAAGGATGAAGCACAATCAAAATCGCCATTCTCCTTTAGTACGTTTGGACAATCGACATCACCTTTTGGTGCACCATCTGCTACTACTGCTACAGCTACGCCATCGTCTTCCAGTGAAAAGACTTCATCCAAACCAGGATCATTATTTGGTTCATCATCAGCAGCAGCCAAAGAAACACCAAAGCAACCCTCCTTTTTTGGATCATCCCCAGCAACAAGTGGTGGTGATAAGGCAACATCAGAGGATAATGCGCCAAAATCAACATCGTTCTTTGGTGCACCCAAATCATCTAGTGATGTGAGTTCGGAAGCATCAAAATCGGGATTTTCTTTTGGTGGTGGATCAGGATTTGGAGCAAAGACACCAAGTGCCGAAAGCACTGCATCGAAGCAAGGATTTTCCTTTGGTACACCAGCAGCAGCATCCAAGACACCTGCTATTAGTGAAAGCTCATCAACCAAGCCTAGTGGATTCTCCTTTGGTACACCAGCAAAGACTACAACGGAGACTGAGAAATCGCCTTTTTCATTTGGAGCTCCTGCAAAGACCACGACTGAAACTACGAGCACATCAAAGTCGCCTTTTTCAATGGGTACACCTGCCAAGACTACAACTGAAGCTGAGACATCAAAGGGTGGATTTTCATTTGGGGCACCTGCAAAGGCAACAGGTACGGCTGAAGCACCAAAGGCCGGTGGATTTTCGTTTGGAGCACCTGCAAAGCCAACCACTGAGACTACGAGCACCTCCAAGTCACCTTTTTCAATGGGTACACCTGCAAAGACAACAACTGAAGCTGAGGCATCAAAGGGAGGATTTTCGTTTGGAACACCAGCAAAATCAGCGGAAGCACCAAAGACTGGGGGATTTTCATTTGGAGCAAAGTCAACGACTGAAGCTGAAAGCACCTCCAAGTCACCTTTTTCAATGAGTACACCTGCAAAGACAACAACTGAAGCTGAGGCATCAAAGGGTGGATTTTCATTTGGAACACCAGCAAAGTCAACCGAAGCACCAAAGGCTGGAGGATTTTCATTTGGAGCACCAGCAAAGGCAACGACTACAAGTGAGCCATCAAAGGGAGGATTTTCATTTGGAGCACCTGCAAAAGCAACAAGTGCTACTGAAGCACCAAAGACTGGAGGATTTTCATTTGGAGCACCAGCAAAGGCAGCAAGTACTACTGAAGCACCAAAGGCTGGGGGATTTTCATTTGGAGCACAACCCAAGGCTACTGGTGAGAGTGCTACTGCACCTAAACAAAGCTTTTCATTTGGATCGAGTAATGAGGACAAGGCACCTAAAGCAACTACGTCAGGTGGTTTCAGTATCCCTAGCTCGCCATCAAGTCAACCAAGTGGATCAGCAGCAACACCATCATTCTCATTTGGTGCTCCACCCACTTCTCAACCATCGTCAGCGGATACGGCCAAAGCAACTATGCCTTCATTTGGCAGTCAACCATCATCAACAGAGTCTGCTACCAAATCGGCATTTTCTTTTGGCGCTCCAGCTGCAAAGCCCACTGAAAGTGCTCCTTCAAAACCATCATTTTCTTTTGGTGCTCCTCCTTCATCATCACAAGCACAAGATACAGCAGCAAAGCCATCATTCTCTTTGTCGACATCAACAACCAAAAAAGATGATACCACAGCAACTGCTCCCAAGCCATCCTTTTCCTTTGGTCAACCAAGTACAACTAATACAACTACCACAACAACATCTGCTGCAGCAACTACATCTCTCTTTTCATTCAGCAAGCCTACTACTACAGAAGCAAGTCCATCAACATCTACACCTGCTCCTGCTGCTGCTGCTACTCCCTCGTTTTCTTTTGGAGCACCAAAGAAGGATGATGAAAAGAAGGACACAACAACGGCTGCTGCATCACCTTTCTCATTCAAGACTCCTGCTACTCCTAGTGGCACTACCTCCACTACTACTTCTACTACTGCTGCAACGGCAGGCACTGGTGGTTTCTCATTCTCATCACAACCAGCTGCTGGTACTGGAATCGGTGCTGGTGCTCCTGCTGTACAAGCCGACGCATTTTCATTCAACAAGATGATTCAAGATATGGAAAAGATTGCATCTCAACCCCCTGGCATGTTCCAAGCATCACTCATGACTCCTGCTTTACGTGGATTACAGTATGTGTTATTGAAAAGAACCATGAATAGGGTGGATGGCTCATCATTAATCATATCATAGGCAAAAGCATATCGTTACCACCACCAACTTTAGGATTGATAATATTCTTTTCAGCACACGGTTTTCTGAACTTCCCGAACAAGCACAACGTGAATTGGATCAACTTGAACAATACATTCGTGCGGAGAGCCAACGCTGCGAGTTTGTCAAGAAGCAAGGTGTACATAAACATGGCAACCTCATCCAAAGTGCACAACAGCAAACAGATTCTTTATATCAGGTAGATATCGTATTCAAGGTCATCATTATCCATGTGCATGTGATCTAACATGAGGTGGTGCATATTAGCAATTGGGAGCATTATCAAGCAGTTTGAAACGCCAAATGGAGCACATTGAGCAATTATTTGACCAGGCGGGCGCTCAGCTTCGTCACGCTGCCGATGCAAGCAATATCATTGAAGCCATCAAGCATCCTGGTAGTTCGGGCCGCTGGTTGTTTGGTTATGGAACAGATGATGAGTAAGTAGTAGTGTCTTTTTGTGATCCAAATGATGGTCGGTTGTGATTGACGAGTGATTTTTCTTTCACATAGTTATTTCGTCAACTTGGCTTATTCATTACAACAGCGATTGGACATTTACAGAAATACTGTCTGGGTAAAGTTGGAAAGGAAAAGGATCAAAGAATGAATGTAAGGCTTATCCATTTTGATATAGGAAATCGAACGAGCAACCGAATCATGGTCCAAGCATGAAAGTCGTACACCACAAGGTAAGAGATGGAAACGAGGATGCTTTGTGATGCAAGAAACTGATGATGTTTAATGGTAGATATTGCACGGATCATGCGTGAACAACACAATACATTTTTGGCATTGGCAAGTCGTGTTGCTGCTTTGGATGAAAGTGTGCGGCTTGAAAAGGATCAATTCCAACAATATCTCAAAATGTACACGTGATCACCCTTATTGTAATACAAAACAACCTTTATTGCAAAATACATGTTTCTTCATCATCCCTCTTTGCTTTACAATGATTGACTTTGTGTGATTTGAGTAAGCACCCATATAAACATTGTTCTCTATAGCTTCTTGATGGACTTGTCCTTAATGATACTTGTAGTTCCTTCTTCGGCTGAGGTTTGGCCAACTCCATTCAAAAGCTAGGGCGTCTCCAGGCAACCTTTATGCTTGGACGAGCGGGACTCCAAAGCGGATCAATGCGTAGCAACAAGCGCGATTTACCTCGTTCTTTTCTGATTGAGCATCGTCAAAACACGTCTAGACCGAGGGGTGACAAAGGGAGTCTTGTGCCGAAGGGCTTTGTTAAGGATCAAAGGTATCCTGGCGTGAACAACTGGTCTCCTAGACAGCTATCCTTGCTGTGACAAAGGTTGTCGTTAGTTAGGGCGTAATGCCATTGGCTACTGTGCGCTGGCAGATTGGTTGTGAGATGCGATGAAGGGCACGCTAGACCAAGAGGTGACAAAGGGAGTCTTGTGCCGAAGGGCTTGTTAAGGTTCAAAGGTATCCTGGCGTGAACAACGGGTCTCCTAGACAGCTATCCTTGCTGTGACAAAGGTTGTCGTTAGTTGGGGCATTATGCCAATGGCTACTGTGCGCTGGCAGACTGGTTGTCATTACCTTCATCACTTTGGGGTTGTGCTGTTTATTGTAAAAAGAGGCAAGTACATAAAGCGAGAAAATCTAGCATATGACTAACAATGTATCGTATCAACTCGATGTGCAAAGTGAGAGTCTTTCTCGGAAGGTTACTTTTTGCAAGAACCATTTTGGCGCGCGCTTTGAAGAAATCACATCCTCTATTTACGCAAAATGGACTATCTCAACCACCCGGACGCCGAGGATTTTGAAAAAGAAGGATCACCTATTCAGGCGTTGGATGACCACATGGCTCACTTAGAAGAAGTGGCTCATGCTCAATCGGCGGACCTATAATCACACTATTCTCCTTCACTCCCAATGGTTGACTTTTCCTCCTTGAGGTTTTTTAATGCACCATCCCCACATCCTACATTTTATTTATCTGTATACATAAGGTTTTGTCAATGGGTCGACCATTCGCTTAAAGGGTCAAGGGCAACCAGTACCCAAATAAACGTATAACTTTTGCAAAGCGAGATACAGGATGACCAAAGATCTCCTCCGCCAAAGGTAGTGGAAGAAGGATGAGAGGGTGAAAGCGGAAATACAGATGACATGAACGATAATCTATTCAGAAGCTTCGTTGAATATAGGAGCATGTAAAATACAGAGCTTGTTACCCATTACCTTGAAAAATCAGATGAACTTATAAAGCAACATCACTTGACTCCGAAGAAGGAAAGCTTTCTGCTCAACCCAGAGATGAGCTATGTGGACCATCCGCTCCAATAAACATCTTGTGCTTCTTCTCCGTGATCTTCAAAATCCTTGGGTTGACAAGAGTATCAAGATGTTGTGTATGATCACTTTCCTCATGTCGCATGGCTCGCTTCTGCTCCTTGTTGTGACATAGTCCAAGTTGCTCAATAGATTCAACACTGTGGCTCAACAGTTGCTATATGTACGACCGTTTCAGAACAAAATAAAAAAACAAGAGTAGTTCCACTTACCCCAAATTTCCAGCAACTGGTCATCAATGGTAACAACTCGTCCTCTTTCCTTTCAAACTCGGTCGGTACATGGACTTTGAGCTCCTTCTTCATGATGTATACATCTTGTTGAAGTCTTGAAAGCGACCATACACGGATGGCATCACCTATAGAGGAGGTTAGTGTTGGTCAATATGAGTAAATGATCGATATATATACCGGGGGCATGCGCAAAAAAAAGAGCTTGACCTTGCCACACCAAAGAACACCGCTAGCTTCTAGGCTAATAGAAACACATTAGTTACGTTTTCTAGTAGCCTCCTTTATCACTTACTCAAAACCACAGATGATGATTCGCCATTGTGCTCTTCTAGAAACTGTAGCCATCCATCCCATAATGACAGCACTGGAAAGAAAAGTTACAACCTGAACTTTATCAGGAAATTTTCTTTTACCTTTTACACCTTCCTCGGATTCAGCGTCGTTATTTTGATCTTCCTGATCACTGTCGACTTTCCTTCCTCGTCACCGTACACTTGTTCTTCCTCATCACCGTGAACTTGTCCTTCCTCTTCGTCATGAAAAGACCTTGCGACCTTTGATGATGATGCGTCTCCATCTTCCTCCTCTTTTCGTTGTCTCTAGCAAGTAGTGTTTCAAGTAAGCCAACATACATAATCATATAGCGCAGATCAATATACAGCAGTAGAAAAAGCTTTTTGACTTACATGTTTGTAAAAGTGCATGTATGTTTGTAAATCTCGTGGCATTGTCGGGCAGGAGTCTTTCTTTTTATAATCACTTATAAGCCTCAATTCATGCTTGGTGAAGACCTTGTCAAAGGTGTATGTAGCTCTTGCCATACGGACCAAGGACGAACGAGTGGCACAAGCTAATGTAGGCATGTATATGGTTATACACGTGATAGCAGATCCGGATGATGATACTTACCGTTCCATGTGAAGTGTGATGCCTTATTGATATAATGTATCCTCAACGCATGTCCCCGCCTCCAGTGTCCATTTCTTGCTTTTCTCTATCTCCTTGCAACTCGACCAGGCGAAGATTGCTTGTATGGTGGTGTACTTGATAGCTGATGAGGAATCATCCATTGGAATCCGTATGTAGCATGTACGTATGTCACCTACAAAGGAGTCCCAAATTCCCTATCAGATTGAGAGGTTGCCTTTTGCCTATAAATATACATACCACAAAGGGTCCATCAAGGAGCACAGCCAAATGCCATTAGGCAACAATGAACACGCCAAGTGGTAAAGCAATGATGTGAGCTATAGGTGAAAATAAAAAAGGATGAATGCATGAGTATCCTCATTTTGTGGATCACCCAAAGGCTATCCTTGAGACTTACCAAAGGCCATTGATGAAGATATGAATACAAGCAGCAGAAAGAAAGGGCTTATGATAGTGTCGGTGACAAGAGCCTTGTTTATATGTGAGCGGGCGTGAGAATTGTTGTCATGATGGATCGAACTGATAAAGTGGTCAAGCACCATGGAGTACTGAGTCAAAGTGAGCGGAAAGTAACAGCGTTCCAACAAGCTTTTCCAGCACACTTGGCTAGTGCAGAGCGACGCAGCGGCCACTTGATACAGGCTGGGACTTGAACCCAAAGAGATGATGATGATGATGCCCCAAGTTGCATTGCCTGACCAAAGAACCTATCCAATTCATTATTAGCACACACACAATAAACACCCTTTTCATTGTTTGTTTCATTGTACTTGCCTTTTCCATACACACAAAGACCCGTTGTTGTTGGTTACTGGAAACCGAAAACCATGGTGTAGTATAGTTGAGCCGAAACAAAACGCCAAACCAGCCAACGTCTTGAAACCAAACTTGCCCTCTATACAAGCTGACGCGTCAATGGAACCAATTCGGCTGCAACATTGGACTCTGAATGTACCTGTTGACACCAAGCGTAGAGCGGGAATAGCAACGAGCAAAAGGAAGCAACCATATCGCCATGGCAACCACCAACCACCAACCACGCTCATTCCTCAGCATTTGGACACACACTCACTCCCTGACAATGCATGTTCAGAACTACATTAACACCTCACAGCCAATAAGAGCACTCTTTGATAATACATTACCTTGATCGAGATGTTGTGAATGGAATAAAAGCAGAGGAGTGAGAAAGAGAAGAGAAGCGTTGTCTCAAGTCGTGGAGCTACCGGCCCCCAAGTTTAAATCCCCTACTGCTATTACACTGAGGCCGCTCATCAATTACCCTATACACACCATCCACCCATCGTCGTCATCACCCTCACGATAGACAATAGGTACACGTAAATAAAAGAAATGATGATCCTCACGTATAGCAAAAGGGTGTGTGCCATTTTACACTTTACATGATAATGATGATCCAACAACAGCCATTGCCTTTACTACCAGGTTACCTCGAATCAAGAAAGTTAAATGATGGGAATGATGGGCTGGAGCAAGACAATCGTTCGTGTGCATTTGGATTGGACAACAAAGGTGAATGGAAGGAATGGGCTATTAGCCGGCAGTTCACAAATAACTTACCAATTTGATTCTTCTGATATTGGATGATGCTTCTGTGTTTGAGCGTTTTTCAGTCAAATCCCATCGGATCAAGATAGTTGAAGGATGGAAATGATGAGCTGGAGCAGGACAACCGATCACATGCATTGGGTTGGGCAACAAAGGTGAATGGGAGGAATGGGGTATTAGTTGGCATTTTATGAACTTCCCTAAATAGTGTACAAGTATCATGCATCACCTGTGAAGGATAGCAAATTCCTGCAATGATGAATATTACGAGTTCGGGTAATGTGTTTGCATAGACGTGTACATATTATTAAGATGGGTTGAGGTAAACGGATAACGCAATACAATCGTTATTCTCATGGTACTATGGTAAACTCGGAAGAATAGCCTTGATGGGACTTGACCTCACTACAAGATCGATACAATAAAATGAGCCAAGTTGTATGTTGCATAAATAAGTGAGAAATCCTTACCCAGTCAGCGTCTTTTTATGGTGGCCAAAGTATCCAATTCGATAGGTCCCCTCTTTACATGACAATGATGAGCTCATCTCGTTGTACTACTTTTGTACCTTTTTCAAAACCCACATACCAGATACGTTGTCATCGACATGCCATTCAATCTTGGCTTGGGACAATCCAAAGAGCTTGGCCTTGTAAGAAAAGTGAAAGCGTGTATCATAATCATGATCGTTTCGAATCACCTTCCAAACCGAGGACGTGTCGTTGCCATGCTGCTGCTGCTGCTTTTGCTCAATCGTCAAGAATGTACCATCCAACTTGACGTTGTTGCGTGGATTACCAGCGACAAAGGTAGCTGATATTACGGGGTGATCCGCTCGTGAAAAGTTGCCATCCTTGGTTTCTACATCCTTGATAATGTCGCCAAATGATTTGCCCACGCCGCTATTGTCGGCAGGATACGATGGCGACAAGTTGAATGCTTTGCCAGTATAATCAGGTAGCTTTTCGGAATCTTGAATTGGCTCATTTTTGGCCATGGCCGTAGCCAGCTCGGTAAACACTTGAATGTAAGCTTCCAGCGTGTGTGGTCCATAAGGTGTCTACGTAACAAAAATAATAACATGCGTGTGTGCGTGTGAGTCATCGTAGCTCTTCCCATTTGCTGCATACATGTGTGCTACGTTACATACCGAGGCACCTTCATAGCGTTGCATTTGGTATTCTTCGTAAGTTGCACAATAAGACTAAACAAAGACAATAAAAGATGAGCTGGTTTGACAATGAAATGAATGCTTCGTGCTCGTGGATACTTGCCGCATACGAATTTGCAGGGCCTGATTGAATGACCAAAGTGTCATTGTTTCCCACACCCTGCTCAATCAACACCTTTTTGATAGCTTTGCGAAGACGTCTTCCACTCATGGTGGTCATTTCGGATGGTACAGCTGCAATAAAGAAATTCCCAATGCGTATCAACTGCACGTCAATGATACTTGGCTGCCATTCATAAGGAAAGGTGATCTCGCCTGTATTGAGAAGTACGGGTTTTGGTTGTTGGCATTCTTCTTGCCTTTTACTTGGCTTCTTGAGCAAGTCAGCAATAAGGTCCCAGAATGGATTACCATGAGTGGTATTCTATGGATGTCATCATGTGTCAAGGGATAAGGGTATTAACCATTACTTGAATCACATACCTGATAAAATACAGAGAGTGCAGGTCCATCCGTTGTTCCGGCAGCTACAAAGAATGATGTAAATGAAATGCATGTTAATGTAGCAACGCCTATTTTCCATACCAAAGGCGTATCCCTAATACACAAAAGATGTGAGCCAATACAAACTTATTCGACTATTACTGTAAGTACTTTACCATAGCAGCTGGGCATAGTGATGCATTGGTCCCATCTTCTCGTTTAATCACTGCATTGCTAATGTCCCAGTACTTTTGGCGATAGTCAATGGGTCCTGATAGGGTCATGAGCTTGTCACCATGATCAAAAAGCTCGATCGCTTTATCAGCTTGGTTTTGACCAATGATACGATTGGATTCAAGGTCGCTTATTTTCCATCCAGGTCCTCTATTTTCCCCACGTACACAATTTAATAAGTTTAAAGTTGCGTCTTTGTGCTGCATTTTAGATGCTTGTATTACCTTCCATTACAAGTAGATGTGCCTGGGCATTTCGTTTCACGCGTACCATCGCATGGTATATCAGTGCCTGTGCAGTAAGCGCCTTCGGTGTTAGGGCTGACATCGCCTTCGTTTGCTTGTGCAAAAGCAGCTACAAAGGATCCCCTGCTTCCTGGTTTTCCATGATTGTAATGCTTTTCAGCAGCGTAAGCAGCATAACCCTTGTTGTCGCCATTGACCAAATGATTGGTATTGTTCACCGAGACACCATGTACAGCAAACCTTGGGAAAAATCAAGATTACGTGAGCTCACAATGAACCATAATTTACTCAAAAGAGGAAAAACACAAACCAATTCAGTAATCCAAGGCCATTGCCATCTGTGTCGCGGAAACCAAGTAACGTCATGTCTTTGTCCACATCGTACTTGTACTCGGCACGCTCCTCCTTGGGATTAAGCAAATAAGCGGCTGGCGAACGGTTAATGTTGGTATCCAATAGTTCACCACGAGTGACAGTGACGCTGCCATTTTGTAAATGATCGTGGGCACGAACAATGGCATTGACAATGCCCTCCACCATAGGCTTTGTGGTTTCTTCAATCCATCCCAGGACACTGATTTCATAAAGAGCTACATGTACATCGTTTGTTGGTCAAACAAAGTCCTAAACATATATGGGCAAATAACCCAATCCTAGTAAATTCTGTACCATGTTGCAAGTAGCCTCCCATGCTGCTGTGGGAATGAGTGCTTGAAAGCATTACGTTCTGCTCTGTATACACCTTGTTGCCATACAATTCTTGTAATTTCTTCACCACTCGCTTCTTGACAATGTCGCCCATGGATTGGGTATCCGTATTGACGAAGACAACGCGGTCTGTATCAGTGGCAACAATGAAGGCTCGTGCAAAGATGCGTTGCAGAATGCCCTTGTCTGTTTGTCCCAGCTCAGCATATCCCATCATCATGATCTCGGCAGTGGGGCCTGTGATATCACCAATGCCCACGCCCACTTTGAAAGAGGAGTCATCTTTGGCAGTAGCACCACACATCCACCAACAACAAATCGATGCATAGATCAAGAGGAAAACGGATCGTATCAAGACCATTTGAGAATAGTTAAAAGGAAGGGTACAATGGGATTAGAGGGGAAAAAAGTGAATGGAATGGGAAAGAGGTATACTAGATTATGTCTTTGAGAAAGATAATGCAAAGGTATATTATATATCAATGTCTTTTGTGATACAAGTCTTGTGCAAGACATGGCCCAAAGGCCTGATTTATTGAAAGGAGCTGAATGAGTTACCAGGCTAGATACCGCTCTTGTACATCCACCAAACAACAATGAGCTGCCAAACATGTTCAGGCTGTTTCACAGGCAAAGGCTGCAGTACTCATTCCTCTCGATCAAAGCAATCGCAAGAGCAAGAAACACACTACTTTGATTCTCTACTTGAATTGGCAGCATCGACGGACCAGCATGGCGAGAAGCACCAGCACAGTAATCACGACCACGTTATCCCAACGATCGTCAGTGTCTTATCCAACAATGTGTATGCATCGCAGGTGGCGTTGCTTGGAGCATACCAGCAGCTATCCTTTAACGACTTTTTGGAGCTTGTACGGAGGTGTCATGAACGTCATATCAATGGCATGTTGATTGCTTGGTGTTGGCAGTATTGCAAGGAAGATGGCAACGAGTGGCTCAAGCAGATGCGTGGCAGTGATGATGCTACAGCCCTTTGGGATCACCTTGACGGTCAAGCTGAAGTACATGAGGTATTCAATGGATTGGAAGAAGGATCAGCAGGACGTGTCAAACGATGATGCTTGAATGCACCCCCTTTCCCTCCTCTCTTAGTACCCTCCTATATCCTTGTTGTTTTTTATTATCCTCCTTTGTGAATGTTATTATGATGATGATGATGATCGGTTATCAAAACAAAAAGAACCCAGTTGGAATGTGTGTGCGCGTGTGTGTGAATGTTGAAGGTACAATTGTGCTGCATGTATGTGTGTGTGTGTGTGTGTGTGTGTGTGTGTGCGTTTGTGCGTGTGAGAATGCATGTGGAATAACAGTTGACTGAAAATGGATGGGTTATTGTTGTGCCTCTTTGATGCGGGGGATTAAAGGGGGTGGGCTGTCAGACAAAGTGAAGCTAAAAGGGTAGTACAATGACTTGTACTTGTTACCGATACGTTGGTATTCATAATAGCATAGCAATAGTAGTAACGGGACTCAACGATGCTAACACTATCTCTTTTTATCCAAATGGATCATAGGGTGTTGTAACAGAAGATGCACGTTTATTTCAAACATGATATGGTTCACATGGTTACTACGTTTTGTGTGTGCGTTGGCATGTGTGTACTTGGATACCAGAGATAGGTTGTTTTTTTCATGCATGTCGGATCTACCAATGTTAAACTCCTCCACTTACCTTTTGTGGATGTGCTTTTACTTCGAACAATTTTGGCAAGCATTCACCCTTTTATGGTCGACACACGAAAGCAAATGTTTGTTGTCTTAAAAGCTTCAAGGGGCTGCCACCACCATTCTCTCACTTTCACCCTCTCTCTCGTGTCCTTTTTTCTTTCTTTCTCGCTATCTCTCTCTCTGATACCTATTGTTCTTTCTGTAAGTCTCAGTCTTTCTCCTCTTCGTCTCCTCTTCCTCGTTCTCCTTCTTTATTGTCACTTACAAAAGCTGCTTTTATCTATCACCGAAACAGGAACACACGCACACACACAACCCCTACACTACACCATGTCATTCTACATTCACAATCAGCACTCCATGTCCAACCAGATGCCCATAGCCAAGCCCCATTTCTGTAACGACATTGTCATGGAAGAAGCACTTCCTGTAGCAAGCCCTACCACTCGTCAACCTACAGCACCAGATCCTATTTACAACTTGGATACTCTTTCAATGCAGCTGACTGTGGCTCGTCCAAAGAATCCATTTGAAACGACAGGCAACAAAGTAGGCAAGTCTTATTATAATTATCCATTTGCCATGTTGGGATAGAGTTCACTAAACTTAGTTATGCATGCAATAGATTTCCTTGCACGACTTCCCTATGAGCTTGGATGCCGCATCTTGTCACTCCTTGATCTCAATAGCTTGATGGCTGTATCTCGCGTGAGTCGTCATTGGCGAACGATTTACCACGACAATGAACTATGGCGTGCACGCATGGCTGAGCAACAATGGATCGTGCAATCAGATGAAAATATGGATGAACGACGCATGGATTGGCATTACCTTTACAAGCAAAAGCATCAACTTATTCACCGCTGGCAAACCGGTCAAGTCACTACTCACACATTAATGGCACATCAAAGTGGCGTGTATTGCATGCAATTCGATAATCACAAGATGATCACCGGCAGCCGTGATCGCACTATCAAGTTTTGGGATATGGCTACGTATCAATGCATTGGATCACTCAAGGGTCATACGGGCAGTGTCCTTTGTCTCAAGTATGACGATCAAGTCCTCATTTCGGGATCCTCCGATGCCACCGTCATTGTCTGGGATATCCAACGCTGTCAACCCTTACGTCAACTACAGGTAAGCCTTCCCATTGTTTGTTCCCTACCCTATGTGCTGTGCTGACTTTGATTCTTTAGGGACATACCAGCGGCGTGTTTGACATTTGCTACAACAACCAATACATTGTAAGCGCATCCAAGGATACCACCATCCGGATATGGGATTTCAATACAGGTGCTCTTGTACGCGTCATCCAAGGTCACAGTGGTCCTGTCAATAGCATCCAACTCTTTGGTAATCATCTCGTCTCCGGTTCCGGTGATGGTACAATCATGATGTGGGATATCACCACCGGTGCATGCATTCGTCAATATCTTGGCCATGAACATGGTGTCACTTGCATACGCTTTGATGGCAAACGCATTGTCAGTGGATCCAATGACCAAACCGTTCGCGTATGGGATGCAGAGGTAAGCGCGCCATCGTTATCCAAAATGACATTTTTACTCATGTATCTGTAAATAGACCGGTGTATGTACCATGGTTCTTTGTGGCCATACAGGCCTTGTTCGAGCACTCCAATTTGATGATGAAAAGATTGTAAGCTCAGGCTATGACCAAACCGTTCGTGTGTGGAGCATAAGGTAAAACTCGACATTGCTTTATCCTTTTGACTGGGAAGACTAAATGATGCCATTTTAGAACCGGTGAATGTCTTTTGAGCTTCGAATCAGCCGCTCAAGCAAGTTGGATCTTTGATGTCAAGTTTGATAAGAGCAAAATCATAGCGTAAGTCATGCAACGACCATCCCCATATATCAACCATGAAACTAACATGCTTGTGAATAGTGCACGTCAAGATAACACGGTCATGGTAATGGACTTTGGACATGGCTTGGATACCCGATTGCTCGTTTGAACAAGACCACATCTCCCCCCTCCTCCTTCTCCTCCTCCATCATCATATTACTCAGTACTTTAATAACCCTTCTTATTACCTATTGCCCCATTCATCTTCCATACAACAAACGCATTCTCACACATCACATTTATCAACCAATCTCATCCCATCTCACAAACATCCATCCGCTTCTCATTTGTACTTTTAGTCTTTAGCATTCGCTCAAAAAAGAAATACATACAAAATACCTTAGCACATCAATCAATGTTTGTACTTGTGGGATTTGGACAAAGAAAGTGATTTGTATGATAGCCAATAGGTGATGGTGGCAGATCATGATTTTGCATGGGTAATCAAACACGCCATCATGAGCACACAATTCTCCTTTATCAACAGCATTTATGCAAGGATGCTATGAGGCTGATCACATAGGACACGTAGGCGTGCATTATACGAGGCATTTGTGTCTATCATAATAGAGTTGTCTTTTGCTTGCAGACGCATGAGATATGAGTAGATCGCTATATATAGCTTCTTTAGGAGGTGGGTCATCATTACTCAAACATATGGATAAGGTGTATAGGTATCATCTTCAAACGCATCCTACCAGTGGTTTACATCATTGTTGATCTTGAACGAGAAAATCTACTGGGCTCGTTTCTCCCCAACCTACTCCGGTTCAAAGATCTCACTGCTCACGTGACAAACGACATTGAATGGAGCAGTAATGGAGCATTTATTGTGTATTCGATGGGTTTGAGAATCTCATTTGGCCGCTGATTCTTTAAATTAGGGGTAAAGAGTTGATAAATGTGAAGCCACAACAAGTGGGCGATCTCTTCATTACATGGTATAGTATGTAGTAGCCGTATGCTAATGGCAATAAAACACTACCAATCCGATGAGAGCATGGATTTCCTATATGAAATATTCATTGTATGAGCATGGATAAACGACATTGCCTTGTTCCCATTTCAGGCACACAAGAAGCATCCCTGATTTGATTCTTCTCTTGCTGGGTAGCTTGTGTGACAATCGTTAAAGTTCTTTGTCTGTATTTGCGGTGGATAAAGCTCATTTTCTTTCTCGCTCTCTCGCTCTCTCTTTTCTTCTTTCTCCATTACTGCTCTCCTCCGCCATGAGTGCTCGCAACAACGGTCCCGCTGGCAAATTCCGCATTGAAGCTTCTTGGAATGAGGCTCACGGTACATACCGAGCCAATGGTAAGTCTGACAGCCTTTGATCTTTTGCTTTTCATTTCGATACGCGGTCTCCCCATGGCCTCCCCCCACTCATTGACACGACAACTCACGAAACATGGTAGACCAAATGCCTCTTCCCAAGACATTAAAGTGTATCTTTTGCGACCAGGTAAGCGTACACTCGCGTATTCGCGATGCTTTTTTTTCTAATAGGATGTGTATAGGAGAAGCAGTTGGACGCATTTTCAAAGACTCAGTTGGCCAAGGTAAGCGAGGCGAGCGAGATGGGACGATTGAGAAGCATGGGAAATGGGATACTCATCATCATCATCATCATCATCATCCTTTATTTAGGCCACTTTCAACCGTGAGTTTGGGAGGGTTGGGATCATTTTATAGGATGTGGATCTCTTTACTGATGTTCGACACACACACAGCCTATGCACCTGCAGGATACAACAACAAGAAAAAGACCATTACTTGCAAACAATGCACAGCCAAGCAAACGGTCACGTTGACCTGCATGACCTGTACAAAAACCAAACCACTTGAGCAATTCGCGAGGGTATGTATTGCATATGAAAGAGGAGGAGATGGGGTACTCATATTTATTGTAGAACCAACGCCGCCACAATGAGAAAGCCCGTTGCTTAAAGTGCATGAAGAAGCGTGAGGAGGAGGACATGAACGACTCTGACCCAGACTATTCATCGGATGACGACGAGCTTCGCGAGACTTGGCATGATTTCACATAAACAAAAACAAAAAAAAAAAACGCCACGTTCACATGAATATTCCCCAACCCCCATCCACATTCTCTGACATTTAGCGATATTTGATGTATATACAACCGAATGAATCTTTGTTTAGCGTAGTGCATGTTGTGTGAATGTGTGTGGAGGGTGATCAAAGGATGCAAATGTGTGTGAAAAGGGGTGGGGGTATTATAGACACGAGGATTAAGAAAGAGATCATCACCATCCAACAAATAAACTAGTGGATAAAGAACCACGTACTTTCATATCCAAATCCAATTCTGGAGCAGATGCACCACGCGTATTGCTTATGCCAATGGCGCGTCGATGATGGCTGTGACCCGATAAAGTGCTCGTGCTACGTGAATGGAACCGACGCTGTGGTTGGTGAGGGACAGGGTGGTGTAGCTGCTTTCTCGAAGGAGCTGATGACGACGTTGACAACAATCTTGTATGCTGTTGTTTGTTGCTGCTTTCTATCGGTCGTTGGAATATGCTAGCAAGAATACCTGTCAGAATGGATGATGATTGTTGTTGCTGTTGTCGTTTTTGTTCTTGTTGCAAGCATTTTGCCTCTTGTTGTTGACGTTGTAACATGTACTTTTCTTTGAGTCGTTTTACATAATCGATCTTGAGATCATTAAGGTTGGTACGCAGCTCACCGATCTCCTTGAGCAAGTCTTGATAGAGCTGACTGGTGGGCAGCAATGTGTTACAACCGGGTGGCACCGTGGTTGCAAATTGACGATCCATGTCAGCAAGGATATGTTCAATCATGGCATTGCTGAACTTGCCCATTTGTGGCATATCAAAAACGCTCTTGGCTTGCCGGCTTAATTCAAGTGCTTCGGTACCTCTCAACCTCTCGAATTTGTCTTTGGCTGCATCATGCAGATCCATTAAATGCTTCAAATACATATGCATGAGTCATCCTATACATAGCATGGCTGATCATGATCTACTACTTACTTTTTCAAAGGATAATGTGGTAGTAGTATTATGATTCAATTCTTGATTCATCGTTTGTAAAATGTAATGATAGTGATGATGGTGTTGGATCGATGATGCATTATCCTCCTCGCTATCATCAGCGCTGGATGATGATGACTCTGATGATTCTTCCTCAGGCACAGGGGCCATGGTTGATACCGGTATGGCAGGTGTTGAATACGATGGCATCAATTCATGGGGTGGTGGTAATTCGTTACTCAGCGTGCTAAGATCGTTCCATGACATTTTGCGTTCGTTGAGCTTTGTTGAATGTGACACCATGGTGGCCTGTGTCACATTATCAGCTGATGTTGCATTAATATTAGTGATCGGCATGTTATTTACTTGGTTGAGTAGGCGTGATGACTTTGCATTACGTGTCTCCACAGATGCTTGCAAGGCCTCATAGGCACGATTCAATGATGCTGTGGATGGGAAGGAGGTGTGTGAATAAATCAATGTTAATAATAAAAGCACTTTACTCACTCACCATGTTTGTCTTTGATGGCTCTCATGCGAGATTGTAAAGCCTTGTCATTCCTGCGTAATGTGTCAACTTCGTGCTGCACATCATCCAACTTTAACAACCAATGAGTTAAATGAAGCTACAAGGTGATGTACTTTTTTCTTACCTTGGCACGAAGCATTTCTTCACGAGCATGAGCTTCGCGTGATTCAACTCGAAAAGGTTGCAGCTTTTCAATTTCAAGCTCTTTTTTCCTTAGCTCATTGGATAGCTGTGTACATCGATTGTTGGCTATTTCGAGATCTGCTGCTGTTGCATCCAATGTCTATGTATTCATGAAGAGGGCATGTAAGTTGAAAAGGGGAGCAAAGGGAGGAGAGCATGGGTTATTATCCTACCGACCGATTGGGTTCGTTTCCATTTCCAGTACCACTTGTTATTGTCTTGATGAAGCTCCTGCTTGGCTGTATCTGATACTTGCACTGCGTGTTCCAAATCACGTATACGTTCACGATATTCGTGTGCCTAATCGAGTACATACGATTCTATAAGCATAACATTTTCACATGACGACAAGGGTGCACACGCGCCCGCGCGCGGGGAAAAATTGCAAATCGGGTATCAAGGCACACATACTTGCCTTGTTATGCAGATCCTTTTTCAACTTGTCAGTCTCAAACACATATTTGTCATGTTTCTGTAATAGACTTTGCCCGATTTCTTGTCAAAGAGAAAAATGCACAATAGGTTAGGAGCTCGAAAAGTGACATGTAGTAGCAACAAGAAGGAGGAGTATTAACATACCAGCAGCAAGACGAGCATCCGTTTCGAGCTTTTGAACGGTACGTGTCCAAGATTGCAATGTAGAGCAATCTGCTTGACCACAACAGCAGTCATCGATCGTAAGCGTCATTGAGATATCTGAATCATTAAACACAAGATCATTCGTTGCTGCTGCTGCTGATGATGATGATGCATTGGAGGTGGTGGTAGTAGTGGTAGTAGTAGCCAACATGTTGGTGGTAGGGTTGAATCGATTACAACGTAGCATGATACGAGCACATCAAGAAGCGTGGAGTCATGAATGATGAAAAGGAAAGAGAGAAAGAGAAAAAAAAGATTGAAGCGGAAAAAGAGAGTATATTAGAAAACAATGAGATGCAATGTGTGGGTGTTCACGAGATGATGTTTTCCTTCCCCTTCCCCCAATCCCACTCCTTTCCCCTTTCTGTGTGCAATGACAAAGAGAGCAAGACGCCACACTCACGATCACACCGTTATGGAAAAGCTTTGCAGTCTTCACGAAAAAAGGGGAGAACGATTCATCGTGTGCGCGCATGGAATCATCTATGGGTGTGGGTCACCTGGTGAATCCCATTTTGATCATATAATCCGCTATTCATGTTTATATAAAAGGAACTGTATCAAAAAGCAGCCTTTGTGATGGGGCTCCTTTTATGTCGTCCCTTGTCCCTTTTTATGCTACGGTATTGCCACGGCAACGACGTAGCAACAATCAGCACAGATGTTGCATAAAAGATCGTTGCGAACATAAAAGTAGTGAGTGGGTGGGTGAGTGTACATGTAATCTTGTGCAATGCATGATGCATGATCTTATACTGTGCGTGCAGCGCTTTTTTTATCAAAACAGGCAATTGTCAATTAGGTTGCTGGCCATGTTAAAATTCCCAAGCTCCTCTTTACAACCCCCAATTCTTCATCCTTTAGCAGTATAACTATCCTCCCAGCGTGTGTGTGTGTATGTGTGTATGTAGACATCTCCCCATTTTATACCCCATAAATGCAAATGACTTGGTTGGAAGCAAAACACTATTCTAAATTAACAACTGTATTCACAATAACGATACCCATAATGAGCAAGTGACATGGGAGGGGGGCTGATAAAGATATATAGAATATAAAGATATACGACGTAAAAGTGGGTAATAAGAAAAAAGGAGTGTGATGATATGACGACGAAAAGGAAAGAATGGTAGATCGCTTAAGTTTGTGGACGTTTCTTCTTTCGTAATGACATTTTGAGACTTCGTGAGAGAGTTTCGGCACGTGAAGGAGGAATAGCTGGTTCGGGTAATTCGGAAGGAGTGGGTAAATCCATCATCATACTTGCTGGACGTACATCAGATGGTGGTGGTGGGGATCGCATGGTGGAAAATACGGGTGACATTGGAAGTGAAGGTGGTAAACTGCTGGCAATCGAGCTGGTAGCCGAGTTTTGTCGTGTCAATGCAGGTCGTTCCTGAGTCGATTCGCGTGATAGGGGTGACACTCCTCCTCCTGCTGCTCCTCCTCCTCCAGTTCCACTACCACCACCTCCTGTTATGGATGCTGAGCGAGTATTGAGACCATTGCCACTGCCACTACCAATGGTTGTTGTGCTACTGCTGGTTCCCATGGCATGTCCACCATCTAATGGATGCTCGCTTTCTTGTTGTCGATGGCTGTCTTTGTACTTGTGAAGGTATTCAATCTCATCCTTGAAGTTCTTTTTAAAGACTACACCAAGAAAAAGATGATTAATATACATAGATGCAAGGTGTGTATATATACTTACAATCAACAAGTGTACGATGGAATGGACGCATATCATGTGACACCAATCGTCGATGGATCTCCAAACAATGCTCAATAATCTCAACCTATCCAAGTTTTCATAAGTTCATCTTCTCAGCCATTTATACACATCCCTTCACATACCTGCTCATTGATAGCCGTCTTGAGTCGCCTAACCCATGATCTCATATCCGGATTCTTTTCCCAATACCAATCCGTGAGGAACGCCTTCTTGTACAAGGAAACACCACCATTGACAGGAGCATCCACTGCACCATTAAGTGCCATAGAGAATGGGCTGATATTGACTTGTACATTGGATTGCTTGCTGCGTTGTGTAAGATAGGCTGCATACTTGCGTTCAAGCGCCATCAACTCGGCATTCTTGTTCTCCATGGCTAAAACAGCATTCTCAATAGGCGATATCTCCAAATCTTCAACCGACACCACCTTGGAACGACGAGCAGTGGATGGAAATGACTCTTCACATGTAAACACGGTCTTCATCGTCCACAAGTTCAAAAAGTCAATCTCAGGCTTGCTAGCATCTGGTGGTTCTTGCTGCATCGTAGCACCCTTGTTGAAAGGTCGTGAATAGGAAAATCGCCATACATCGTTGGATGCATAATACTTTTTGATATTGTCAGGCACAAGTGGATTCTCGAGGATATCAATGTTGCTTGGTTCGGCAGTGACAGCTGTAATGTGCAAATATTGAGCATCCACCTCATTGTCAAGTTCACGCAGCTGCTCATCCGTCAATACAGTCGCTGTTGCATATTTCCCAGATAATAGCTGTGCATTCGGATGCTGATTTTGCATGCGTTCCACAAATGATGCCATCTTCTCCCATTCAAGACCACGATAAATGAATTGCTGATGCCGCACACTTGATGGAAATCCACGACCATAAAACGCCACACGAAAGTACTCGGCAAAGTAACGCTCCTTTTTGGCAATGTCCTCAGCAAATTGAGCTTGTCGTTGCAGGATCTCGCTCAGCTTGGTGTAATCAAACAAGGTGGACTCATACTCGGCTGCCAGCTCCTTGCATAGTTTGATGCACAACTCCCATGCACTACCTTTCTCCATATACGCCAACATCTCCTTGTATAATCGCTCCTTACGTGCAAACGCACTTTGTGCCGGCAAGTTCAAGTCATGAATCGCTTCCAATTCCTCGTGTGGATCCCAAGCAATAAGATTGGCATGTAGCTGCAAGGTCAAGGCGGCTTCGACATGGTTGCTGCTGTCAACATGCATCCCAACAAGCTGATGCACATACTTGATGTAGATATCCTCACGCTTGATCACTTGAATAAATTCCATCAACTTGAGCATAGCACTGATACGATCCTCAACAAACTCATCATTGTCCAATGGCAGTCCTCGAATCTTGAGCAGCAAATCCAAAAACTTGTACAAGGAATCCACCAGCTTGCTACCAGTGTCAATGAACACATCATCCACCTTTCGAGCCCGTAACTTCCTTTCGAGTGCTTCATACAACTCTGGAATCAATTTGACCTTGATGCTGTCATTGCCCTTGTTCTCATTCATCACAAGCAAATCAATCGTGCTGATCAACAAGTTTTGAACACGTGATAACTCGCCAAATGTCTGCAACTCGATAGCAATGATATCAGCCATAATGTTGACAGCTGTCGCCCGCACCTTGTCATGCAAAGTCAAACTTGTGCCACACAATGGACGTAGAATCACCGGGACAAGTGAAAGTTGCAAAGAAGAGGGTGGTGAGCCATTCAATGTTGTTGTCGCCTCTTGTTGATCACCATCAGCTTGTTTCTCATCGTTCAATTGCCGCGTTTGTACTTGAATGTCGTTTCCAGTAGCCGTGTTCTCCATGTCATCATCCTCTCCTTCATCCGCTGAGATAAACCGCTCCTCTTCAATCGTGTCATTTGACGAATATCCATTCACTTGTCGAACACTTGCTGCTGCTGTTGTTGTTGTCACCTTGGGTCCAGCCAAACGCCACAATGTCATAAGACTCTTTGCACCCACAGCACCTTTCATGTTGTCTGCCAGCTTCCATACAACTCGCTGCGTTTGTGGCAAGAATGTCTCGATATCCAAACGTGGACTTGACATGACACGCAACAAACCGACCAAGAATGTACGCCACAAATCCTCAATGACAGTCTCCTCAGTATGATGATCCGTGCGTAAGCCTGGTAAATCAAATACAGCCACTGCAGGTCCGAGAATGTCGCACAATACAATCTTGTGTGCAATCACTGACAAATTGAGCCAAGTATCTGGTAACTTGCGTGTATCAGCCGCCTCATCTTGTTCATGGTGAATGCTGTCATCCTTGGCATGTGATTCATCCAATCGCTGCACGCTGTCACCAAATAGCATAGCCATACATACGTGTACCACTTGTCGCAAAAAGGATGCCATAGCTTCTGCACCATCATTCTCATACATGTTGCATAAGAAATCCACCCATTGCTGTTGAGGCGTCAAATGAAACAATTCCAACAATACCACCGTGATATCGAACAAGCCCGTTGTCACCATAGCAGCAAGGTTGCCGGTTGCCACCACTGAAGGATTGTTCTTTAGCGAAGTTGCTTGAAACGGATATGTCGATGGAAATGGTGTTGTTGGAGATGTTGCCAATGCTTGCAATACAACAGAGAACCCACCAGGACCTTCAGTCGTTGTTGTCGAGCCACCATGACTACCAGCACCAGCACCAGCACCGCTACCACCACCACTGCTGCTCATCATGGAGGGTGAGTGTTTTAGTGTCATTGAACTCGATCGATCACGCAACACACTCAACGAATGCCTTGAACTTGTACGACCACCTCCTTGTGATGCTCCACCGCTGGTGATTGTTGATGATGTATCAGCAACACCCATTCCCGAGGCATGAATAGCTTGAATAGTCAACCGTTGCAGATCCTTGTAGGCATTCAAAAGCTGTGGTACAAGCTGCAATGCAATCTCTGTGGTGGTCATGAGCTCTGTTTGCTGCTGATAGGATTCTTCAAGCGTAGCCGTATCTTCATCACCACTGGTTGCCATGGAAATCGGTCTTGACAATGTTGACAATGATGGCGACATGGATCCAGAAGATAAACCAAGCGATGTCATCCCTGACAACTTTCGCACCTTGTCAAGCACCTCGCTGATGATGGTCAATGACAAGCGTAAATACTCAAGCCATTGTACACGTGGCAACCGCATTTGTTGATGTTCCACAACCGCATCCGAATCATGCTGCCTTGAGAAAATGACATTCTTGGCTGCTGCCATGTAAGAGTTGAGCCACACCGTAATCCATTTGAACACACTCTTGGCCAATCCCGAACGACAGGTGTGATCATTGAATACAGGCCCACGTACAATGGCGAGAATCATGCATAATCGATAGCCAACCAATTTTCCAGTCACGTGTGCACATCCATTGACAAATCCTGTAGTGATATCAACCAATTGCCGTGGTGTAAAAACGCGCCTCAATTCACCAAGGATATCCGCAAAGTGCTGAAGTGCCAATGTTTGTGTGCCAATCATGACGCTAGGTTGATCCGGACTCATCATAGCACCAATCAAGTCGAGCAGCTGCTGCAATTCCTCCTGAAACATGATATCACGCAATCCACGCTCACCCTCCTCTTCACGTTGTTGCTGCATCGCTCGTGACCGCACCATAAACCGAAACATGTATTCCCACACCTTCATGCTGCTGCGTAGACGCTTGGCTTTTCTCGGCTCACTTGGATTGGTACATAGCCGCAACATCCCTTTGAGCATATGCTCATAGACCAAATCATCTCGGCTTGTCGATCCAAGATGCTGCTGCTGTTGTCGCCATCGTCGTTGATGCTGATGTTCAAGCCTGGCTGATGTATTTTCATCTGTTGCAAATCGTTGCTCCACATAGACATCAAGCACGGGCCTGAAATTGCTGAAACGCCGATCTTGTACAATGCCAAGTACCCAAATAATAGCACCCAATGCCTCGTCGCACACGCGTTCACCACGCTTCGAATCCCGATGTCGATACACCAAAATATCCAACAATGCATCGAAAATGTCATTCAAAAACTTGACCACTTCCATCTCGCCCACAAATGAAAACTTGTCAAGGATCTGAAGCAGCTCGTCATATCCACCATCATTGGATTCATTCACCAAAACAGAACGCCAATTCAGCAACTTGACCAATGTCTCATTTTGTGTATAGCGTGTCGAACACAAAAATGTTGTCACTGTCAATGTGTCCTTCACCGGGCTCAACTTTGCCGCTGCAGCTGCAGCATCCGTAAAAGAATACTGCGATTCCGATGTGACGCTGTTGCTACTTGTGCTGTGTTGGATGGATGTCGAGCTGTAAGTGCGATTCGCATTCTTGAGGCTATAGATCGATGTTGAATGCTTGCCGCTGCTGCCACCATTGTTACCCATAGCCTTGTTGCCACCACCACCACCACCACCACTGCTACCACTCACAGGGGATGATGATGATACCAAATCTTGAGCCTGCTGTTGTTGCATATTGAAAGGAGCTGAAGATCTTGAACACCATGGTACATTATCCAAGTATATACGAGGATGTGTCAATTGTCGATCATACTTGTACATGGTGAGTGTATGTGTCCCATCCGCCACAAAGTATCGATGTGCTGGTGGAAGGAACAAGGGTAAGAAACCCATACTGATGACCTTATCATTGCTGCCTTCACTTGATGATCCACTGCCTCCTGTGTTGTGGCTGCTGCGATGTCGTACAGTGAAAAACAAATGCACTCGCTCCCATAATCGATGATCCTTCATTTGCAACTTGAGTGTCTCGCCCCATCGTGGCCGTTGCTCATGATAGAAAACAGTGCTATCCCAATACGTTGTGAAGGGCGCACCAGCACCAGCTGACAAGGCATTCTCAATCACTTCACCCGATACATTGTCACGTGCACACAGCGTCACTTGGATATTCTTGGATCGTGATGCGAATTGTACAAAGTCGCCAGCATTCAATGTGATGTACAATTCATTACGTGTATCATCCGGAAACGCCACATCCGGAAATCCAAGACGTAGCGTACGTGGCACATCTTGTAGCAGAGCAGCATTCGTCTTGAGGACATCATCCAATTGACCGAAAAACATACGCAACGACACGCACAATGTCTCAGCACGAGGATTCTTGACATAATCCTTGGTGTTGTGAGCAATGATATCTTCATGCAATGTCGCAAATGTCGATTCAGAGGCAGCCGTGTAAATCGGAATGTCATGCTCAGCTTGTGTAATATGCTTGAATCCACCACCACCAGCCGTTCCAGCAGATGTCCCTGATGCACTTGCTCCAACGCCACCAACACCACCATCGACGCCTGCGATTGAACCATTGCTGCCACCAACACCAACACCACCACCACTCGTAGTCGGAGTACCACTGATACTTGCGCCACTGATGCTACCGGTACTACTACTTACAGATCCTCCAGCTCCCATGGTATTGGTGCCACCAGGTGATAAAAGTTCAGCTGTTCCACCCGGTGATTGATCCTCCTTTTCCAACAAGGGTCCCAAATGCAATACGGCACATCCAAAAGGTCGTCGTGTTGCTGATGGCTGATACTTGTTGCTGTTGCCGCGATGCTGTTGTGATGCTGATGTCGTCGACTCGTGATGATGATGATTGCTGTTGTTGTTGTTGCTGCTACCACCGCCACCACCAAAGAACAAAGATGCATGACTTCCAATCGTACCCAATGTATCCTTTTCCTTGTCACTGTACTTCATATTGCCCAATCGTACAATACGACAGACCAGATACAAATGATCATTCAAATCATGTGCCGAAAGATCCGCAAATAAAGTCTGCAACTTGCCAATTTGACGTTCATCCGTAGGCATCCCATTGAATGTCAACACCACTTGAAATGGCTCCGTCAAGAACCGATTCTCAGCCGCACTGTACAATGAAAAGTACAACTCTGTAAATTCGCCCGGTTGACAAATATGAGCAACACACGCCTTGTACTCGAAAAACAAGTGATGGAACTTGGCTCCTTTGTGTGATGAGGCATGTTGTGCTGGTGCAGCTGATGGCAATTGTTGTTGTTGCTGTTGTGATGTCGTTGGCGATGATGTCGTATTGCTTGTGGATGTTGCACTACCACCACCACCAGCAGTAGCAGGATCCAAGGATGAAGGCGTTTTGGCGGATGGTGTGATCGAAGGACGCGACACGACTTGGAACGAGCTTGTGAGTGGAATATGTTCAGCAAGTGCATATTTCCAATGCATCCTTAGCAACATGGGCAATGAAGTGCTGTTGGCATCCAGGATGTAACCTCGTTCAGGATGTCGAATGATCATTTCTCGATGCTGTGACAAGTTGAGCATGACCATGCGATGAATGATCTCCTTGCGTAATCGCGACAATTCTTCCTTTGACAAGGCCTGATCCAACAATTGACGTCGTGCCTGAAACAAGTAATTGATATGATCACGCACCGAATTGAATGCAGCATAGCGTCGTTCATCCAAGTACTTGTATAACAAGCAATTCCATTCGCTCACACAGGCACCAATCTCATCCACCAAAGGCTCAGAGCTCCCTGTAATTGTTGATTGATCGAATCGTGCAAGCATCAAAGAGGGTGGTGTAGCTCGTCTTGGCTTGACTACATCGTCACCTTCTTCTTCACCCACTCTATCCACCATACTCTTGGGACGTGGCTGTTGTTGAATCTGATCCCATAAGAGGACTGAATGGCGTTGATGATGATGGTGATGATGGTGGTGGTGAGGTGGAGGAGGATGTCTCGTAGCTGTCATATCCTTTGTCTTGATATGTGATTCGGATAATGAACGTGACAAATCGGGTGGTTGTGGTGGTGGAGGTGATGCAGGGATTGGCGGTGGTGGAGAAGAAGAAGATGCCCATGCTGGCGATAAAGGACCAATGCCATCAGGTGCATAAAGCAATGAGAGTCGATGATGATCCAAGGCTGCTGTAGCATCGGTCTCATTTGGATCCAAGTCGATGTATTCTTTGATTTGCACATGCGTCCTAGGGAAACAACCTATGGGAGCTGTATTGGCCTTGTTGCCTTCCTCCAAAGACGATAAAACATAGCCTCTATACCATTGGCCTTGTTGCTCAAGGATGAACAGCTCATCGCCCACTTCAAGTGGAATCAAGCAAGCATAATCCGCTGGATTCGTCGACGTCGTTGCTGCTGAATCTGAAGACGACCCTGGAATAGAAGACGAAGACGATACATTGGTGTAGATAGAAGCTGCATCAGGTGACAAGAGAGGCGATTGGATAGTCGAATAAGCTGTTGTCGGTCGCGATGTCGATAAATATTGCTGCTGGTGTTGCTGTTGCTGCTGTGGTGATTGATGCGTTGCTGAAGTGGTAGTCGTCGGCAGGGACGGTGTGAATGGGTAGACAGCAATGCCATGCGCGATCTTGGGCAATGGCTGCCACCTCATGTCGCTTAAATATGTAAAGAAGTGAGGAAATAGAAAAAGGAACGAAAGGAGAGTGTGTGTGTGTAAAAAGTGAAAGAAAGAACAATGTGCTATGTGAGTAATTGTGCTCCCTCCCTCTGTGCGCAATGACCGTGTGCTGCCGCGTACTGGAAATCCCGCGTATTATGTGTTGTGTAATGCACCGAAACAACAGCACTCTCATAATAAACCTCTCATCTATCTTGCATGTATGTTTCACCAATGTACTGGGCTCAATACTATACATGCTATTATTACTTTTACTTCTTCCACCTATGCTTAATGATCATGATCTCCTTGCTGGATAATGCTTTCAAATCATCTTTTTCTCCTTTTCCTTTGCTGTATACTATACTCAACACATTCTTTCATTCATTCTTTCATTCATTCTTACCTACACCTCTCTCTTTTCCTCTCCCCTCCTCCTCCTCCTCCTCCTCCTCCTCAAGTCACTCTCTGTTTTCTGGGCTGACTTTTTAAATGATCCCGGTGCATGTTTCCTTGTTTGATCCCTGCCTCTTCAACTTTATACTCTATTCCTCCTATATCCCTTTCCCTCCTTTTTCGTGTCTGTTGTTTTTTGTCAAACGACACCCATGATGTCATTTGTGTTGTCTTTGATGCAGTTTTAAACTTTGTTCATGTCACAAGCAGGCCAACTGGTTAATCAAAAAAAAGATTGGGCTGAAGCGCAGACCACACATTTGTGCAAAACCTAAATAAGCTTTATATTTTTGAACGTGGTCAAAACCCGACAATGTCGTACACGCAATCTGACTTGCATTTGTGTCTATCAATCAGCATGACAACAGCATTCTTTTCTTCCCCCTACACTATGCTTTGTGAAATCTTTTTAGACAAGCACTTATAGAGCGAACCCAAAGCCAACATGAGAGGAAGACCTAATACGACATGACTCTCTCGGCCTCAAGGGTAACAATCCTACATACATCAAGTACGTCGAACACTGGTAGTCATGTGATTAGTAAACTGTATGAGAGATGATCCCTTGACGTAAAGGTATAAAAGTGTGGATACATACCCTCAAGGGGATGTTTGAGTCGTATAGCCCCAGCACGTATATGATTAAATGATGTAGTATTTCATCATTTCCAATGAAATGAGGTTTACGGCATGACACCTTGTGTTTTCATATCCCAAGTTGTCTTATGGTTGAGATTCAAGAGTTATCAATGGCTCATAAGATGCCTGAGGAGGGGCCGTCACTACATGATTGGTTAATGCAAAAAGTGCGCTTCTACAATTACGTTAACAAAGAGTAGTATCATTAGCAAGATAGGGCAACAATGATCCACCAAGAACAATGCATGCTTTGCCTCGGATGGTTACCATTGTTTAGCTGTATAGCGGATTGACTTTGATGCAGGTTATGAAAGAGAACTTGTATGGTCATGGCGAAGTGGATCTGGAGGGAGCTACGATGGATAATGGAAGCTGTCAACTGAATCACGGTTTTTATGACATGAGCTTACAGGTCCATTTCTTGACCTATACTAAATATGGATGCACGCAGAAAACCTTATTCATTAGGGGTGGCCACGCTGTACATAGCATACATACATTGTAGTTGTACAAAGACCTACAACGAAATCCTTGTAGGTTGCTGTAGATGATTTCCTAATCTGGGTACCAGTGCGAACAAACAAAACACCCACAACTACTGCAATGTAGCTACAGCGTGACCACCCCTAGTTTTAAAAGTGCCACACGCATTTTCAATACAGTCGCACACCTTTTCCTTTTCTTTAATTTTGACATGGCAAGGGAAGAAGATGAATACAAGGATCCATTCAACGTAAGCAAGTGCTTTACATATATGCTCGTGCATCGGATTGATCTTGGAGAGAATCTTTTGACCGACATGATTTTTAAAGGATGGGGGTGAACACTTGCGAAAAGAGATTAGTGGGAAATGGGTGGGCAAGGACTCGGACGGCTATGTATACAGCGACTTTAACGAAGTATGCAAGCGAATAGTATACCCTCACACTAGTATGATATTGTTGACGAGAGTCTTTAGATACCTCAACTGGCTGGGAGCATTTTATGTAGCAGTTTTCGCCGAGGCTGGGTTAATGACTACTACCTTCACAAAGATGGCGTATCCAGCTACTTTGACGAGGTATGCAGGTGAATAGTATGCTCGAAATAGGATATTGACAAGATTTGTTAGACCGACATAGCTCAAGCAGATGGTAGAATCTCGCGTAAACGTTCTCGACATGAGTGCGGGAATGACTACCCATACAACAACAATGGCGTACACAGCTACTTTAAGGGGGTATGCAGGTGGATAGTATGCTCAAAGTATGATATTAATGAGGTTCTTTAGAACGACTACATTATAGAGGATGACGAGGGCAACAGGAAAATACTGTACAACCATAATCCCTACAAGGTATGCATGCTAATATATGCTCAAAGCGTGATATTAACGAGATTCTTTAGAACAACCTCATTGTAGAGGATGACGAGGATAATATGAAAACACTGTACAACATCGATCCATACAGAACATGCGGATCAAAATCCCAAGGATGACTGATCCATTATCCTATTGAGAGAAGAATTAACCGTCGTGCATACCACTTTGATCTACAGAAAGCCAACAATATGGGAAACGTACAGTATACAGCAATTTGCTGCAAGAATTAAAATTAGACATAAAAAAGTGAATGTCGACATGGCCTCCTAATGGATGAAAGTAGTATGAGGTATTTGTGTAAATCACGTATGAGGGATGTGCCACCATAAAGCTTGGGCTGAAGCGCAGGGCTCATTCTTGTTGTGACGCTTCATTTTGTGTCTAGCAGCATGAACTTCATCCATGGCAACATGTATCCTGGCAACCCTTTGTATAGTGAACCAGCACAAAAAAGGTGTTTTATTAAGTCTATGGTAGACTGCTAGTAACATGTACATAAAGAGAGTGTGTGTGTGATTAAGCGACGAGATGTTGATATTATAATGCTGCTGCTGATGCTATCGCGTATCCAAATCATCATCATGTTGAGGAACAACAGCATCATTGCAGGAAGGTTTGCGTCGTTGTAATAAATCCGAAAGCTCGTCTCGACTTTCTTCTGTTGTTGGTGAAAAGCTCTCTGCCGATGAAACGCCCATATCACTCCAACTACGCATCAAGGGTGCACCTTCTCCTCCTTCACTAAAGCTGCGTCGATGATGGTCTTCTGCTGCCGAAATCGTAGCGACTTGCCGTATACGACGTCGTTCCTCTTCTTCCTCATCCACAGAAGGTGAGCTGATCGTTGGTATATCATTCAAGGTCGTGTTTTCTTTCTTTTCAGGCAAAGGAGGCGTTGGTGATGATAATGGTTTGGGTGCAATAGGCAACGTAGTAGTAGATGTAGTAGTTGTTGTGGTGCTTGGGTGATCTGCAGATTCACGTCGTTTACGTTCTTGTGCTTGTGCTTCCATGATAGGTGACAGGATACTCAATGTACCACGTGAGAGTGCCACAAATACAAACAATGTAATGACAGCAGCCAACTGAGCCATAGAAACCCGTCGTTCAAATGCAATCTAATCCATCCATGAATGAGTCTTGAAGCCTCCTTCCACATATCCTTATTCCTTTACAATACCTGATCAGCCAAAAGAGCCATCTTTTCGGTCATTTCCTTTGTAGTACGTTCTGATTGATATCGAAGCTCGTCATAAAGTTGCTCGTAACGATAGCGCTAATGCGACTACGTTAATAAAAACATCCACACAATTGCGATTCATGTACCTACCATGCTCTCGATCCTGCTACTGGCAGTGTCATTGAGACGTCCCAAAAGCATAATAAGCTGATCCTGATGCCGTTGCTCCATATTGCGTAGTACATCATTGAGCATCCGATTTTGTTCATCGAGATAACGTTGAGATAGTGTCGCGTTCACTTCAAGTGCATTAAGTCGTTTCATTATGGTCTTGTAAATGGATTCGGATTGAGAATTGCCATCCTTGTGAGGCATTTTGGGCACTGGTATGACACGACTGATAGCTGCTGTTGCTGTTTCTTCAGCTTGATTACTGGGTAATGGGCCAACAAAGGATGTCGTGGTTGCATGATGGAATGTTGGCTTGGGTTGATCATGCCGCTGAATGGATTCCTTCAATGTCGGGGGTAAAATCATGCACATGTTGCCATTATCTTGATAATCATCCATCTCCAATCCACTTGTATCCTTAACGTCATCTCGTTCCACTTGCTCATTCGTAACTCCTCCTCCTCCTCCTTCATCCACAATCATTGATGGTTCAGATGGAATAGCTGGAATGCTGTTACTTGACATGGCTATCTCTGTAAAAGAGGGTATTGTCGGAACGGATGCACTAGCTGTTGTTGTTGACGTCGTGGTGGTTGTTGGTGTTGTCATTGTCTTGGTTCCTCCTTCCATAATGATCGATGCTGTACCTGTGATTTCTCGCTGTGGTGGTTCAGGAACGATATAAATCTGATCATCAGGGATAGGTGGAATAATAGGGAGCTGCTTCCGATCCTCCTCTTTGGATTCAGGCATAGGAGCTGTATCATTGGCGACATCGATACGTGGATGGATAATCTCGTCACGAACTTCACTTGGCCAAAGGTATTTCTCAATAAGAGCATCCTCGTCCGTATCACCCGCCAAACCACGGCTCTCAATCAAATTGTAGTATTCCCACATATACATGCCATGCACACGCACCAAGCTGAGTGGACAATAATATTCATGGCCGTAATGCGTCAAAAACTCGATCTTGATGTTGTCAAACCATCCAATCCGATTAGTCACTTTGAACACCTATACCCCAAGTTGAATCATTAGTGTAACCCTATCACACACACACACACACACACAAATATTAACATCCGTTACCTGTAGATCTCTCGTGTTACGAGCCTGCCATTGTCCCAAGAGCTTCCAATCATTGGTTGGATATCGATCAGCCACGTAGACACGAAAATCCTTGAAGGTACTCGAAAAGAACTCAAAGTTGGCGAGCACAATGGTGTCGATAAGGATCTCCTCGCACAAGTTGATAATGACGTACTTGTTGGCCGAGCACTTGTTGAGCATGTATTGATCTTTGGATTCGTACAAGATGGATTGAGCCCCCTTGGCTTCTTTGTTGGCGCCACGCACTGTTGCAGCACAATCGATGGATGCATAATTGAATCTTTCCTTGAGGGATTGTACAGGGATATCAGCAAATCGGTTGTTGGCATGGTTGCCACCTCCTGAATTCCCATTGGTGCCGGTGTTGGAAACTGCAGGTGACCCACTTGGTTCAATATACTCGTTCTCATTGTAGACGTTGGCTGGCGGATGGCCCTGATGGGCTTCAAACATGGATCCAAAATCATCTGCAAACACACCATCCACGCTATCAATCATCTGGCGACCTCCATTCACTAATCCTGGTTTGGCTCCTGGTTTCCTCTTGATAGGTCGTCGCTCATTCTCCTTGGGAAGATGTAACTGATGCCATTCTCGGTATGAAAATAAGGGTCCCTCTTTATCATTACCACCACCTGATGATGATGATGATGATGAGGCTGTGTCGTGGCGAAATGTGGATGGCCCTGAACTTGGTTGATGTTCATGCAGGGATATCGCATCTGGCATTGCTGTGGCTGTCATACCATCTCCACTACTACTGCTACCACCACCACTACCACCATCACTGTCAGCAGCAGGCGACGAGGTATAGTCCCCATAAAAGGTGGTTGTGTCTTTGTAGCGATCGTGCATAGAACGTGTCACTGGTGTATCCGAAGAATGGCTACCGTACAATAGATTGAAGTCGGCATCGTGACCAAGACCAGAGAGAATAGACACATCAGGAAATAAAGCTTGAAATGAATCCAAGTCGCTTTGCTGGAAAGCAGGACACATGTCCCGAAGAAGATCCGTTTCATGGAATCGAAGACATTGGTCGTTGCTGTGTGTGGGCGATGGTTGCTTCGATCGTGAAAAGGAAGAGGAGCTTGAGAGAGTGAAGGGAATAAGAGTGCCAGTGGTATAAAGTGGATAAAGTGCGAGCAGACAAAGAGTTATCAGTCGCATATCCCCTTGGAAAGTAGCAAAGAAATGATATAAAGATGAACCCTTGAAGAAATTGATCCGCTGGTCTCATTTTATTACAAAGCACTTGTCTTGCTGCATATGGTAACTCGTTGCCATGATCTTCTTTTATCTTCATCCTTCCCCCATACTGTAAATAGACACTCTCTAATAACATGTTACAGCAATAACCTGATTGGTATTATAATGAACGTGGTGTACAAGTTGTTACGTTACATCCTCCACTCCACATCTACGCTTGCGTGTAGTGTTTATCACTGAAGGTATCTTGACTTTCTTTCCTGAAACGAACACTCATATGAGCATGTCCTATTTCGTCACAACGATAGCAGAATGTTGTCATTGTTTATTGATGATGGATGTTGCTAATTCATGGAAGGACAATCAATCACACTAAGAAGGCCCAAACTCATAATAAAGGACTCCAGCCATTTATCAAATTATGCATCATGCCCAACAGACATTTGATCACTCTTTTCTCCTTGTTTGTGATTACAGAAATACCCACGCCCAACTTGCACGTAAAAGATGTTGTCGCCCATCATCTTTCTCCCACTCATCTCTTGTCTTTCCTTTCATTATTGATGATACTCCACAAACCCCAAGCCAATGTGAGTATTAAGATGGACATGTAATCCTTTGATCTATGTACTAATATAGGTGATGGTCTTTAGCGTTCATTCTTTTTCTACATTGATTGTCGTTGCTTTCATTGTGATATTTGGCTCTTTGATTAAGGTAATCCTATCATCTTGCTTGATGAATCATGCACTCATATTCTTTTGGTATAGCTTTTTCCTGCTACTATGCATCCCAAAAGTTGCATGGCCTCGGTGCCGTTGTTGCGCTCTTACGTACAAGGGATCGCTACATAGATTACCATCTTGACTCAAGCATATGAAATCCAAGGCGTCGCAGAGATGATACCGCATTCTATATATGGCATGGTGCAAGGAGCAGGTCCCTTGTGGAAACGCCAAATAGCAAAAAAGTTATGTTGGCTTTCCCTTCCACAAGGCATAGGGTCGCGGATGTGGAGTTGCCAAGAATATCCACGGATGCCATTGACAGGCTGGCCTCCTCCATCCTCTTCTTTGCGGCCTATAACAAGGCATTGTTGGCTGCTCAGCAGCGACAAATCCGCAAAGATGAGGATGAGGGGGCTGACCACAAGTCATTGAAAGCATTCCCAGGCACAAATACCATCAGGGGTGCTCTCGAGGATGGGCAAGTTATGTTTCCTCAGCGGTCAAGGGCGAGATCGAGCAAACATCAGTGACAAGAAATACGTTGCATGGACAAGTCGTTCACAAGCTCCCCAAAGCATCACCCAACAGCTACCACGAGTGTAAAACCAAAATAAAAATCTCTCTCTTTTTATTCTAGTGAATGTCTATCATGTATCATTATCTTCATATAATATAAATCACAATAGCTTCTTTGTGACACCATGACTTTGTTGATCCCATCCTGTCGGAATTTGTATGAAGTTGCAGAATTATCCTCAAACCTGGTAAGCATTCAAAGGCCGTTTTCACTGCTTGGTTCGCTTTTGACCAGACCTGTCATGAGACAAACAGCACATTCACTTTTTTCTTGAACAATGCCACAATCGCCTTTTATGCCACGTCAACATGGGTCTCGACTTCCGTTTCATCAACAAAAAGCGTCTCATGGCAACCGAATAGCCTTCAATAAGCGTTGGATCCTCCGGTGTACCGTCATCTTTGTATTCGTCTTTATGGTCATTCGCCAATGGACGAGCACCTCATCTATGCTTTCAAGCTATGGAAGGGCGAGAGGAGATCTAGACAATGCATACCTTGCAGAGTTGAACGTTGCCCGTAACGTCAAGGTCAGCCCACCACAAGCAGAGCGTATACCCAAGATTGTTCACTTTATTCACGGCTTACGCGGGCCTGAGCCGACGCTCGACTTGATCCATTATCTTGCCATCAAAGCAGCCCACGACGTTGTACGACCAGAAACCATCTATCTTCATTATCATTATATGCCTGTGGGTGAAATGTTTGAACGCGTACGTCCCATGGTGACATTGCGTCAAGTACCTTTGGTGGAGAACATCTTTGGTCGCCCTGTGTCCCACTATGCACATCGAGCTGATATTGTACGATTGGAAGCATTGATGGAGTTTGGTGGCATCTACTTTGATTTGGATCTCTTTGCACTCAAACCAGTGGATCATTTATTGGATCAAGAATTCGTCATGGGTCAAGAAGGTGTTGGTAAGTCTCTTCGTTTTCTCTATACACACAAGCAAGTCATATTTACTTTTGATCATAGATGGATCATCCGGTTTATGCAATGCAATGATGATGGCCAAACCCAATGCAAGATTCCTCCAACGATACTACGCTACCTATTCCTCATTCGACAGCTCTCAATGGAACTACCATTCAGTTGTATTACCAGCCAAGCTCGCACCCCACTTCAAAGACGAGATCACGGTCCTCGATTACAAGGCATTCTTTTGGCCATTGTGGGATTCAGTTGGATTACGCACATTGTATTTGGAAAAGACCTATGATTTCTCTGACAACCTCGGCATCCATATTTGGGAATCTCCCTCGAATAAGCATTTAATGCAAGGTGTCACAGAGGAGACCATGCTCAACGTCGACAATAGCCTTTATTGCATTCTTCGCCCATTTGTCCTTAATGGTCGTCCTGATCCACGTCCCAATGCATGCCGTATCCTTGCGCATTCGAATCGTCACGACATGATGAGTAAGTTGAAAAGAATCATTACTACTATAATGACTTTTTCATTTTACTAAAGGAAACATGTTATCTCCTAGTTGGCCATTGGTCTTTGGATCCGGATGCTGTGACACAAGATATCAATCCTATGCGTGCAGATGACGATTCAGGCAATGATCTCGCAGGCTTGATTCGTAACAGCGATCACGATGGAGATGGTATCCATACGACGGGACGTGACAGCTACATTTTCATGTCGATGCCAACCGAGACGATGATGGATAGCATGAGCGTAAGCTGGTGGATGAAGACTGAGACAACCAAGGAAAATGGCACAGCAATGGTGATTCAAACGGATCGTGTCAAGCTCTATGTTCGTACTGAATCAACCCATGAACATCGTTCGAGCAAACCAGGACGCGATCCAATTTCTCTTGGTGTCGGCACTGTCAAATTGGAGAATGATTGGACGTGGCAAGATGATCCAGAATTACTTGTGCATGCGAATCAGTATCCTATCAATCAAGATGACTTTTATCACCATTTCATGCTCATCGTGGATCGCAACAATACACGCCATTCAATGGACCCGCCTTTAGCATTGTATATGGATGGTCATGTGATTGCCAGTAATCATGCTTGGGAAATCCCTGTCATTTACAACACAACGGTGCGTGGCGTATGGTTTGGATCATCGGAACCAGAACGCAGTAATTATCAAGATCCTTGGGACACTCGGCCAAGTTTGGATGCCTGGTATCGTGATATTCGGATATGGGAACGTGCACTATCCACCGAAGAGGTCCTGTATTGGGCATCTCAAAAGCCAAAGTTATCCTTGCCGTCAACGCCTGTTCCTGAGCCTGAAAACCAACAACAACAACAACAACAACAATCTACTTTACCCGATGCGAAATGGGTGGATGAAGAAGGAGAAGTGATTGTAGTCCAAGATACTATGGAACAAGAAGATGATTCGAATAACCCATCGTGGAATGAAGAAGAATCACACACCAACCTCAAGTAGATCTTTTCCCCTTGTATATCTTTACTCGCCTAATATTATCATCTCTAATACACACTCTTTTGCAACATGACCTCATGGGCGTTGATGACACCTTTTAATATCCCACTCATGCTTTCCATGTTCTCTTTCCTTCTCAAGAGCGTGCTCCTCCTATCTACCACCTTTCCTTATTCCATTCACGACATCTCGATCAAGGTAATGTATTATAAAAGAGTGCTCTTGTTGGCTGTGAGGTGTTAATGTAGTTCTGAACATGCATTGTCAGGGAGTGAGTGTGTCCAAGTGCTGAGGAATGAGCGTGGTTGGTGGTTGGTGGTTGTCATGGCGATATCGTTGCTTCCTCTTGTTCGTTGCTATTCGCGCTCTATGCTTGGTGTCAACAGGTACATTCAGAGTCCAATGTTGCAGCAAAACTTGTTCCATTGACGCGTTAGCTTGTATAGAGGGCAAGTTTGGTCTCAAAGCTTTGGCTGGTTTGGCGTTTTGTTTCGGCTCAATTACATTACACCATGGTCTTTCGGTTTCCTGTAACCAACAACAACGCGTCTTTATGTATATGGAAAAGGCAAGTACAATGAAACAAACAATGAAAAGGGTGTTTATTGTGTATGTGTTAATAATGAATTGAATAGGTTCCTTTGGTCAGGCAATGCAACTTGGGGCATCATCATCTCCTTGGGTTCAAGTCCCAGCCTGTATCAAGTGGCCGCTGCGTCGCTCTGCACTAGCCAAGTGTGCTGGAAAAAGCTTCTTGGAACGCGTCCAGGGCTCTATAGTCCGGCTCCTAGCTATAATGTATTTAGCGGATCTTCACACAAGCCAACACAGTTGATTACAACGTTTTACAACTTCTTTTGACATTGGATATTACAGTTTCAGATAAATCATCCAGAATATTCATTGATGTATTTTGTGGAGCAAGGAGAGTATGGATATATTTAGGCTGGGATAAGGATGCCAAAGACTAAACAGAGAGCAAGATCAAGTATGGACACGACAAAGGAAATAAAAGTACCACGTGAGATAGGATAAGCAAATCAGTTTACTTATGACGGTGTGGCTTGACACAGAGTGCTTTACCAGAAGCTGGTAGGATCTAATCCAAATTTGATCAAACCATCCGCATCATGTACCGATCATGATCAGGACTGACGCTGTGAACATCTAAAGTTTATATAGTCATTCAACGGATATATTCCAAGCTATCAAACTAATGATATGGTTGGCAAGATGTGGCATAATGATCCTTTTGATCGGCTGTATATGATGTGTTGCCATGCAACTGGATTGAACTTATGTCGCTAGCTCTTGCAATGGTGCATACTGAATGATGTCTGTAATGTGGGAAGACGTCTTTCGGCATGTGATTGTTCATGGGCCTCCTCAAGAGCAACTGAGTGTGAAATTGCCATGGCAACCACCCATCCGCAGCCCAACGCCACTTGTACACTTTTCACTTCACTTAAGCATCGTCAAAACGTAGCTAGCCCGATCAAAAGGGGACAAAGGGATATGCTGTACTGAAGGACTTTGTTAAGGTGCAGGAGGTCCTGCTGCGAACAACTTGGTATGCTAGCTAGCTATCCTTGCTAGGACAAAGGTTATCTTTAGCTGGTGGCAATTCGCCGTTGGCTACTGATGACTGCATGCTAGTTGTGAGATGCTGATGAAGGACGTGGCTAGCCCGATCAAAAGGGGACAAAGGGATATGCTGTACCGAAGGACTTTGTTAAGGTGCAGGAGGTCCTGCTGCGAACAACTTCGTATGCTAGCTAGCTATCCTTGCTAGGACAAAGGTTATCTTTAGCTGGTGGCAATACGCCGTTGGCTACTGAGGACTGCATGCGTGTTGTTTCTGCCTTCACCATTATGGCAGCACGATTCGTCGAAAGGCAAGTACATTGACCAAAAAGCATATAATTTGACTAATGTCATATTCGTCTGAGGAGGAGACATTTGACAAGATAAATACCCTTGGATCAACATCGTTCTCGTCAAAACAGCGTAACAATTTAAAAATGCCACCGTGTTGGATGCAAGGTATGCATTGCTTTGCTGATGATTATGCGATTAATAAGTTGTATAATAGGGTGACTTTCTTGTTGGCGATCTTCTCTTATGTTGTGGTGCTGTTATCCGAATGGCCATCATAGTCGGTCCACCTCAAGATTACATGATCCTCATCTTAATCGCTAGGACGATATCTGGATATCACTGCATAATACAGCTCAATATTCATCGGTCCTTATTCAAGACGCACGATCATATCCAGTGGCCCACGTACCTTTAACTCAATTTCAAGAGCACTGCCACTGTTGACTAATAACGACCAAAGGAACAATGCTAAACAATAACATCGTCAAGCTTATGAAGCACACCATCGAACTGAGTTGAATGCTACATCTTGGACATTTTAAAAGGAGCTCTGCCACATGACATGTCAAGTCTCAACGTTGCTTTGGATATCCATTTATAAATAAAGATCAATATATGGTGACTCTTTTCAACCAACGTGTAGAGTTTCCAATGTTTATGGATAGATGGATGGATGCAATCAAGTGCAGTGGTGAGAAAGAAATCCTTGAGTGTTTCTTTGATTACTTGGCAATTTGTAAGCAAAACGATTACTGTATCACGAGGATAAGGCTGAGCATTGACGAAAGGCCTTTTATGAAAGCATGTAAGTAAATAGCATCCAATAATGAAAGTGTGTGTTAAGGAATGTGGATGACAATAATGGTGCCATGTCACATTGGATGTAGGAGAAGGTCGAGCTGCATAAACCAATTTGTATATGTAAACCAACTATGTAGTGAATTAATTTAATGATGGGTCACTCATCCTGAAACTCAATGCACGGATTACTTCACTTTTTCTCTTCTCAAGGTCATCCCACTCCTCCTTATTGTATCACAAAAGCCATATACTTCTTGCATGACCGATAACCGGAACCACCTTTATTATGTATCCCATCTTCGAAGCAATAGTACATATGTAATAATCCACAAGCTAGCAAAGTCCAACAAGCGTGTAATAAATAAACAATGCTTTATTTCATCTAGCTATCTTGCTACATTGCCACCACCATCGTCGTAGTCGTAGTCGTCGTCCGTCATCCGTCATCATTCGTATGCGTACTCGTACTCGTATTCGTACTCGTCACCAGTCGTCAATCTCATCCGTCACCCAATATCAAAAATCACATAGGCTGAAAAGAAGAATGGGATCTTGCAAGCTTCCTTTTGTATCTCGTTGTCGTCATCATTGTCATTGTTGTGGATGGGGTAATCATCGTAAGCGTCATTGTTGTGAATGTGGTAATCATCGTAATTGCCGTCTCTACAAATAAGAAAGCAGGCAAGTTAGACCATCTGATACCGGAAATGATGACGATTTGGTATACCGTTAGGTGATCCTCTCCAAGGAAGAAAGCAAATCCGAAGGAATTCACAAACCAAATCACCACCATACGAGCAACGTCGGGCGATCCCTTGTTCTTGAGAAGGCACTGCACGAATCACGCAAGGCCAGTTCGATCCATGGCAAGGAAGGACATCACTTACGTAGAGTCCAGGCTCATAGTTGTTCTCATTCATCCTCTCCAAAGAAAGAATGATCCCCAATCCTTCCAATCATTTCCCACATCATGAAAAGAAATCCTCAAGGGAAAGAACGAGCCTATCACGAGAAGAGCGTGTTGGTTAAACACATTCACAAGCTGTTGCAAATCCCCTTTTACCTCAACACGGTGACCATGCTCTTCCAAAAATCCACCGTCATCGACCCATCCTCAACTCAAGCGCAGACCTGTAGAGCCCTGGACGCGTTCCAAGAAGCTTTTCCAGCACACTTGGCTAGTGCAGAGCGACGCAGCAGCCACTTGATACAGGCTGGGACTTGAACCCAAAGAGATGATGATGATGCCCCAAGTTGCATTGCCTGACCAAAGAAACCTATTCAATTCATTATTAGCACACACACAATAAACATCCTTTTCATTGTTTGTTTCATTGTACTTGCCTTTTCCATATACACAAAGACCCGTTGTTGTTGGTTACTGGAAACCGAAAACCATGGTGTAGTAGTATAGTTGAGCCGAAACAAAACGCCAAACCAGCCAACGTCTTGAAACCAAACTTGCCCTCTATACAAGCTGACGCGTCAATGGAACCAATTCGGCTGCAACATTGGACTCTGAATGTACCTGTTGACACCCAGCGTAGAGCGGGAATAGCAACGAGCAAAAGGAAGCAACCATATCGCCATGGCAACCACCAACCACCAACCACGCTCATTCCTCAGCATTTGGACACACACTCAGTCCCTGACAATGCATGTTCAGAACTACATTAAGACCTCACAGCCAATAAGAGCACTCTCTGATAATACATTACCTTGATCGAGATGTCGTGAATGGAATAAAAGCAGAGGAGTGAGAAAGAGAAGAGAAGCGTTGTCTCAAGTCGTGGAGCTACCGGCCCCCAAGTTTAAACCCCCTACTGCTATTACACTGAGGCCGCTCATCAATTACCCTATACACACTATCCACCCATCGTCGTCATCACCCTCACGATAGACAATAGGTACACGTAAATAAAAGAAATGATGATCCTCACGTATAGCAAAAGGGTGTGTGCCATTTTACACTTTACATGATAATGATGATCCAACAACAGCCATTGCCTTTACTACCAGGTTACCTCGAATCAAGAAAGTTTAATGATGGGAATGATGGGCTGGAGCAGGGCAATCGATCGTATGTATTGGTTTGGGCAACAAAGGTGACTGGGAGGAATGGGCTATTAGCCGGCAGGTTTACAAATAACTTACCAAATTGATTCTTCTGATATTGGATGATGTTTCTGTGTTTGAGCGTTTTTCAGTCAAATCTCATCGGATCAAGAAAGTTGAATGATGGGCATGCTAGGCTGGAGCAGGACAATCGTTCGTATGCATTGGATTGGACAACAATGGAGAATGGGAGGACTAAGGATATTAGCTGGCATTTTGAACTATTCCTAAATAGTGTACAAGAATCATGCATCGCCTGTGCTGAATGACTCAAGTTACACAAACGCGCCCTCTGCATCTTTTGCTCTGCTATAGTCATACTACTTTACATTAGACAAAGACCACTTCTCATATAGCATCACCCTTACAGCATATGTAAAACATAAAGGTGCCTGTATCTCCAAACTTTACAATCAAACGTGGGCTCTTTAATAGATCAACGTGCTCGTCAGGGTCAAAGGAATCTTGTGTCAAAGTATGAAGTTCATCGTGGGCAATCCCAGATTTCGCAATGTCGCCACCAGCCAAACTGGATCTGGTGGTCGACCTCTTCGACGACGACGACCAAAAAATATTTTTTGGGCTGCTTGCGACATTGAACGTGAAACTTTCACACAAGGTGCTGTTGGCCAAGCCGAGCCCATTGCTGTAATAAAAAGCCCACGTTTCATTGTAAAGTTTGGAGATACAGGCACCTTTATGTTTGTAAGTGTGATGCTATAAGAAGAGTGGTCTTTGTTCATTGTCAAGTAGGTGGACCCTGGCAGAGCAAAAGATGCAGAGGGTCGTGTTGTGTAACACAGCTACGTTTGCATGAATGAAAGGGTCAATGTATAATTACTTTATGGATCATCTACGAACAGGCATGTATTGCTAGCTAACGGCCACTTTTATCCAATCATCATTGCTCCGAGATCCACTGCATAGGAACGATGCCCCTGCTCCAGACATTCATTTCCATGATTAAAGTAGGTTGATTCGAGCTGATTTGACTGAGCTGCGGTCAAAGAGAGATTACATCACTCTGGACATAAAGCACGCTCGATGTAGCTCAACCGATGTGATCTTGTGGGAGCGTAACTCAACCAAAAAAGCTCGGATCGATCTACTTGAATCATGGAAATGAATGTCTGGAGCAGGAGAATCGTCCACCTACAATAGAATGCACTAAAGTTGGGAATGCGCAAAAGTGGCTATTAGCTGCCAATGTATGACATAAAAGTGAGGGTTGTGTACCTTTCATGCATTGTCCCTGAAGTCCTGACTTTTTAGCTGAGTTACCCAAAGAGGTCCTTCTGCATCTTTGGCTCTCCAAGGTCTAGCTACTTGACAATGAACAAAGGCCACTTCTCATATAGCATCACGCTTACAAACATAAAGGTGCCTGTATATCTAGATTTTACAATCAAACGTGAGGTTTTTGTTAGAGCATTGTGCTCGGCTTGGCCAACTGCACCTTGGGTGCAAGTTTCAAGTTCATCGTGGCTAATCCCAGATTTCGCAATGTCGCCACCAGCCAAACTGGATCCGGGGGTCGACCTCTTGAAACTTTCTTCGACGACCAAAAAAATATTTTTTGGGCTGTTTGCGACATTGAACGCGAAACTTTCACACAAGGTGCTGTTGGCCAAGCCGAGCCCATTGCTCTAATAAAAACCACACGTTTCATTGTAAAGTTTGGAGATACAGGCGTCTTTATGTTTTACCTATGCTGTAAGCGTGATGGAGTTGCTTTTCCTAGTGGATGGTGTCGGCTGCATTAACGGAAAGATGAAGAGCTGAGTGAAATGGCACGTGGTCGTTACACAAACATGTCCTTGACAGGCTGCTGCAAAGTTGGATCATGATCATGATTGCCTTTTGGAAGGTACGTAAGTAAACAGCATCCAATAATGAAGATGTTTCAAGGTATGTGTAAGGCTATAATTGCATATCCAATTTAGTAGCTTACTATCCATATCAATCGTAGATCGATATGGGAACTGCAATGCTACATCATGTATTCTCTTGACAGCACATTCATTTTGGTGGCATGATGCAAGTAGTAATACTCTTCCTGTACATTCTGAGAGATCGTTCTATATCCCAATTACTGCTTCTGCTTAGTAACTTAGTCCAACCATGCTGAGTGAAAAGGAAAAAGACAAAGCGTGAAGGGTATTAATAAATGATGTCAAGGATGAAATGCAAAAAAGGAGATGTTGAACAGCATGAGTACTCAAAAGGAATCATGAACGAGTAGACTCACGTAATATGCTCTCATTATAGATTTGTTTATAGGTTTTCTCATTCACAATTACCCATACAATGTTAACAGGTCACGTGTATTGTGTCCTAATTCATGAGTACTTGATGAGGAGATACATACAACAACGGATGAGTTCACGTGATCGAGCATCTTAGAATGATCTTGCTGATATTGTCAGGTAAGACAACTAATGTGTAGTCAAAGAAACTTGGCAGGCTAAAACGATGGTCTTGTATGCAAATGTATTGGGATTGTTGATGGGAGCTTCTAATTAAGTGGAAGACGACTATGTATGAAATTGCAATCACTAGATACAACTATGTCATTCATTAAACAAATCTAAATATATAAAGCATCCATGTTTATATATGTGTATGCGTGTGATGGATCCCCGTTTTCTTGGTATGAGCATCCAAGCGATGTATGTATGTATGTATGCGGTGCATATCAGGCAGATGATGCATTTCTCTATTCCGCTCTCGCCTCTCTCGCTCTCTCCTCTTCCTTCTCCTCCGCTTCTTTTTACTATTCTTGTCGAACCCCTACAACGTGTCAAGCCCTGCAATGACGAACGATAGTGCTTCAATAAGGTAAGCAGGTGCTCTATCCCTCGACATGAGACTAGAGTGGGACTGAATTAGGTTGTAGACGTGAATGGGACACCATCTTTGGGGGCTCTCGGTCATCTTTGGCTTTGCTGAAACAACAAGCTGTGGGTGACACACTCTGTCAATCTGGAATTCGGTCTGTGTATTGGAAGGTAACAGCAAATGGGAGAGCATTTATTCGTCAAGGAGGCTAATGGTGTTGGGTGTCAAGGTGTTTCTCGAATACTTCACTGCACCGCAACCTGCAACATGGTCTTCTGCACAAACTGAACGACGACAACGCTACACCAACCTGAAAAGGAAATACATTGACGAGCCAGCCGAGCAAATGATCAAAAAGAGCGAGGATGATTTGGACCTTGTTGCTAATAACCCTTTGGCACAAACGGATAATGTAAGTTAGAAGGGTATATAGAATGAGTATGGTATTCAAGGATGCTCTTGTAGAATCCATGGCAACAGTATTTTGAAGATTCAGAGATCCGCAAAGTGATACGGCAAGATGTGGATAGGACGTAAGGAAGGAGGGATATCTCACTGTGGGAAAGACATGTGGGCTCATCCATTTTATAATAGCTTTCCAGATGTTGAGTTCTTTCGATCAGATCAAGTGCAGGAGCAAATGACCGATATCCTTTTCATTTACTGCAAGTTGAATCAAGACGTATCGTATCGTCAAGGAATGCATGAATTACTTGCGCCGATTTATTTCGTATTGTCAATGGAAAGCATATCAACCCCGAATGACTCTCACAGCCCAGTCGAGTAAGTATGAGAAAGCAAATGACCTATCATCCGCATGCTGACAATGATTTTAGTGCAACGGATCGGTTGATTACTCAAGTGCTCGATCCCCATTATGTGGAGCATGATGCGTATATTTTATTTGACAAGCTTATGGTTCATGCCAAGCCATGGTATGAATTCAATGAAAAGTTATCCTCGAGTATTCCCAGGTCATCGGTAAGTCAAGGGACGAGTCAACGGTGACGAGGATACTCATAAAGGGGTATTGGGAATAGGGTCATGGACTTGGTGGCAATATACCCAGACAAGCACAGGTATGAAGCATAAGATGGTTCAATGACGACGAGAGTCTTATGTCTCTTTTCCCATTAGAACACACGTTCAAATCCAGTGGTTCTTTCATGTCAACGTATCCATCATCAATATTTACGTGCAGTGGATCCTGTATTGTATGGACATCTAGAGCGTTTTGGGATTGAACCACAGCTTTATGGCATGTAAGTGTTGGCATGATATTAGATGGGGGTGTTATTTACTCTGAGCTTTTGGTACAGGCGTTGGCTAAGGCTTCTTTTTGGACGTGAATTTGAGTTTCATGAATTGTTACGGCTATGGGACGCTATTTTTGCCACGGATCCATCGCTCAAGATTGCAGAGTACGTTTGCTTGGCAATGCTTTTACGAATGCGCGACAAGTGTAAGTGATAGGATCCTCTTGTTTATTTCAAAATGTTCATATGATGTCAGTGTTATCAAGTGATTATGCCGAGTGCTTGACAATATTGATGCGATGTCCTCAAGTTGGCAATCCATCCACCCTTGTGGAGCAAGCAAGCTATCTTCAAACCGATCTTTCAGAAGGTGGTGGTCTACACATATTACAGCAGAATGATGTTAGATCTGGTAAACCAGCACGACATTCGCTTTGGGATGGAGTTCAACAACAACAACGTGAGGATCCAATGAATCGCCTATCACATCGAAGATCGCATGGAGCCAATTTGGATGGTTTAGCAAGCATCACTCGAGGTGTTATGAAGAGTCCTCAAGTGCGAGATTTGAATAAGGCTATTGCAGGTGTAATGGGCACCGTTCAGGTAAATGAAAAAGGCATGCAAGGTGGTATCATTGTATACTAAAACAATGATGGTTATAGAAAAATGTCAACATGCTCGGTGACAATATGCTCAATCGTGCTGCAAGCTTTGATGCACCTCCTTCTCGAAGACGTCTTACAGTGTCATCAGAATTCCCTGCCAACATTGACCAACAATTTGCCAGACCATCGTCACAGCGAGTATCCAGCAACCCTCGACGAATGCCAAATACCAGTCATCCACAACAATCACAATCATCACAACCGACACCAGGACGTGTAATGAGTGAAGAGGCAGCTGCATTATCCAAACTCAAAGGGACAAACTCACAAATGGCGGATCTTTTGGGAAAATGCATTGACGTATTGGAGATTGAGTTATTTGAAAAGAGAGAGAAGATGGAGCACAAGGAGGAGGATACCAATGTTGATCAATACAGCCCTGATGAAGCATCATTGGTGAGCGTTCTTGCTGGCATCAAACATGTGCGTGATGTCCTGTCGGGGAAGCAGCCATCTTTTGATCCAAGTGTGATCCCTGTCAACACACCAACAACGCCTACTACGACTACGACTACTGCACCCTCTCAGCCTACGCCAACCACTCCTACCACTGGCACAGCCGTTCCTACGACACCAACTACTGCTGCTACTACTACTGGTGCTGGTGTGACCGATACAGCTAGCACGGATGACCAACCATCACTTAAGGATTGGGATGTTGTTGATTATCAGGAGGATGACAAGCAATCTATTTTGAGTTCTCAAGATCCAGGCACCAAACCATTGCCACAACTACAGCCTACCAAATCACAAGAAGCCCAACCAGAACCACCTATCTTAACGAACAAAGCAACCTCTGAATCTGCACCTTCCTCATCAACACGTCGAACCGCAGTACCCAAGGAGAATGTAGTGTACAGCATTGAAGATTTATTATCGGATCCCACATTACAAAAGGAAAAGGCGTCATCGAGCAAAAGCAACAAGTTTAATTGGATGCTTGACGAGCAAGAGAACGATAAGGGTGAGCGGCCAGCCCATTTATTTAGACCCACTTCTTCCCCGAGAAAGCGAGCTAGTGTCAATTTTAGCAACTATGCCAAATCGCCAACATCACCATCCAGCGGCTCGGCTGTACAAACAGTGGACCCTTTGGGGGCAAAGAGTACGGATTAGTAAATACAAATAAATATTGTTCCGCTTTTGACACGAAAAAGTGATATACAAGCGTGGCTGTAGTACAAGGATTATGCATGGCTTGATTTTCGAATTGTCTTTGAAATGAGGAAGATGTTATTTATGTCTATTCAAGCATGACGATCGTAATGAACTAAAACAGCGACATACTTGTAATAGCCACAACCGGATGATATAAGAGCTTTCAGTCACCATTAATGAGTTGACTCAAGCGTTGTAGTAGTCATAAGAGAAAAAGATGGGTGGTGTCATGGATCCTTGCAGATTGTGCACATGCATCTCGGGGGGGGGAACTTCGTCAAGTAAGATGCTTCGATATTACCATAGTAATGAAAGAGGCAAATAACAATGACGACAATGATAATGAGAGCAGGATAACAATGAAAGGCTAACGATCATTACACATATTCGCGTATGGATCGCTCATAAAATAAGGCCATCTAACACGATATGTAGCCCATTCCTCCCATTCACCTTTGTTGTTCAATTCAATGCATGTGAACAATTCTCCTGCTCCAGACCAGCATGCCCATCCTTCAACTTTCTTGATCCGAGGGGATTTGGGTGAACAACGCTCAAGCACAAAACATCATCCAATTTCAGAGAAATCATTTTGCAGACTTATTTGTAAACTGCCAGCTAATAGCCCATTCTTCCCATTCACCTTTGTTGCCCAATACAATGCATATGAACGATTCCCCTGCTCCAGCTCATTATCTCCATCATTCAAGTTTCTTGATCCGAGGGGATTTGACTGAACAACACTCAAGCAAAGAAGTATCAATTCAACTCATTTAGTTTTCCACTCCTACCACTCCCACAACTTCTTGTCTCTTCCTCCCATTCTCAACTGTTGCCCCATTCAAGTATACAACCACCACCAACGAACGATTGTCCTGCTTCAGCCCATCATGTCAATCTTCCCATTGCGTTGATCCGATTGTCTTTGACTGAATGGCAAGCCCATGGCGTGTGCACCCCACTACAACACTGGTGTTCTTGACACTACACCTTCCCTTGTACATTCCTCTACCACAACCAATCGTAACAACATTCATTGCAGCAATTGCCATTAGCAAGGTCTCTGATCCATGTCTCCATTTGCTTGCGGCAACTTGTCTACCAGCCCTTTTCACGCGTACAGCAGATAGCCATCATATACAAGCAGTTTTATTTACATGTAGCAACTTTGCTCAATACATACAACTTCTTGTGAATATGGATATGGATCTGAATATCGGTTTGGTGCATGGGATGGAAGAAATTGGATATACACAGCACGTGTAAAAAGAGTGTATCCATTGTCAACTTTACTATTACGCATGATGCTGTCGTTCTGAACGATTTCATGGCAGCAACAATTATCATCCTTTGTGCAACCTGCCAACCAAGTACAACCATCATCATCCAACTGCATATGCATATTTACGCCACCACGCATCCATCCATTCACTTCTGAAAAATGCAAGTCTAAAGGATAAAACTTTCCATGATAGATGTACCACCTATTAGAGCAATCTCTCAATCTACTATCCCTTGTGAATGATATTGGATTAAAAAGTCACTTTAGCGAATACGACCAATCACTTCGAAGTTGCTATAGTGTAAGAGAGTTTCCTTCTTCCTCAAAGTAGCAAGATCTATGCATGATTGTTGAAGCGTATCCGCTTGTGAATGTTGTGATAAAGGAAAAGGAGAGGAAGACAAAGGACCTGATTGATTCATTGTGAGGCTTGAAACAAAGGCTGTATTCGATAGTGTAACTCTTGCCGACACGCCGCAACACGTTCCTCTTTTGTGATTTGGATCTTATAAAATAGTTATTTTATTGATGTACAGTGGGATTAGATTGTTGGGAAGAAGCGTTTACAAAGAGTTTTGGTAGCATGGCAACCAACAAGAGCTTGTTCATGGCTGATCGCTAATTCGATAATGCCGACAATTTGGGGGGCTTCAGGTCGAATGGCTTGTGACTAGCGAACCATCTCTTTTTTCTCGGGTTGCCTTTTCCCTTTTTCTACTCTTTGATCGATCAAGGCAATCGCATATATACAACACCATGGGAAAACGAAATCGAGCCGCCTTGTTGCCAACACAGTTGCCACAGCTTCAAAATCTCATCAAACGAGATGCCAAATCGTATGAGCAAGAGTTCCTTCAACAATACCGCCATTATCAGTCAACCTTGTCGATCTTTTGCTTGAAGCCCGATGAGGAAGCCAAAGAGTTATCCGAATTGGTCACCTTTATCAGCCAAGTTTCAGTGTGTTATCCAAAGGAGACTGCCGAGTTTCCACAGCAACTGGTGGATCTTTTACAGCAACACTGCGTTGTCCTTCACCCCGATGTCCGAAAGAGCTTTGTTCAGGCATTAATTCTTTTGCGTAACCGAGGCGTGATCGATAATACCCGGTAAGAACAACAACAACAACATGTTGATATCTATGGTTGCTTATACAAGTATACATGTATAGATTATTACCTCTCTTTTTCACCCTCTTCAAATGCCGAGATAAGCCATTGCGTGAAATGTTGTACAACCATATCGTCAATGATATCAAGAACGCCAACTTGAAGGCCAAGAACAACAAACTCAACAAGACCCTCCAATCCTACATGTTCACCATCCTTGAATCAGTAAAGACCGGCAACAGTGACGAGAATGCTGTATCAGCTAAGAAGGGTGTGGATGTATGCATTGAATTATATCACAAGAACGTCTGGTAAGTGGATTGATTGTGCATATGAAGGAGCATGGTTTGATTGATTATGGTATACTTTATTATAGGAACGATGCTAAGACTGTCAATGTAATTGCTGAAGCCTGTTTTTCACCTGTCAACAAAATTGCTGTCACTGCCATCCGTTTCTTTTTGAACACCAACGAAGATGAGGAAGAAGATGAATCAGAGGAAGAGGTATTTATCCATTGGATGAACCGATATAGGGGATAGGAGAGCAATAACAAGTGTTTGGATGTATTAGTTGCCTGATATTCGCAAAATGGAACAAGCCAACATCCACTCGAAGAAGACCAGAGCCAAATCACGACGATTAGAACAAGCCAAGAAGAAAGTACAACGCAAATCCAAGAGCAAAAAGAAAGCAGAGAGCTTCAACTTTGCAGCATTGCATCTTCTCAATGATCCACAAGGTTTGTCCTTTATTTATTATCACACCGGATGGATAGGCTAATGGTGAAATGGAACTATAGGATTTGCCGAAAAGTTGTATTCAAAGTTACAATCCAAGCAAGATCGATGGGAGATTCGTTTGTTGCGCATGAATTTGATTTCTCGTGTCATTGGTATCCATCAACTTTCTCTTCTCGGCTTTTACACCTATTTGATCAAATACCTGCAACCCACCCAACGTGATGTCACTATGGTATTGGTGTCTTCAGCACAAGCTAGTCATTCCTTGGTTCCTCCCGATGCTCTTGAACCTGTGCTCAGAGCCATTGCAAACAACTTTGTCACTGATCGTGCATCCAATGAAGTCATGGCTGTTGGGTAAGTGAAAGTGATTTACGTATCAAGATCATGTTTCCTTATGCAATTCAAATTAGTATCAATGGCATTCGAGAAATTTGTGTACGCCAACCCCTCGCCATGAATGAGACATTGTTGCAAGATCTCACACAATACAAGAACCATCGTGATAAGGGTATCATGATGGCTGCACGTTCATTGATCACCTTGTATCGTGAAGTCAACCCTGAAATGTTGTTGCGCAAGGATCGTGGACGATCAGCTACCATGCGTCTCAAGGATGGCACAGCTAAAGAACTCACATTCGGTGCACAAGACGCTGGTTTGGCTGATGGTTTGCAAGGTGTTGAACTTTTGGACAAGGAAGAAGGAGATGATGATGAAGGCTGGGATGGCTGGGAAGTGGATTCCGACGACAGCGACAGTGATGAAGAAGGCTGGATCAATGTATCAAGTGATGAAGAAGATATCAATATTGCCATGAGCGACGAAGAAGGTGATGATGACAAGAAGAAGGACAAAAAGGAAGAAGCAAGCAAGGAGGAGAATGGACCAAGGAAACGACGTATCGGCAAACGACAACTGCGTAAGCTTCAAGATGCTGAAGAATTGAGTGAAGAACAACAAAAGAAGCTTGCTGAAGAAGCAGCTGCACGACGTGCTGAAGAGGAGAAGAAACAAGCAGCTATTATGGAAGTGGCATCTACGCGTATTTTGACCCCTGCTGATTTTGCACGATTGAATGATATGCGAGAGAAAAAGGAGATTGAAGCTGCAGCCGGCATGAAACGTAGTGCCACTGACGATGGACGTGTGGATGAAAGCATCATTTTGGGTCCAAGAAAGAAGACCAAGGCGGACTATGAAGCACGTATGGCATCTATTCAAGAAGGTCGTGAAGGTCGTGAAAAGTTCGGATCAAAGAAGGGCAACAAGGATCGAGGCAGTACGACAAATCGTGAAAAGGCACGCAACAAGAACTTTATGATGATTGCACATAAACATGCTGTGGTATCCAAGAGCAAACGTAGTCTTGTTGACAAGCAAAAGGCTATGCGTGCAGCCATCAACAAGCAAAAGAAGATGAAACGATAGATTACAATTACCATTATTCCATATGCATTCTCTATATACAACAACATCACATTTGTAGCATTAAAAAGTGTCTTTATTTCATGTAAGAAGGGATAATGTTTACGATGGAGTAAGTCCTTGAACGGAGAACATCAACAGCTACTTTTATCAAAAAGGAAAAGCATCGCGTGTAATGTGCATCAGCTCCGCGTGGAGAACAAGGCAGCTCCCATATTATAAAAATACCATCCGCACCCTGTCGCCTTTCTTCTTCATCAACGTTCACCCTAACTTTGGACAGCTCATCACTTCAACCCCATCTATTTTATTAATTCTGCCATGAGAGAAATCATCAGTCTTCACGTCGGTCAGGTAAGCTACAAACGACCTCCGTCTTCTTTTCTTGCATAAACGACCCTGCTCATCTGAAACATGTGCCTTCTTCGTCTTCGTCTTCCCATGTAGGCCGGTATCCAAATCGGTAACAGGTAACTAACTTGTCCAGATGAACCCAATGGAGAAGCAACATGGCACTCAATGGCCCTTTGACATTCTATAGCTGCTGGGAGCTTTACTGTATGGAACATGGTATCAACCCTGATGGCCGTATCCCCACTGATCAAGAAGTCAACGACCACTCCTTTGCTACCTTCTTCAGCGAGACCAGCTCTGGCAAGCATGTTCCCCGTACTGTCTTTGTGGATTTGGAACCTACTGTGGTTGATGAAGTTCGCACTGGTACCTACCGTCAACTCTTCCACCCGTAAGTATACATATATACAAACACGCACATGGTGTGCATGCATATGCATCATCAGGGGTGTTGCTCACTTTTTGTGGTTGAATAGGGAGCAATTGATTACTGGCAAGGAGGATGCTGCTAACAACTACGCTCGTGGTCATTACACTGTTGGCAAGGAACTCGTCGACTCTGTGTTGGATCGTGTTCGCAAGTTGGCTGATAACTGCAGCGGTTTGCAAGGTTTCCTTGTCTTCCACTCCTTTGGCGGTGGCACTGGTTCCGGTTTTGGTGCCTTGTTGATGGAACGTTTGTCTGTGGATTATGGCAAGAAGTCCAAGCTTGAATTCTCTGTCTATCCTGCTCCTCAAGTCTCCACTGCTGTTGTTGAGCCCTACAACTCCATCCTCACCACCCACACTACTTTGGAGCACTCTGATTGTGCCTTCATGGTTGACAATGAAGCTATCTATGACATTTGCCGTCGTAACCTCGACATTGAACGTCCCACTTACGCCAACCTCAACCGTTTGATTGCTCAAGTCGTCTCTTCTATCACCGCTTCATTGCGTTTCGATGGTTCCCTTAATGTCGATTTGAACGAGTTCCAAACCAACTTGGTGCCTTATCCTCGTATCCATTTCCCTCTCGTCACCTATGCTCCTATCATCTCCGCTGCTAAGGCTTACCATGAACAACTCTCCGTTCCTGAAATCACCTATGCTTGCTTTGAACCTAACAACCAAATGGTCAAGTGTGATCCTCGCCATGGCAAGTACATGGCTTGCTGCTTGCTTTACCGTGGTGATGTCGTTCCCAAGGATACCAATGCCGCCATTGCTTCCATCAAGACCAAGCGTACTATCCAATTCGTCGATTGGTGCCCTACTGGTTTCAAGGTCGGTATCAACCACCAACCCCCTACCGTTGTCCCTGGTGGCGATCTTGCAAAGGTTCAACGTGCTGTGTGCATGCTCAGCAACACCACCGCCATTGCCGAAGCTTGGGCTCGTCTCGATCACAAGTTCGACTTGATGTATGCCAAGCGTGCCTTTGTCCACTGGTATGTTGGTGAAGGTATGGAAGAAGGTGAATTCTCTGAAGCTCGGTAAGTCTTTTTTTCTTTTGCTCTTGTATGGGGGATCATGTATTAATTTCATTCTTCAGTGAGGATTTGGCTGCCCTTGAGAAGGATTACGAGGAAGTTGGCTCTGACTCTCTTGGTGATTCCGAGATCGAGGAGGAAGAAGTCGAGTACTAAATAGCCTGATCGCTACAATGTACATTCATCCATGGCTTAATTGAATAACAGTTATGACAAGATGATTTACACTCGTGAAGTTGCTTTGGTTTTCGTATATATGGATACGTGAGATGGGGGTGAAACAAGGCATGTGCCACAGCAGTCTGTGCACATCCTACACACACACACACATTGGGTTGAATTAAGCTTTACCAAATATGACATGACCCTGTCGCTCAAAATTGTTACATTAGCAACAACAGCTGAAATCATAATCCTCTTTTCTTTGCACACTGATGTTTGTGATTTACAAGTTTCAATAAGTATACGTACATGGTGGTGAGCTGGATGATGGCTGTCGCATCGATGTAATAATAGGATCATCGTATCACTTAAATGGCGCATCAGAAATCAAGATCAAGATGCCGCTTAGTGGATATGAAGATGGTTGTAGAGAAGAAATGTGCCCGCTATTGTATCCAAAGTCGATAGCTGTCATCAATAATGAGATCTACTTTTCTACTAGCATGATGACCTTGATCATCCAATCGTTTGCACACATGTCGTCTTTCTCGAGGCCAAGATGAAGGGTATTTATTACCAACCATCTCTGTGGTATATTTATCTGATGATGGATCGGCAAATGTTACTCTTGCGTAATTATTGCTCGATTGTTTGTACCATTGTTCATGGCCAAGGAACATTTAGAAGGGAGGTAGCCCTCAACTTGGCAGGATATCGACTTGCTGGATGTGACTATGCATGATGGGTTTTAGATACCATAAGCTCATATGATCATGTATACTGATTTGTCGTACGTATGATATGACATCTGATATTGCAAATGCATAACAAGCAGCCCATCCGAACCTTGAGATGAACCGGCCGTCATAGTGCATCCGATTGGTCGATACAGGTGCAAGACCAAGATGTCAGCAAGATCTACAACGCGATAGCCAGCACATTAACCATGACTTTGGTAGCATCAAGCTACAAGCATCCTATATTCATACAACCAATCTCGAGTATGTTATCAACAAGAGCGTATGGTAATCCATTGCAGGAATGGCCCGTGGGTCGTGACAAGGTTAGAGTTACATTGCGGGATCTCAAACCACATTTTATCTTTCTACCTCCACTCATTTAAAGCAAACCAGCTGTACCCACTCATCATCTTTTTCCCTGTTTGTCCTTTTTTCCCATAAACCTTTTGTATTGATCTTATGCCTGTGGGAGGTGATTATGAATCTCCTCGAAAGGATCTTTCGAGCAAAGCACCCTCACTATCCCCTTTACTGGATAATGGCAGCAAAACAAGCTTGATTTCTCGTGTGCGACGCTCACTCTCCACGGCATCATCACCCAATAATAGTAATCATCAAAAACAACATCCTATTCAAGGAACCATACGCAGACAAATGTCATCCACGTTGGCAGGTCCAAGGTATCTATACAGCCATGTTGTTTGCGTTGTATCATTGCAACATCTAACACGGCAGGGGCTTTGGCTACATGTAATAATAGTAATAGCAGGTTGGCAGACTCCATCATTAATAGCACCACGAGCACCAGCAACATGGTGCATGAGACATTTCAGCAACAAGATGAAAAATCCTTGTCGAAAACAACATCACTCGAAACCCTATGTCAGTAATCCCGGTAACTTTATAGTTACCGCATCACCCCTTCTTTTATGAAAAAGAGCCTATATTGATACGCCTATAGTGAAACAGCAGGACCATTATCACAATGTCACAACACACACCAGCAAACGTTCACCGCCTGTGTCACCCACCAAGATGGCAAAATCCTCGTCTTCATCTTCTTCATCCACTCGCAGTAGCAGTAGGCCACAATCACCAGCACAACGTTCAATGGATGAAGAACATCATCATCATGGCACCTTGTATATCCCATCCATGGCATTTTCGAATCGGTGGAGAAGACACTCTAACAAAAACCAACGCTTGAAAAACATGGTGGTATCAAATCAAGTCTCTGTCATGTGGGCACCAGCACCTGCCATGTATTGGTCACAGCCAACGGTCCATGGTGTTGTGCCTAAACCCGTCAGAGCTCACACAAGTGTCGCTGTAAATGATCTCATGTATGTCTTTGGTGGCTCTGGAAACAATGGTTGCTCTCACACTTTATATGCTTTGGAAATGGGTAAGATCGAACCAATCCCTCTTTCGGAAAAAGAGGAGGAGAAAAGGAAAATTAACCGACCCAAGGGACATCATGATGTAGATACCTTCAAATGGACAAAGCCAAGAACGTCAGGCGAGCGACCACCAGCAACGCGTGCCCACAGTATTGTGGCACACCATGAGAAAATCTACACTTTTGGGGGTGGAGATGGTTCGCATTACACGAATGACCTTTATGTGCTGGACACAAGTAAGAAGCTTGTTTTTTACTTATTCCCATCACAATCAGCGCATGGTGTTGTATTCACATACATGTTACAGAAACGATGGTATGGAGTAAACCCGATACCTTAGGCCCACGCCCATGTCCTCGACGTGCCCATAGCAGCTTTATATGGCGAGACACGCTTTACATCTTTGGCGGAGGAGATGATGCAAATGCTTTGAATGATTTGCATGCGCTTAATCTTGATGCCATGACATGGATGTCTGTGGACACCAAAGGCCAAAAACCACATCCACGAGGATACCATAGCGGCACGTTAGTCATGGATAAGTTTATTGTATTTGGCGGGAGTGATGGAAACATCTGCTTTGATGACGTGCATATCCTAAACTTGGGTGAGTTTTATACGAGCTGCAATGTTGTTATGTGTACAATGCCATTCTTATTTATGGTTGCTATGCAATAGAAACAAGCACATGGACCTGGATCGACGCTCACGTTGCACCAGGATTGAACATGCTTCCTAAACGTCTATCCCACGCTGCTGTGGGTGTTGGCTCGTACATTTTTATCACAGGGGGTCATGATGGTACACGCTATTGTAGCGATCTCATTCTATTCAATCTTGGTAAGAAGGACAACGGTGATGCGTAAATGTATTTACATAGTTGACATGTGTCAATTCAATCATACAGCCACCATGACGTGGGAGACAAGAAAAGTATATGGGCAGGACCCATCATCACGAGGATACCATACAGCGGTGCTCCATGATAGCCGGCTTTTTCTCTATGGTGGATATGATGGCAAGAAATTTTATAACGAAATCGCCATTCTCGATCTTAGTGCAAGTGCTTACCTACCACAAATTACTAAATTCACTATTGATGTCCCATAACAAGTAATCCTTTCTTCCTCATAAACACCCCCTCTATCCATTCATAACGCTGTAAATGAAATAACAACATCATCTTTATTTTGCCACAAGGTGGCTGGCATGCACTAAGCATGAGCAACGTATACGAGTGAATGTTTACAATATTCCCCACACTCATGCGTGGGGTTTTCATATGCTGGCTGAGTCATGGGAACGGATCTACGATTTATTCTTGTCTCCTTGATAAGGACATATAAGCTTTGTACGACCACGTTGTTGTTGCTATGTAATAGTATGCCATGCTCCCATCCTGTAGCAACCCAATTATTTATTATACCGGGTACACTCGTCGTGGCACTGCCAACTGCAACAATAGAAGGTTCTACTACTAGTTGCCCATGGTAATTGCAATACCCAATTTATGTGCATTCTCATTGAGCCGTGTCGTGTCTACCGATGCACCCATATTAAGCTTGATTCCAGGTCGTACCGTTTGATTATAGCTGCATCGTAAGAAAAGATCACGTGAGCTACATGCATTTGGTTTTGATGGGTGATACCTACGCAATACCGAGCATGCCAGCATTGGAGATCCTGCCTTTGACAAACGCCGACTTATCCACTTGGTACTTGCAACCCACTTCAAGCACGACCACATTGCTTCCTTGTGCATCCCACATGGCTTTGCCTGATGCTTCTACTTGTGGGTTGATACGATGATAGTATGATGCAGCATAGCTTTGAAGGTTGTTGGTGGCATGAAGGGCCAAGCTGTATTCGCGATTACTATATCCAAAAGCGCTGCTGTAGCGTAGCACCTAACAATGGCGCATGAGCCAGGATCCTTCCTATGCAATAATAACACCTTGTACAAACCTTGCCATCACGTGTATTGATTGACATTTCACCTCCCAAGGCAAATCCATTTTGACCTGTCACAGACGTAATGTGCAAGTGATTCTATCGTAAAAGCTTGGATGTGAGTATCATGGCAACAAGAAAACCACCTTTCCATATATACCTTGAGTACATCCATGGTAGCAACGGTATGGCAATGGGGCTGTTTGTATGTTGCATTGACCTTGAATGCCTTATCCTTGATGGATGGCAGCAGCGATGTCAGCAACTCAACCTTTAAGCCCTCTAAAGAGATCCCTTATTATTATCATGCGATCCAAACATCCCACCATTGCATTTGTATATACTTACTTGCCAAATTATTGTCGAGCTCGATTTTGCTGTTCACGTGGTTGGCTGTGGTCCATGCCTTTGTGATAGCAATGCCAGTTGCTTTATCCGTGTATTTGGCTTCAATGTCACCAAGGACAAGGCCTGATCTAAGATCACGTTGTCCATTGACTTTGAACGTCTTTTCCAATTTCATCCGTATTAGATGCCATCCACGTGTGTACCTTAGAAGAAAAGTATATATACATTACCACGCCATGAGAGGTGGTGGTCTTAACCTCTAGCTTGACACCTCCCACAGGGTAATCCTTCGTCAACAAGTCCTTGGCAGGTTTACCGATATCATTGAAAGCAACTATTTTAGACGTGTACGCGGTCTTAATAACAATTCAAGCATTGAAAAAGACAAAAGAAACAACGTGTACTTGCCTGGGACGGCCATTGGAAAAAAGTGAAAAGGAAAAAGGGGATAACACGTAATACGGTAAACAAATCTGCCCAAGGTCATGAAACAAGGAGCCAATAGGAAAGGATGTTCTTGCCCTCCTGCATAATGACGATCCTCTTGTATGTATCGCTTAGGTGAGCAAACAGCATACAACGCTATTGCAAGATGCCGATGGATCAACGTGTGGATGGCTGGTAGAGCTAGCTTGGCAACATTGAATGCTTCCAAAACATGGTGCGATGTAATTTCACGCATGCTTGTTATTTAACATTGACTTTGGCTACCATGATGATGGTGATCATAGGATGCATAATATGGGGTACCTCTTGGTTTTCGATGGATTTGGCTGACAACAGCAGTCGGTCGCTGAACATGGTATTGCTATTGCTGGGTTCGATAACTACGACTTACTAGCAGCAGCGATTGTTCGGGAACGAGTGATCCAGGCCATTCTATTAGGATACCAACAATATGCAGCTCATCATCAACCAAACAACGCGATATCATCAATAGCCACCTCTAGGATAGGTGCGTGAACAATATCAGTGGCCAGCAGTGTGCCACTTGACAGCTATGGCAAAATGACACGCTTCTACAGGGAATCACCCACAATGACACTAAACCAAACAATGATCATCTGGAACGCGCGCGTGAAACGACATGCTGTTACAAATGCAAGCCTATCGGGGGTAAACGAAAAAGCGCCCCCTGTTGTGTTTGTACCAAAAGCAACCCCATCATAATACGGCATCGATAAACAACATATGAAAGCAATCGGTGGCGTGGGTATTATGTTTCTTTAATGTATTGGTGGGGTTCACTATGTATGGATCTTCAAAACCATAGTCGTTACGGCTGCTTTTTGGGGAGATGAAATACACATTTGGGGTGACAAGGTGTCAGTGAAATGAAATGAAAGAGTGATCCCCCATTCCCCACCTTTCTGGATATTGGGCCCATGTACAGGCTACACGAGCATCCTACAAAAATGGATACCCGCCATTTTGTGGCTGTATCAATCTGGTATAGCTCCTGCACAAATGTCTGAGCCAGCTGAGGATGAACACGCGTGTTGTCGGCACTCCACCCGTGTCCTTTTTCTCAAGCGATTCTTATGCAAGCCATCATCATACAGGCTTCTTTCCTGATACAATGGCATATAGCAACATCATAATGATGATTACCGGATGGAAGAACAAGCACGCTGTGTAATTACAAGATGTGACATTTACTCAATAAACTTTTTTGTTGGGGACGTGATCCTAAGACTAAAAGCACTCATCCACAACCATCCTAGCTATCAGCAAAGGTGCCGAGGTGGATTCACTTTCAAAGTAGAGCTTTTCGTTATAGATCAACGTGTATTGCACCATGATGTCCCATCATGATGATACCAGTGGGAGTGGAAAATAAAAGTCCATGATCCGATAATATGTGTTATGTGACCCAAGGGGGTGTGTGTGTCCAATAGCTAATTAGCGACTCCGTATGCTGCTGCTGCTGCAGGATGCAAAGAGTTTCTCTTTTCTGCCATCCGAATCCCAGCGGTGATATTTACGGAGCGTACAAACAAAACCAAGATGTTTGGCGGTTTTGCACATGATCGTTGGTAATGGACAACCTCTGGTGGATGAGTGGAATGAATGGCACTGAAGAAAAAACACCGATTGTATGACAAGACCAGTTTAAGACAATCGACATGTATTGGATCCATGCACATTGGATCATGACACTGCTGTGTTGACAGCCGTTGTTCTTTTTTGTGTGCCCCTGGAGACGTGAGCGGAAAATTTTTTTTCTATTTGATGGATCGGGAGACCAACTATAAATGTACATCTTGCACAGCAGCCTTTTGGATCTCTTTCTTCTCCTACTTACCACCTATCTTCCCTCTCTCTCTCTCTTTCTTCTTCCCGCATCCTCCCATGGATTTCGTCAGGAACCTCGACTTTTCGCAGCAAACGCCTTTTGGCTTTCATTTATACCCATTCTTTGAGAAGGCCTATGAGGCTGTCACTGGTCAAGCTGCCGCTGATTTCGCCTTTGTCCCAGGTGTCACCCCGCTGTCGACTGTCAAAGAAGGTAAAGTAAAAAAAAAGGCTTTCAATCTCGAGATGAGGAGAGCAATGGCAGGGGGAATCGGTCAATCAAGTGGTAGATGCTGACCATCTCTGTCAATAGTCTTCACAGCATGTATCACCTACTTTATTGTCATCTTTGGTGGTCGCTACCTTATGACCAACATGCAAGCATACAAGTTCCAATATCTCTTCCAATTCCACAACTTCCTCTTGACTTTGGCATCCGGTGCCTTGCTCGCATTGATGATTGAACAACTCTTCCCCATCATTTACAACCATGGTTTGCTCTATGCTGTCTGTGCCAAGGATGCTTGGACCCAACCCCTCGAATTGCTTTACTATCTCAACTACCTCGTCAAGTACTGGGAATTGTTTGACACTGTCTTTTTGGTTGTCAAGAAGAAAAAGTTGGGTAAGTTGGATCATCAATCATATATATGGAGTGGGGAATGAAGAACTAACAGGGACCCTCTTTGTATATAGAATTCTTGCACTATTATCATCATAGCTTGACCATGGTGCTTTGCTATACTCAGCTTGGTGGCCGTACTTCTGTGGTATGTAACACACACGCAGTGGATGGGAGGATATTGTGTACTAATAATGTGCCATTTTGACAGTCGTGGGTCCCTATTACTCTTAACTTGACCGTGCATGTGTTCATGTACTACTACTACTTCCGTACTGCTGCTGGTCACAAGATCTGGTGGAAGCGTTACTTGACAACCATGCAAATCACTCAATTCATCATTGATTTGTTCGCCGTCTACTTTTGCACTTACACCTACTTTGCTTACACCTACTGGCCCCATCTTCCCAACGTTGGCAGCTGTGCTGGTACCGAGACCTCTGCTTTGTTTGGCTGTGCTCTTCTCAGCTCCTACCTCTTCCTCTTCATCAACTTTTATCGTATCACTTACAAGAACAAGAAGGCTGCTGCTGCTGCTGCACGTAACGCCAATGGCAACGAGAAGCCCAAGAGCAAGAAGATCTAATTCTATATTGCACACACACACACTCTTTCTCTCTTCACTAATGCTACCTCATATCACACACTCTCATCCCATCATGTAATCGCTTTTCTCCTTCCCACTATTCATTTGTAGTTTTCTCTTTCTAATACTTGTTATAGTCTCTGTAATCTTTCGAATTCATTCCAATGCAATGTGTAACACGAAAAATGTCTATTATTATTATCATTGTGCTAGTGAAAGGAAAACATGGTATAATACTTGCACCCAAGCATCAAGGGGACCAGGGATACAATAACGTAAGCAATCTTGACCACCCATATGGCCATCAGGTCGTAGATCTGTCAGGGCAGCCAAATCCACAAATACACCTCCTGCAGCCTCCACAATCTTGCGTGCCATGGCATTTCTTCTCTTCAACTCACTCCATCCATAAGGTAAGTGCCGTAGCTCTTCGTCCTTCAGATGTGATTCAAGAGGTGCTTGAGCATCGTTGCAAAAGGGATGACCAATGGATGTGGATCGATACAGGATAAGCGTATCAGGTGCTCTTGAACGAATCACACGCATTGTCTCGACAAGTTGTTGAATAAACGTTTCATCATCCTCGACCACAGGAGCACGATTCAAGATCAACACTGAGTAGGCTCTCATCATGGGGCTGGTAATAAATGGCCATTCGATTGTATCCACCGATGGATGTCCCTTTGCTCGATTGATGCGTGATACAGGAGATAAAATGTCATTTCGGATATAACGCATGCGTGCTTCAGGCTGCTGGCATAGTGTGTGGTCTTTTAAAACGATTCGTTAGTGTGTCTTTTGATAGAATTCCAGATCATGAAGCTTTTACCTTTGCAGTTTAGCTCACCAAAGCATACAGTAGGACCATCCCGCATCGCATCCAAAAGCACCTCGTGTAATTGATATTGTACAAGATCACCCACAATCAACATGTTCCTTCCATCCAGCAAACTGCACCATGTCACGGGATCCACCGTATCATCAAGGTGACATGTCGTAGTAGGCGTTGACCATACATAGGGATCGTGCTGTCGCTTACATTTACCATAAAGAGGATCCTGAAAATGCTTGGCAAGGTGATAACCATCTTGTTGCTTCCATTGTCCTTGGCTCGTCCAACAATCAATTTGTGCTCGTACTCGATCAGCAGCCTCATATGTCCTGTGCACAGACCCTGGAATCCCTTGTATAGGCCCCAAGACCAGCTCGGCAACCTGTTGTGCTCGCTCCACCGAATGCTCCCATAGTGCCTGCCATTGGTCCAATGACAGGTGACCTGTGCTAAAGTTGTTGCTCACAGGTAATGCAGGATGGGGATGCGTGTACCAAGGCAAAGCAACAGTGTCTAATGTTGACTCGTAGCGGTCGTCGTTGTCGTCGTGAATGGGCTCTGGAATGTCATCGATCTGGGTGATGGGTGGTGAAGAAGGCTTGTTCAAGCTGCTGCAGAAGATTAGAACGCCCACGATCGCAATGTAGATGAGAAGCCGTGACCGAGACGATCGTCGAACGATGCGTTGAAGAAACATAAAAGAAGAGCACATTCTATTTTTGACACCTCTTTAAGCACATTTGTGATCAGCAATGACTGTGTAACAACTCAATAAAAGGGAATACTTTATTCCAGTGATTCCAACATGTAATGATGCTGCTCATGAAGACGATCAAGTTCCTATGATAATGATAATGATGAATCCTCGCCCTCATTTGAAAAGCTATACACGCTTACATGAGCTACTTCTCCTTGTCCTAGATGTTCATATGGATCATCGGATGAATTGACTCGGTCTCGATCATCGAAGATTCCCTCCTTGTATTGCTCATCAATAGGCTCCAATCTCTCCTATCATGCACTATACATGTAAGACAACATAATAAGAATAGAACATGTTACCATGGTCACAGAACCTGCAAGCCGTGAACATCATCAGCATCATATTTGGTCTTTGAAAGATCATAGGTTGCTTTGCCAATGTGCATTAGCTCTTGATGGATTAGCTCTTTGGGGGTTCTTGAGTAAGCTTTTTATACATAAGAAAGTACTCTTCGTCTACCTAGATCGATTCTCATAGTAGTAATAAAGAAAGATGCAATATGCAAATGACTCCCGACATTTCTGGTTTCATCAAGTATGGCTAAAAACCGGGGTTTGCATGATGAGTCCCAATGCGACCACTTTTATTTTCATTTGGCGCATTCTTTACTTGCTATTGATAGTGGTTGGCTTTGAAGAGTGGCAATTTTCTAGTACAATGAGAACACTGCTTGTCCAAGCGACACGTGGGATAAGCATTTGCTTATGCCACACCTAGCCATTTATACCTTTGTTCCTAATGTTGAGGGATGATCGCCTTGCGCAATTCTTTGTAGGTAAACTTCAGGTCGTCACCAATGTACGTTTCAGATAAGATCATCGTGGACCGGATGGTTTGTGTACCAAAGGCCTCGAGCCTTATGTCGTAATGTAGCCTTCGGCATACGTTCTTGCGGCATGGGCTTATCACCCATAGAGGAGTCAAATCCTCCCCCCTCAGACTGGGGTTGCCTTTTGCCTACGAATGTACAATACATCCTTTTAATAACATTTATCAATTATATAAATGATAGCTATACCTACCACAAAGGATCCATCAAGGAGCACATCAGCCAAATGTCATTAGGCAGCAATGAGCACACCGGGTGGTAAAGCAATGATGTGAGCTACATAGATGAATGCATGAGTATCCTTATTTTGGGGATCACCCAAGACTATCCTTGAGACTTACCAAAGGCCATTGATGAAGATATGCATGCAAGTAGAACGAAAGGACGTATGATAGTGTTGGTGACAACAGCTTGTTTATATGAGAGTGGGCGTGGGTATTGTGGTCATGATTGATTGCAGTGGTGATCAAGCATCTTGAAGTACAGAGTCGAAGTGATGGAAGATCAACAGCTGATAAATCCACCTGCGGCTTTAAAGGTGATCAATTTTTGTAGGTGACAATAGTAAATCCTGCAAAGACGTAGCAAGAAGTGATTTGAGATAGCAAATGGATGATGAGAGGATAATGCCACCTTGTTTATCTCGAATCCTGTTTTATGCATGAGCATACAATCACACCAAGGCTCTTTGTGAAGACGCCCCACCAATTTATCAGCCCACCATCATATCCCAACAAACATTGTATCATTCATTGTGATCACAGAAGTACCCAACGCCCACCATGCACATGTAAATATACATAAACAAGGATGATGTTGTCGTCCGCACATCTCTTTTTTTTCTTCCTTCCTATCACTCTTTGATTGCTGACACCTCCAAATCCCAAGTTGATGTGAGTATCATAGCCTTCTTTGTGAGCGATACAAGTACTAAAAATGATTGCAACCATAACCATTGCAACAAGTCCAAGAAGAAAGAACCTCTGTGATCGTTGCTGATATGCTTCCTTTTTCATCCGGCTGTTGGTCCACCTCTCTCTTGGTCGTTTTCCATCGCAGCTCAACCATTTGAAATGATCACCGGAGGCCTCTTCGGGCAAGCATCAAGTCTTGAAATATTCACATTCCTTGGGTCCTCGGTACCTGATGTGTCGAAAGCGGTAAAAACAAAAATGACAGCTGACAGCTTTTCGGTCAAGCAATCACACACAAAGTGTGGTTTCAACAATCGGAACGTCCGGGAATATGGCAAGTTAAATGCAATGAATCTATGGGGCTGCCATAGTTTCAGGTACATGACATGTGGTTTCTTCCCTGTCAACCCCTTGGGCTTTCATGACCACCCCGTCACTTCTGCAGCTAGGTCGGTGAATGGACTTTTTTCTTTCATCTTAAGGTCTTTGGCATCAGCGACAGCAACTAGAGAAGAAATTCAAGGAATGGTCCAGTAGGCGAGTCTGACCAAGGAGCTCAAGCCGTACTTTGAAGAACACCAACCAACAACTTTTGCTGCTTTGCTGATGTCCATGAAAGCCAGCACAAGCACAAAAAAGGCCTCTCCCTACCAGCTCAACATTGTGGAGTTATTGAAGGCAATGGAGGAGCTAGCTAATGTATCGGATGAAAGAAACAACCTGGTACCAATGTATCAATCTATCAAGCAAAACGCCCTTTCTGCCTTCAACAATGGGTATAGCTCTGCATTGAAGTACACAAACGACAAGGCAGTAAAGAAATATCAAGAAGCATGTATCCTGCTGTTTTCGCTCCCACCCCTATATTTTAACACATACATATATAAATACATCCACCATTGCTCTCATTCCACCCCGCTACTCCATATCACAATTACCATATTATCCATCATCGACCCAAATAAAGAACTACATGCTTTCATTGCAGCATAATGTACACTTTCCCAACTATCATCAATCACACATGTAAAGTATGCATTTATTTTGGGATGTCAATAGTGTTCAAGTGAGCTGAATAAAGATACAATGGCGCTTTTAAGCAATTCATATCACGTGCCACAGCCAAGTAAACGGTTGCATGAATCACACGGCATACGGTAGTGGCTTTGCATCCCAGCTAGCAGTAATTCTCTCACTCACACACCCTCTCTTTATCTCCCACCATAAACTATGGATACCCGACCGCTATACGGTGGAGCCATTTCTTGCCCAGTTGGAAACTCATTTCTCGATGTGAGGTAGTGTCATGGAACGCATGGGTTGTCTGTGGCCGATTGGACTCATTCTCCTTTAGCAATGTACGCCAAGTACCCGACAATCAGGAAGTCTTTGTGGATATGGATACACAGCAGAGTCTCATCATTGAGCTGCTTGAACCTGTTGAAGCTGTGAACGAGGATATTGCACGGTAAGCTAGAGGGCTGTGTCGATGATTGGGCATGGTATCTCACGTGCTGCGTCTTGGTATTGAAGGTTCCATTTCCAACAATTGGCTGACGATAACGAAGCAACCGAAGCTCATGTTGACCGTGTCATTAAGCTGGATTCCAAGACTGCCGTTCCTCGTCTTCCGTAAGTAGGATTGTTGTGGATGGAAAAAAGGAAAGGAAAGAATACTTATATGGGATGTATATAGCGCAGATACGACGATCGTGCACATGCTACGAGGCACGCAAAAGGTTGCTAAATTCAACGAGGCCAAGGATATGGCATACAACACGGTGGAAATCAGAATGGCTGTGATACGTCTTGCTCAGGTGGAAACGGATTTGGTGATTTCTATCAATGCACCTGTTTTGGTGGCTCCTGGAAGCACAGATCAAGCAACAACAGCAGCCAATGTGGAACAGCATATTGAAGCAATCCTTAGCCAGCTGCAAGTGAATGATTGGAGTCTCTTTGGATGAATTATACATATATGTGAAGAAGCATTGAATATAGTTTATTTGACAAGCATACCCAAATAATGAATTGTATTGCGTGTTGTTGTTACTAGTGGGGATCATTGCTATCTCTTAACTCTTGAGCTATTAGTCGCCTTGATTGGATCTTGTGAGAATAGGTTGAGGGATAATTCACTATGGGGCCTCTATTCATTGTCGTTGCATGAGAATCAGGATAGCTTATCTTACATAGCCGATGATGATGCGAGAAATAAAGATGTTTTACAGGTTTACTCAAAGTTACAAGGATAGATGTAGAAGGAATAAGGAAAAGTGTGAATGGGATTACAGCTTCTAAGGAGGTAAAGTGAAGGAGGAAACATCGAAGGTATGGGTGAAATAAAAAGTTAAAGCAAGAGAGAGGTATACATATGGGGGTGGTTGTTGTTTAAAGGCGATGAGAAGGAACGGCAGCAAAGATGATGGTGAGGACCACTGCTATAATAATGCTCAACGCTAACAACCAAGCTGATCGTGACCATAAAATCCGTTTTACAGGTGCCTGACGAATCCTATTGAAATGGAAAGTGGTGGTTTCACTGGTGGTGGCGAAGAAAGACGTTTTCGATATCAGCTACCTTTGTATGCATGTGTTGTGCCGTATCCCTTACATACCTGACATTGAATAACAAAACCCACAGAGGATCCAATCCTGTCAAGAAGCAAAGTACATTGAGAACACCAATCCAAAAAGGAAGCAACACCTAATCATGATGGATGAAGTTATTAGCAAGCCATCACTGTATACCGGTTCAATCAATGCCTACCCAGAATCGTGTGCCCCATTGAGGATAATCGAGAAAGATCAAACTGAAAGCAGTAGCAAATGCAGCGAGCAAAGACACCAAGCCAACGACAAGACGACCCAATTGTTGCCATAGCGTTAAGTTGCCCCATACTTTGAGTCGCAAGAATTTGGGATAAGCTGTACGTCGCATGTATTCGAACAAATAATCTTTGGCATCTTGAAAGACCAATGGATCATCGCGTCCTCCTTGTTCAATTTCTCGACGCATCGTATGCTTTAGCTCTGGAGGCAGTTGTGTCAATTCCTTGGATGCTGCAGGTACCAAATACTTCATCAAGATGCGTTGTGCAGAGTCTGTCAAGTCTCGTCGATTCAACATAGCTTTTTCTCGCATAGCGTTCCTGTTGCTGTTGATGTTGTAGTTGCTAGGTTCATCATCACCCTCACCACCACCATCTTCTCCAACGAGGGGTGGTCTTTCTAAAGGTACTGACATGTCTTCACTCTGCAGATCTTCTTCGATTCTTCCACCACCAGCACCAGGTATCTGTAATCGACCACGTTGTTGTTGTTGTTGCTTGTCAAGCGTTGTTGTGGAGGATAAAGGTGATGTTTTCTTCTCGTCGAACGAACCCACTTGCGATAGTCGACTCACGACTCGTGGTGATTGAAAGCCGTCAACCAAGTCTTCCTCAGTAAGATAGCCCGATCGTCGCATTGACTTTACGTAGCGACGCCACAAGAGTTGATGATGCTGCACATCGAGGTAAAAGTCGAGCACTTCTTCCATATGAAGACGGTCTCTCATGATAATATACAAATTGTACAGGCACACGGGTGGTTGTGTCTTTCGAGCTAATACTTGTTCAAGCGTCGGTAGGTCATTGCGAATGGACGCCATTGGATGAGCTGAGAAGGGAAGGAGTCGTTGAAGAAAAGAAAAAGGTATGCTGTGCTGCTGCTGCAGTAAGCACGAGTTGGGCTCGCATACAAATTTAGATGTCCTTTCTACTTTGTCCGATAGATGATGATAATGGATCCTGGATCCTCCTTTGTTTCAATCAATGATCACCCCTCTCTCTCTCTCTCTCTTTCTTTAGATGATCCCCATTGTTCTTCATCACATTCATCTTTTTGAAAGGATCATCATCTCGTCTCCCCTACATTTTCCTTTTTACTTTCACCCCTTGCAAATCTTTTGGGCCTGTGCTACACCACCATCACTACCAGCATCATCCCTATTAAAGACGCTCATCGTGGTCCATCATACATAAAGCCATTGAATATCATTGATTGTAGTAGAACAATAAAACTTGTATGTACCAAATCCGGGTCATTATTATTGTTGTTGCTGCCATCCAAATTGGGTAAATGTCAAGCACATCTGCACAACCATGAGCACAGGATGTATAGCCATTGTTCTGCAGCTGAAAGAAGAATGCATAAAAGCACATTTGCTACTCTCTGAAAAGTCTTTGAGTGATGCAGCAATTAAGGAGTCTTGCATTGGAACAAGTCCATTGATTATGTCATCCTTACGACCATGCGGTATCCAGGCAACCCGCATATACAAATCCTCAAATATGGATGCGATAATGGGATACTAGGTATCATTGAGCATGTTCGTTATTGATTTGGATGATGGGTTCACGCTGCTAACGACGAATGACATGATCAATAGGAGTAGCAGTGATATGCTGAAGCATAGCAACCAAAATGAACCCATCAGCATTGGAAGTCACAAGTGGTGCTCACATTTGCATGGATACCATGCTATTTCTTTGTCGCGTAGATGATCAAATTGCCGTATACGTACAGCCCCACATTGAAAGTACATCATTGTCGATGACAGCTCAGCTACAAATGAGATTTCATCATGCTGTGAACAGTATAGTAGCAAGTAGTGGTAGGATCATGAGCGTATCTTTATTAGTGGAGGAGATTTTGTTGGATCTAGCACATGTATTCGTTAAGATCGAACGCTATAAGCATAGTGATACATGATGATACAAGGAAAGGTGATATGGGTGTGGGAGGAGGAGTAAGCTCTCACAGTACACCGACAAATCGGTTGTTGGGATTGGTCGCTCTTATCCTATAGCAAAATTTTCGAGTCTCTGTTTCCTCCTCTTTCGTCTTTGCTTTTGAGAGGTGTGTATTATTCCAGTTCCCCAATCCCTTGTCATTGGCACTCGCTCGGTTATTATCACGGCAAACACAGTAGCACCACTCGCCTTTACACCACATGCATCTCTTTGCAACAATCAGTTCCCTTGTTCTCACGTGTTGTATCCGCTAATGAGCGTGGCTTGTATACACACACACACACACATCCTGTTGCCTGCCAAACGAGTTCGCCATGCCCCCATCGCCATGACAGTTGACTCATACTATGACTACTACTACTTTAGAACATTCAATATCATGAACAACGACAAGCTCAGCAAGCTCCAAAACCAGGTCCGTATTGGTGGCAAGGGTAAGTCTCATAAAGGACATCCATCATCACCATCCATTGCGTATCTCTTAACATTCTCTCTCTCTCACGCGTAGGTACTCCTCGTCGTAAGATGAAGAAGACTACCAAGTCTGCTGGTCCTGATGACCGTAAGCTCCAAAGCGCTCTTCAAAAGCTTGGTGTTCAACCCCTTGGTGGCATTGAGGAAGTCAACATGTTCAAGGAAGATGGCAAGGTCATCCACTTTGCTGCTCCCCGTGGTAAGTAACCATTGACAACATCAGGTGAAGAGGAATCATGATACTCATAGCAACCATCCATCAATTAGTCCAAGCTGCTGTCAACTCCAACACCTTTGCCATCCACGGCCGTTCCGTTGAAAAGGAGCTCACTGAATTGGGTAAGTAAATGGAAATGGAATGGATCCATCTTTTATATCAAACACGTATTGATTGACGCGTCTTTTTCTATATAGTTCCCAACATTTTGAGCCAATTGGGTCCTGACTCTCTTGCTAGCTTGCGCAAGTTGGCTGAAGCCTACACCCAACAAGGTGGCGCTGGTGCCGCTGGTGAGGATGATGATGAGATCCCCGATTTGGTCGAGAGCTTTGACAAGGCCGAAGTTGAGGACAAGAAGGAAGAAAAGCCCGCTGAGTCCACCGAGACCAAGGCCTAAAAACACATTCTGAATACCAATTCAACCCACCCCCCAACAACGTGTATTAAAAAAAAAGCATCTTTTTTTTGTGTCATTGATCCACAATTAGCGCATACCCATAATGTTGGTGCGGGATACAGAATATCTGATAATCGATGAAAGGGGATGGATTGGGATGTAAAGCATTACGAGATGAACTTTTTTATTATTACGTCATGATGAAAGAGAATATGGCATGATGATGAATGTATACAAGTTGCTTTTGGAGAAAGTATGCTTTTTGTTGTTGTTTTGCAGACAAGTGTTGAAACCAGCTCTAATATGGAGTGGGGTGGTGGGTAGGAAAAATTGTCCGTGCGCAGTGGCCAGCTTTTTTCTTTTGCGATCCAATAGTCCTTTGGGTCTTGGAAAGCGTTCTTTGGTTTGTTGGCGTGCAAAAGCTGACGAGAGCAGGCAGATGATTCTTCTTTTTTTCTTCTTGTTGTTGAAAGTTATCCGGCAGATCGTGTTGTTGAATACATAATATGGTTTGAGGGTGAATGGTTGTATCAGGTGTCCAAGAAAGAACTTGAAGGCGAGCTGGGAGGTGATGGAAGGAAGTAGCCACCATAGTAGTTGGATGACTTGTTGGTCGATGTATAGCGTGCGTATGAAATGCATGGAGATGTGGGAGGCGAAAGCGGAATGGATGGAATATCGGTTGCAGAAGGAATTTGAGTATCTTTGATGCGGCAGTCTTCAGAGCAATAAAGTGACTAAAAGATAACACAGGCATGTTAATCATCTGATGCTGATACAAGTATCCCGAAAATATAAATACATACGTTGTCATCAGCACAATGGCGGTTGCAAATAGTACACCAGGCAGTATCCATGATTGAAAAGTAAAAAGAAGTGTTGTGTGTTGTGTGTGTGTGTGAAAAGAAAGCGTGGGGATGTTGGGAAGGCTGCACGAGCCTCTCCTTAAATATGATTCTGCGGAAAGGGCGGGGTCAATTGGCAAATGTGAGTAATCTTTTGCCATAAGATTACCCCTTATTGTTAGTCAGACATCTTGATAAGACGTCTCATACCCATCTTTTATTAAATTTCACCCATGGTCTACTATTACTGTTATCTGATGCTTTTCATGCATCTATAACCAAAGATATGATTTCCAACAGGAATTTTCTACATGATTGATCTTTTGTTCTCGAAAATTTCATATCGCCCTACAAGTCTTTTCTTGTACGTAGTTATGGCGTGGTTTACAAAGCAACCATTATTTTTTGCATGGAGAGTCCAAAGTCCGCAGAGTGTCATCCAACACGTTTTAGCCAATCAGCAGCCACGGACTAAGTTTGAGTCAGGTCATTTTTGACACACATGCTGGTAAACGGATCGGCAAGAGACGGAAGTAGCTAAATGTGGAAATTGGGTCATGGAATGACTTTTTCAACGGACCGTGCGCCATTTTTATGAATTACGATTGGCTGCCAATCCGGATTCTGCTTGAGCCCATCCGCGGGTCATCTTTTATTCTCACACACACGTGTGGCTCATTCTGATAAATCCTTCACGACAATAACCGGTTTCACCGGCGATATCTGATCATCATTAAAGCACTATATTTAATAGAATCTTTATCACCACCACCATAAAGGTCCTCATCAAAACGGGCCTAAGCGTCATAAGTGTGTACGACATTATACAATTTATTAACATCAACATCATCCGAGCAGAGTTGTATGATTTTTGTTGGGTTTGGGGGG